GGGATACAGTCCCGATCTCTTTTAGAGCCGCATCTTTTCTGTCTCTTCGTTACAGTGGTTTATCAGCTGGATTGGCTCCAGAACAAGGCGCACCATTCTCGACCACTCAATTCGGGCAGGCTGCGAGTCGGACGTTACCGCGTGTTCGCAACCCAGTCCATACTATCTCTTCTCGGATAGAAACCAATGGGCAGTACCATGGTGATGGAGTAACACAACTGGGTTGGACTGCCATGTGACTCGTTCAGTCTGGTTGATTAGCGACATGACATCGATCGGTAGCACCTCTTTCTTTCTTTAGGACCTCGTTTGATGGACAGACAAGACGATCGATCCGCCATGACACGAGTGGATGGAGGAGGCTGTGGTGGTGGCCAGGTGAGCATGGCAAACCCCGTGGGTGTTTGTTTGCGTGATTTTTCGGAGAAGTGTGCGCGCGCGTGCGAAGCCTGTCTAGCTCAGTTGGTAGAGCGCAAGACTCTTAATCTTGTGGTCGTGGGTTCGAGCCCCACGGTGGGCAACTACCAATGATGTGATCGAAACGGATGCAGTCCCGATCTCTTTTAGAGCCGCATCTTTTCTGTCTCTTCGTTACAGTGGTTTATCAGCTGGATTGGCTCTAGAACAAGGCGCACCATTCTCGACCACTCGAATCGGGCAGGCTGCGAGTCGGACGTTACCGCGTGTTCGCAACCCAGTCCATACTATCTCTTCTCAGATAGAAACCAATGGGCAGTACCATGGTGATGGAGTAACACAACTGGGTTGGACTGCCATGTGACTCGTTCAGTCTGGTTGATTAGCGACATGACATCGATCGGTAGCACCTCTTTCTTTCTTTAGGACCTCGTATGATGGACAGACAAGACGATTGATCCGCCATGACACGAGTGGATGGAGGAGGCTGTGGTGGTGGCCAGGTGAGCATGGCAAACCCCGTGAGCGTTTGTTTGCGTGATTTTTCGGAGAAGTGTGCGCGCGTGTGCGAAGCCTGTCTAGCTCAGTTGGTAGAGCGCTAGACTCTAAATCTTGTGGTCGTGGGTTCGAGCCCCACGGTGGGCGACTACCAATGATGCGATCGAAACGGATGCAGTCCCGATCTCTTTTAGAGCCGCATCTTTTCTGTCTCTTCGTTACAGTGGTTTATCAGCTGGATTGGCTCTAGAACAAGGCGCACCATTCTCGACCACTCGAATCGGGCAGGCTGCGAGTCGGACGTTACCGCGTGTTCGCAACCCAGTCCATACTATCTCTTCTCAGGTAGAAACCAATGGGCAGTACCATGGTGATGGAGTAACACAACTGGGTTGGACTGCCATGTGACTCGTTCAGTCTGGTTGATTAGCGACATGACATCGATCGGTAGCACCTCTTTCTTTCTTTAGGACCTCGTATGATGGACAGACAAGACGATCGATCCGCCATGACACGAGTGGATGGAGGAGGCTGTGGTGGAGGACAGGTGAGCATGGCAAACCCCGTGGGTGTTTGTTTGCGTGATTTTTCGGAGAAGTGTGCGCGCGTGTGCGAAGCCTGTCTAGCTCAGTTGGTAGAGCGCAAGACTCTAAATCTTGTGGTCGTGGGTTCGAGCCCCACGGTGGGCGACTACCAATGATGTGATCGAAACGGATGCAGTCCCGATCTCTTTTAGAGCCGCATCTTTTCTGTCTCTTCGTTACAGTGGTTTATCAGCTGGATTGGCTCCAGAACATGACGCACCATTCTCGACCACTCGAATCGGGCAGGCTGCGAGTCGGACGTTACCGCGTGTTCGCAACCCAGTCCATACTATCTCTTCTCAGATAGAAACCAATGGGCAGTACCATGGTGATGGAGTAACACAACTGGGTTGGACTGCCATGTGACTCGTTCAGTCTGGTTGATTAGCGACATGACATCGATCGGTAGCACCTCTTTCTTTCTTTAGGACCTCGTATGATGGACAGACAAGACGATTGATCCGCCATGACACGAGTGGATGGAGGAGGCTGTGATGGTGGCCAGGTGAGCATGGCAAACCCCGTGGGCGTTTGTTTGCGTGATTTTTCGGAGAAGTGTGCACGCGTGTGCGAAGCCTGTCTAGCTCAGTTGGTAGAGCGCAAGACTCTTAATCTTGTGGTCGTGGGTTCGAGCCCCACGGTGGGCGACTACCAATGATGCGATCGAAACGGATGCAGTCCCGATCTCTTTTAGAGCCGCATCTTTTCTGTCTCTTCGTTACAGTGGTTTATCAGCTGGATTGGCTCCAGAACATGACGCACCATTCTCGACCACTCGAATCGGGCAGGCTGCGAGTCCGGACGTTACCGCGTGTTCGGCAACCCAGTCCATACTATCTCTTCTCAGGTAGAAACCAATGGGCAGTACCATGGTGATGGAGTAACACAACTGGGTTGGACTGCCATGTGACTCGTTCAGTCTGGTTGATTAGCGACATGACATCGATCGGTAGCACCTCTTTCTTTCTTTAGGACCTCGTATGATGGACAGACAAGACGATCGATCCGCCATGACACGAGTGGATGGAGGAGGCTGTGGTGGAGGACAGGTGAGCATGGCAAACCCCGTGGGTGTTTGTTTGCGTGATTTTTCGGAGAAGTGTGCGCGCGTGTGCGAAGCCTGTCTAGCTCAGTTGGTAGAGCGCAAGACTCTAAATCTTGTGGTCGTGGGTTCGAGCCCCACGGTGGGCGACTACCAATGATGTGATCGAAACGGATGCAGTCCCGATCTCTTTTAGAGCCGCATCTTTTCTGTCTCTTCGTTACAGTGGTTTATCAGCTGGATTGGCTCTAGAACAAGGCGCACCATTCTCGACCACTCAAATCGGGCAGGCTGCGAGTCGGACGTTACCGCGTGTTCGCAACCCAGTCCATACTATCTCTTCTCAGATAGAAACCAATGGGCAGTACCATGGTGATGGAGTAACACAACTGGGTTGGACTGCCATGTGACTCGTTCAGTCTGGTTGATTAGCGACATGACATCGATCGGTAGCACCTCTTTCTTTCTTTAGGACCTCGTATGATGGACAGACAAGACGATTGGTCCGCCATGACACGAGTGGATGGAGGAGGCTGTGATGGTGGCCAGGTGAGCATGGCAAACCCCGTGAGCGTTTGTTTGCGTGATTTTTCGGAGAAGTGTGCACGCGTGTGCGAAGCCTGTCTAGCTCAGTTGGTAGAGCGCAAGACTCTTAATCTTGTGGTCGTGGGTTCGAGCCCCACGGTGGGCGACTACCAATGATGCGATCGAAACGGATGCAGTCCCGATCTCTTTTAGAGCCGCATCTTTTCTGTCTCTTCGTTACAGTGGTTTATCAGCTGGATTGGCTCCAGAACAAGGCGCACCATTCTCGACCACTCAATTCGGGCAGGCTGCGAGTCGGACGTTACCGCGTGTTCGCAATTCAGTCCATACTATCTCTTCTCGGATAGAAACCAATGGGCATTACCATGGTGATGGAGTAACACAACTGGGTTGGACTGCCATGTGACTCGTTCAGTCTGGTTGATTAGCGACATGACATCGATCGGTAGCACCTCTTTCTTTCTTTAGGACCTCGTTTGATGGACAGACAAGACGATCGATCCGCCATGACACGAGTGGATGGAGGAGGCTGTGGTGGTGGCCAGGTGAGCATGGCAAACCCCGTGGGTGTTTGTTTGCGTGATTTTTCGGAGAAGTGTGCGCGCGTGTGCGAAGCCTGTCTAGCTCAGTTGGTAGAGCGCAAGACTCTTAATCTTGTGGTCGTGGGTTCGAGCCCCACGGTGGGCGACTACCAATGATGCGATCGAAACGGATGCAGTCCCGATCTCTTTTAGAGCCGCATCTTTTCTGTCTCTTCGTTACAGTGGTTTATCAGCTGGATTGGCTCCAGAACATGACGCACCATTCTCGACCACTCGAATCGGGCAGGCTGCGAGTCGGACGTTACCGCGTGTTCGCAACCCAGTCCATACTATCTCTTCTCAGATAGAAACCAATGGGCAGTACCATGGTGATGGAGTAACACAACTGGGTTGGACTGCCATGTGACTCGTTCAGTCTGGTTGATTAGCGACATGACATCGATCGGTAGCACCTCTTTCTTTCTTTAGGACCTCGTTTGATGGACAGACAAGACGATTGATCCGCCATGACACGAGTGGATGGAGGAGGCTGTGGTGGAGGACAGGTGAGCATGGCGAACCCCGTGGGTGTTTGCTTGCGTCACTATCGAAGAAGTGTGCGTGCGTGTGCGAAGTCTGTCTAGCTCAGTTGGTAGAGCGCAAGACTCTAAATCTTGTGGTTGTGGGTTCGAGCCCCACGGTGGGCGACTACCAATGATGTGATCGAAACGGATGCAGTCCCGATCTCTTTTAGAGCCGCATCTTTTCTGTCTCTTCGTTACAGTGGTTTATCAGCTGGATTGGCTCTAGAACAAGGCGCACCATTCTCGACCACTCGAATCGGGCAGGCTGCGAGTCGGACGTTACCGCGTGTTCGCAACCCAGTCCATACTATCTCTTCTCAGATAGAAACCAATGGGCAGTACCATGGTGATGGAGTAACACAACTGGGTTGGACTGCCATGTGACTCGTTCAGTCTGGTTGATTAGCGACATGACATCGATCGGTAGCATCTCTTTCTTTCTTTAGGACCTCGTTTGATGGACAGACAAGATGATCGATCCGCCATGACACGAGTGGATGGAGGAGGCTGTGATGGTGGCCAGGTGAGCATGGCAAACCCCGTGGGCGTTTGTTTGCGTGATTTTTCGGAGAAGTGTGCGCGCGTGTGCGAAGCCTGTCTAGCTCAGTTGGTAGAGCGCTAGACTCTAAATCTTGTGGTCGTGGGTTCGAGCCCCACGGTGGGCGACTACCAATGATGCGATCGAAAAGGATGCAGTCCCGATCTCTTTTAGAGCCGCATCTTTTCTGTCTCTTCGTTACAGTGGTTTATCAGCTGGATTGGCTCCAGAACAAGGCACACCATTCTCGACCACTCGAATCGGGCAGGCTGCGAGTCGGACGTTACCGCGTGTTTGCAACCCAGTCCATACTATCTCTTCTCAGATAGAAACCAATGGGCAGTACCATGGTGATGGAGTAACACAACTGGGTTGGACTGCCATGTGACTCGTTCAGTCTGGTTGATTAGCGACATGACATCGATCGGTAGCACCTCTTTCTTTCTTTAGGACCTCGTTTGATGGACAGACAAGACGATTGATCCGCCATGACACGAGTGGATGGAGGAGGCTGTGATGGTGGCCAGGTGAGCATGGCAAACCCCGTGGGCGTTTGTTTGCGTGATTTTTCGGAGAAGTGTGCGCGCGTGTGCGAAGCCTGTCTAGCTCAGTTGGTAGAGCGCTAGACTCTTAATCTTGTGGTCGTGGGTTCGAGCCCCACGGTGGGCGACTACCAATGATGCGATCGAAACGGATGCAGTCCCGATCTCTTTTAGAGCCGCATCTTTTCTGTCTCTTCGTTACAGTGGTTTATCAGCTGGATTGGCTCCAGAACATGACGCACCATTCTCGACCACTCGAATCGGGCAGGCTGCGAGTCGGACGTTACCGCGTGTTCGCAACCCAGTCCATACTATCTCTTCTCAGATAGAAACCAATGGGCAGTACCATGGTGATGGAGTAACACAACTGGGTTGGACTGCCATGTGACTCGTTCAGTCTGGTTGATTAGCGACATGACATCGATCGGTAGCACCTCTTTCTTTCTTTAGGACCTCGTATGATGGACAGACAAGACGATTGATCCGCCATGACACGAGTGGATGGAGGAGGCTGTGGTGGAGGACAGGTGAGCATGGCGAACCCCGTGGGTGTTTGCTTGCGTCACTATCGAAGAAGTGTGCACGCGTGTGCGAAGCCTGTCTAGCTCAGTTGGTAGAGCGCAAGACTCTAAATCGTGTGGTTGTGGGTTCGAGCCCCACGGTGGGCGACTACCAATGATGTGATCGAAACGGATGCAGTCCCGATCTCTTTTAGAGCCGCATCTTTTCTGTCTCTTCGTTACAGTGGTTTATCAGCTGGATTGGCTCTAGAACAAGGCGCACCATTCTCGACCACTCGAATCGGGCAGGCTGCGAGTCGGACGTTACCGCGTGTTCGCAACCCAGTCCATACTATCTCTTCTCAGATAGAAACCAATGGGCAGTACCATGGTGATGGAGTAACACAACTGGGTTGGACTGCCATGTGACTCGTTCAGTCTGGTTGATTAGCGAGATGACATCGATCGGTAGCACCTCTTTCTTTCTTTCTTTAGGACCTCGTTTGATGGACAGACAAGACGATTGATCCGCCATGACACGAGTGGATGGAGGAGGCTGTGATGGTGGCCAGGTGAGCATGGCAAACCCCGTGGGCGTTTGTTTGCGTGATTTTTCGGAGAAGTGTGCGCGCGTGTGCGAAGCCTGTCTAGCTCAGTTGGTAGAGCGCAAGACTCTTAATCTTGTGGTCGTGGGTTCGAGCCCCACGGTGGGCGACTACCAATGATGCGATCGAAACGGATGCAGTCCCGATCTCTTTTAGAGCCGCATCTTTTCTGTCTCTTCGTTACAGTGGTTTATCAGCTGGATTGGCTCCAGAACAAGGCACACCATTCTCGACCACTCGAATCGGGCAGGCTGCGAGTCGGACGTTACCGCGTGTTCGCAACCCAGTCCATACTATCTCTTCTCAGATAGAAACCAATGGGCAGTACCATGGTGATGGAGTAACACAACTGGGTTGGACTGCCATGTGACTCGTTCAGTCTGGTTGATTAGCGACATGACATCGATCGGTAGCACCTCTTTCTTTCTTTAGGACCTCGTTTGATGGACAGACAAGACGATTGATCCGCCATGACACGAGTGGATGGAGGAGGCTGTGGTGGTGGCCAGGTGAGCATGGCAAACCCCGTGGGCGTTTGTTTGCGTGATTTTTCGGAGAAGTGTGCGCGCGTGTGCGAAGCCTGTCTAGCTCAGTTGGTAGAGCGCTAGACTCTAAATCTTGTGGTCGTGGGTTCGAGCCCCACGGTGGGCGACTACCAATGATGCGATCGAAACGGATGCAGTCCCGATCTCTTTTAGAGCCGCATCTTTTCTGTCTCTTCGTTACAGTGGTTTATCAGCTGGATTGGCTCCAGAACAAGGCGCACCATTCTCGACCACTCGAATCGGGCAGGCTGCGAGTCGGACGTTACCGCGTGTTCGCAACCCAGTCCATACTATCTCTTCTCAGATAGAAACCAATGGGCAGTACCATGGTGATGGAGTAACACAACTGGGTTGGACTGCCATGTGACTCGTTCAGTCTGGTTGATTAGCGACATGACATCGATCGGTAGCACCTCTTTCTTTCTTTAGGACCTCGTTTGATGGACAGACAAGACGATTGATCCGCCATGACACGAGTGGATGGAGGAGGCTGTGGTGGTGGCCAGGTGAGCATGGCAAACCCCGTGGGCGTTTGTTTGCGTGATTTTTCGGAGAAGTGTGCGCGCGTGTGCGAAGCCTGTCTAGCTCAGTTGGTAGAGCGCAAGACTCTTAATCTTGTGGTCGTGGGTTCGAGCCCCACGGTGGGCGACTACCAATGATGCGATCGAAACGGATGCAGTCTCGATCTCCTTTAGAGCCGCACTTTTTCTGTCTCTTCGTTACAGTGGTTTATCAGCTGGATTGGCTCTAGAACAAGGCGCACCATTCTCGACCACTCGAATCGGGCAGGCTGCGAGTCGGACGTTACCGCGTGTTCGCAACCCAGTCCATACTATCTCTTCTCAGATAGAAACCAATGGGCAGTACCATGGTGATGGAGTAACACAACTGGGTTGGACTGCCATGTGACTCGTTCAGTCTGGTTGATTAGCGACATGACATCGATCGGTAGCACCTCTTTCTTTCTTTAGGACCTCGTTTGATGGACAGACAAGACGATTGATCCGCCATGACACGAGTGGATGGAGGAGGCTGTGATGGTGGACAGGTGAGCATGGCAAACCCCGTGGGCGTTTGTTTGCGTGATTTTTCGGAGAAGTGTGCACGCGTGTGCGAAGCCTGTCTAGCTCAGTTGGTAGAGCGCTAGACTCTAAATCTTGTGGTCGTGGGTTCGAGCCCCACGGTGGGCGACTACCAATGATGCGATCGAAACGGATGCAGTCCCGATCTCTTTAGAGCCGCATCTTTTCTGTCTCTTCGTTACAGTGGTTTATCAGCTGGATTGGCTCTAGAACAAGGCGCACCATTCTCGACCACTCGAATCGGGCAGGCTGCGAGTCGGACGTTACCGCGTGTTCGCAACCCAGTCCATACTATCTCTTCTCAGATAGAAACCAATGGGCAGTACCATGGTGATGGAGTAACACAACTGGGTTGGACTGCCATGTGACTCGTTCAGTCTGGTTGATTAGCGACATGACATCGATCGGTAGCACCTCTTTCTTTCTTTAGGACCTCGTTTGATGGACAGACAAGACGATTGATCCGCCATGACACGAGTGGATGGAGGAGGCTGTGATGGTGGCCAGGTGAGCATGGCAAACCCCGTGGGCGTTTGTTTGCGTGATTTTTCGGAGAAGTGTGCACGCGTGTGCGAAGCCTGTCTAGCTCAGTTGGTAGAGCGCAAGACTCTTAATCTTGTGGTCGTGGGTTCGAGCCCCACGGTGGGCGACTACCAATGATGCGATCGAAACGGATGCAGTCCCGATCTCTTTTAGAGCCGCATCTTTTCTGTCTCTTCGTTACAGTGGTTTATCAGCTGGATTGGCTCCAGAACAAGGCGCACCATTCTCGACCACTCGAATCGGGCAGGCTGCGAGTCGGACGTTACCGCGTGTTCGCAACCCAGTCCATACTATCTCTTCTCAGATAGAAACCAATGGGCAGTACCATGGTGATGGAGTAACACAACTGGGTTGGACTGCCATGTGACTCGTTCAGTCTGGTTGATTAGCGACATGACATCGATCGGTAGCACCTCTTTCTTTCTTTAGGACCTCGTTTGATGGACAGACAAGACGATTGATCCGCCATGACACGAGTGGATGGAGGAGGCTGTGGTGGAGGACAGGTGAGCATGGCAAACCCCGTGGGCGTTTGTTTGCGTGATTTTTCGGAGAAGTGTGCACGCGTGTGCGAAGCCTGTCTAGCTCAGTTGGTAGAGCGCAAGACTCTTAATCTTGTGGTCGTGGGTTCGAGCCCCACGGTGGGCGACTACCAATGATGCGATCGAAACGGATGCAGTCCCGATCTCTTTTAGAGCCGCATCTTTTCTGTCTCTTCGTTACAGTGGTTTATCAGCTGGATTGGCTCTAGAACAAGGCGCACCATTCTCGACCACTCGAATCGGGCAGGCTGAGGGTCGGACGTTACCGCGTGTTCGCAACCCAGTCCATACTATCTCTTCTCAGGTAGAAACCAATGGGCAGTACCATGGTGATGGAGTAACACAACTGGGTTGGACTGCCATGTGACTCGTTCAGTCTGGTTGATTAGCGACATGACATCGATCGGTAGCACCTCTTTCTTTCTTTAGGACCTCGTTTGATGGACAGACAAGACGATTGATCCGCCATGACACGAGTGGATGGAGGAGGCTGTGGTGGTGGACAGGTGAGCATGGCAAACCCCGTGGGCGTTTGTTTGCGTGATTTTTCGGAGAAGTGTGCACGCGTGTGCGAAGCCTGTCTAGCTCAGTTGGTAGAGCGCTAGACTCTTAATCTTGTGGTCGTGGGTTCGAGCCCCACGGTGGGCGACTACCAATGATGCGATCGAAACGGATGCAGTCCCGATCTCTTTTAGAGCCGCATCTTTTCTGTCTCTTCGTTACAGTGGTTTATCAGCTGGATTGGCTCTAGAACAAGGCGCACCATTCTCGACCACTCGAATCGGGCAGGCTGCGAGTCGGACGTTACCGCGTGTTCGCAACCCAGTCCATACTATCTCTTCTCAGATAGAAACCAATGGGCAGTACCATGGTGATGGAGTAACACAACTGGGTTGGACTGCCATGTGACTCGTTCAGTCTGGTTGATTAGCGACATGACATCGATCGGTAGCACCTCTTTCTTTCTTTAGGACCTCGTTTGATGGACAGACAAGACGATTGATCCGCCATGACACGAGTGGATGGAGGAGGCTGTGATGGTGGACAGGTGAGCATGGCAAACCCCGTGGGCGTTTGTTTGCGTGATTTTTCGGAGAAGTGTGCGCGCGTGTGCGAAGCCTGTCTAGCTCAGCTGGTAGAGCGCAAGACTCTTAATCTTGTGGTCGTGGGTTCGAGCCCCACGGTGGGCGACTACCAATGATGCGATCGAAACGGATGCAGTCCCGATCTCTTTTAGAGCCGCATCTTTTCTGTCTCTTCGTTACAGTGGTTTATCAGCTGGATTGGCTCTAGAACAAGGCGCACCATTCTCGACCACTCGAATCGGGCAGGCTGAGGGTCGGACGTTACCGCGTGTTCGCAATTCAGTCCATACTATCTCTTCTCAGATAGAAACCAATGGGCAGTACCATGGTGATGGAGTAACACAACTGGGTTGGACTGCCATGTGACTCGTTCAGTCTGGTTGATTAGCGACATGACATCGATCGGTAGCACCTCTTTCTTTCTTTAGGACCTCGTTTGATGGACAGACAAGACGATTGATCCGCCATGACACGAGTGGATGGAGGAGGCTGTGGTGGAGGACAGGTGAGCATGGCAAACCCCGTGGGCGTTTGTTTGCGTGATTTTTCGGAGAAGTGTGCGCGCGTGTGCGAAGCCTGTCTAGCTCAGTTGGTAGAGCGCAAGACTCTTAATCTTGTGGTCGTGGGTTCGAGCCCCACGGTGGGCGACTACCAATGATGCGATCGAAACGGATGCAGTCCCGTTCTCTTTTAGAGCCGCATCTTTTCTGTCTCTTCGTAGGATAAAGGTATTTGACACGAGGTCGAGCTTAAGCCAGGCTCGAAATACTGTGTCATGAAGCAGTGGCCACTGCCTCGTGAACAAGTACTTGCGATCGACAAGTTCTTTGCCGATCGTTTAGCTGCGGGCCATGTGAGGGAATCAACTTCCCCACATAGTTCTCCGACCTTCTGTGTGCGAAAAGCAACAGGAGGGTGGCGGATTGTGCATGCATTTAACAAGTTGAACGCTGCAACGATACCGGCTCAGACGCCGATACCCAGGAAGGACGTAATCATTGATGGTATGTCAAAGAGTACCATCTTTTCGTCCATGGATTTGATGGATGACTTCTATCAAATCCTTATGCGAGAACGGGACATACCCTATACCGCAGTGAGCACGCCTAGCGGCATGCCCTTGGAATGGCTAGTTATGTTACAAGGGCTTAGTAATGCCCCTGCCACGCTCAACAGATGTGTATCACATCTGTTGAGACCAGTACGATAATTCGCGCCGAGTTATTTCGATGACGTATTCATCAAAAGTCGGGCTATGGATGGAAAGTCGGATGTTGAGGTTCACAGATACCACATCCGACAGGTTCTTACAATCATGCGAAAGCATCAATCGTATGCAAATCTCAAGAAGTGTGCATTTGCAGCAAGCGAAATACCACTTCTTGGGTGCATCTTTGGTAAGAACGGTGTACGTCCTGATCCCGAAAAGATCAAGGCGATCACCGACTGGCCTGTGCCGGTTGATGCCAAAGGTCTTCGAAAATTCCTTGGGCTAGCAGCGTATTTGCATAAGTATTCACGCAATTACGCCGAGATGACTGTGCACCTCTCCCGTTTGTTGAAAAAGAACGAGAGGTGGTTATGGAACGCTGAATGTCAGCTCTCCTTTGAGGGTATCAAGCAGAGCTTGATACAATCCCCAGTCCTAGCAATAGCCGATCAGGACAGGCCATTTCATGTGGTCTGTGATGCCAGCGATTTCGCAATCGGCTGTGCATTAATGCAGTACGATCTTGAAGGCGTTGAACGCGTCGTCTGCTATCAGTCGCGTCAGCTGCAACCAGCTGAGCGGAACTATCCAGTGCATGACAAGGAACTCCTTGCCATGAAGTATGCACTCGCGAAGTTCAGAGTCTATCTATTAGGAGATAGACCCTTCGTTGTTTACACTGACCATGCGTCATTACGCACGGCAGTGAACAGCCCGCACCTTCCACAACGAATGGCGCGGTGGTTGTCATTCTTTGCAGAATACAACTTTACGGTCGAGTACAAACCAGGACGACTCAATGTCGTCGCTGATGCACTCTCACGTCGTCCCGACTTTGAAACAGTCGCGAAACCCAACAGTGAGACATTCACTGTTGCGGTTATGACGTCCACAGTCCCATCTTCAACGTTACATGATGATGTGAGGCGGGCGTATGACCAAGATGGTGAGATAGTGAAGTTGTTGACACATCTCTCCCAACCATCTCGAGAATCGTTGAAACGATTGTCGTCTGCGTATCGATCTGCATCAGATCGATACACTACTCGTAACGGTTTACTGTACTATACAGCCGTTTCTGGTGACACACCACGTGTTGTCATTCCAGATGATATTGATCTGCGTTTGCGGATCATGTTCGAGTATCACGATGCTCCTATAGGAGGACATCGTGGCCGAGAGAAAACATATCTCACGGTAAGTCGAGACTTTTACTGGCCCCGCCAGTATCAGTTTGTGCGAAAGTATGTTCGCGCATGTGAAGTCTGTCAACGAGTGAAGTCAAGTCCTTCACTGCGTGCACCTTTACAGCCTCTACCGGTTCCGGCTGAGTGCTGGGAATCCATCTCAATGGATTTTGTCTTCGGGTTACCCAAAGACGCACGCGGGAATACGGGTATTCTCGTATTTGTTGACAGATTCAGCAAAATGGTACACCTTGTGGCTGTACCAGAGACAATCACGGCAAGTGGCTGTGCTTGTGTCTTTATTGACACCATCTTCCGACTTCATGGGTTGCCCCGTGAACTCGTATCAGACAGAGATCCACGATTCACTGCTGATTTCTGGCGTTCCGTGTTCAAATCACTCGGAACGCGCTTGAAGATGTCAACATCTGATCATCCAGAGTCTGATGGTCAGACGGAACGTGCCAATCGTGTCCTTGAAGACATACTTTGAGGATACGTACACTCCTTTAAGAGTTGGAGTGAGTTTTTGCCAATGGTAGAGTTTGCCATCAACAACTCGGTGCATGCGTCCACGACACATACACCGTTTTACGTGAATGGCTTGCGCCATCCGCGTGTACCCACCTTACTCGAGTGTGACTCTGGTTTAAGGGGGGGAGGGACTCGCGCGAGCAAAAACCGATTTGGTTCACGCTCATCACGCTCTGACGAAGAGGTCATTGCGTTTGATGCCGATATCGATAACATCGATATCGAAGAAGATGATGCCAGTGAGAGTGCGGAAGCCCTCACTGAAGAAAAGGTTGATGTTGCTGCAGTGCGCTCACAGCGCACTGAAGCTAACGAGTCATCAGATGAGTTCATACTGGCTCGTGAAACGGTAGTCCGTTTTGTGCAAGACTCCATCGCCGAAGCGGTGGATAAGCAAAAGCAAAACGCTGATAAGAATGGAAGGGCAAACACTCTTTTATTTAATAAAGGTGACTTAGTCCTACTGTCTACGGTTAATCTACCAAAGCATGTAGTGACTAACTTGGGTAGCAGTAAACTACTACCCAAGTACATCGGCCCATTTCGTGTACTGCACCGCCTAGGCAATGCATACACGATCGAATTACCACGTACGATGCGAACGCATCCCACGTTTTACGTTGGTCGGCTTAAGCCGTACCATCAGTACGCTGTTTCTTCCGATGAAGAACGCCCTTGCGCTCAAGCATCTCGCAGAGAGCCTTGTGCTCCCGATGGTGGGCATCGACAAGGGTCTGAAGAGCGGTTATCTCATCCCGAGAACGATCAACAATCCCACGAGCTATCCTTATCTCGTTGTGCAGAGATGTCAGAGATCTCTCGTTCTCAAGCTGAGCAAAGGAAAACTCAGCTCGATGCTTCAAGACAGTGTCCGCCAATTGGAGACGCCTGTCCCGCTCATGTTCGAGATCGTCGCGTAACCCTTGCGTTACGCGATCAAAGAAGCTCTCGGGAACACACCGATCCACATGATCGTGTGGAGAGCGTCTTTCCTCCTCCTCCACCTCCATTAGAGGACTCTCGCGGTGGCCAGCGCTATCTAGTTGAGCAGCTGTTGAACCACCGCGATGTGAATGGACGTCGGACGAGTTATCTCGTCCGGTGGCGCGGTTATCCCCCGTCCTGGGATACTTGGGAGCCCCGCTCCCAACTGATGATTGACGTACTGGGTCTGGTTGAGCAGTACGACGCGGCACATCCTGAGCCGCAGAAGGACCGCCGGAGAAAGTCTTCCCGGCACGGTCGTAAAGGGATTTCAAGTTGTCAATCCCTTCGTGCATCTCACTAGAGATACGTACGCGTCACCATGGACTAGTAAGGTAGTAAGCCTCCTTAGGTGCGCGCGCAGAGTTGTTTACACAACAAGAGCACGGGTCTCCCTAGGAAAGACAGGGTAACCCACCCCCCTTAGACAGACGATGCAGCTTATAGCGTGCACCTTTCGGGGTTCGCTTTTCAAACTTATCACGAGCTTTGATGAGTTTGTCGTTCCAAGCGTCACGACCTACATCCTCGAGTTTATGGATGTAGGCGTTCCACGCCTGAAGTAGTGAGGGACCATCACGTTTGTGATTCCCACTGTACCATCGATGTCTAAAGAAAGCATCGATGAGGAATTCTTGTTCAGCGCGATAGTTTTTCGCGCTGGGGTCAAGGTGATGAATCCTTGACGAATCGAACAATCGTGTTCGATAACGATCACTCGTCGTCGCCGACAAGTGATCCATGACTGATTTGGGAGGCATCCATGCCTTCTTCTCGGGAGCGAGACGCAACACACTGCGGTCCCGCTCTTCCTGCGACGTGCCGACAGAAGTACTGGCACCTCGTTGCGAAGTGGTGTCAATTGGAGAACCGACAACACTGTGAGCGCCCGAGTCTTGCGACCTCCAGCGCCTTTGCTTCGGCGATGGTTCATCTGACTCATCAGATGAACCAAAGATGCTGCGACGCAAAGCATCGTCCATGCCACGCTTGGCAGGCGGCTTGGATTCAATTGCCATCGATACAGATCCATCTTCCGTATCGGGAGAGTATGAGACACCAAGCTCATACTCTGTGAAGACAGGAGTGTCTTCAGGACGAGCGCCTGCATCACCAGGTGACACAGGCTGAGTCGCTTCAGCAACCGATGACACATCAGTTGCTGTTGTTTCTGCATCGACGTCTGCACAGAGACGTGCAGACGCACTCTCATCGGCCTTGTTCGCGCACCGCATAAGCTTGTTTACCATGCGATGAGATGTTGGAAAGTGGACGCGGACCAACAAGTGCAAACCCTGTCCCAAATGATTTGGGACCAGTATCGATTTAGTCAATCAGTCACTAAAGTGACTGATGGTTAGGGGGGGGGTGATGTAACGGGGTGAATCGTTACATAACAATTTATAAGAAATTGTTAATAGAATATAACTATAAGAGTTATGTTCTCAGAATATTGTCATAAGGACGAATATTCTGTAGCACTTACGAGTAGTTCCTAATTGGTTGATATAGGCCATTATATCAACCAACGAAGACGCGCCACGACAGACGCACGCAATGAGTGGTGAGCAGATATTTGATTTACACATTTGTATTCAGACATAGTTAGATGAAGATAAATAGTGATTTATTGCAGACATTAACTATACTAAATACAGTTCTACTTTTTACTTTAACCAAGTACTCGCTTCTTCTTACCGTCTTCCTCTGCACGTACGAGTGTACGTAAAGCTACGAGGCACCGCCTTATTCTGTCATCAGAATAAGTGGCTTGTACTGTCACCAGTACAAGCTTCAGGGTGCCCCGTTACATATAGCGTGAGCAGCATGCAGCCATGCGTGGACCTAGGATGTAATGGGGCACCTTGAAGCTTGTACTGGTGACAGTACAAGCTCCTTATTCTGATGACAGAATAAGGCGGCGCCTCGTAACTTCACGTACACTCGTACGTGCAGAGGAAGACGGTAAGAAGAAGCGAGTACTTGGTTAAAGTAAAAAGTAGAACTGTATTTAGTATAGTTAATGTCTGCAATAAATCACTATTTATCTTCATCTAACTATGTCTGAATACAAATGTGTAAATCAGTTATCTGCTCACCACTCATTGCGTGCGTCTGTCGCGGCGCGTCTTCGTTGGTTGATATAATGGCCTATATCAACCAATTAGGAACTACTCGTAAGTGCTACAGAATATTTGTCCTTATGACAATATTCTGAGAACATAACTCTTATAGTTATATTCTATTAACAATTTCTTATAAATTGTTATGTAACGATTCACCCCGTTACATCACCCCCCCTAACCATCAGTCACTTTAGTGACTGATTGACTAAATGGATACTCGTCCCAAATCATTTGGGACGGGGTTTGCACTTGTTGGTCCGCGTCCACTTTCCAACATCTCATCGCATGGTAAACAAGCCCATGCGATGCGCGAGCAAGGCCGCCGAGAGCGCGTCTGCACGTCTCTGTGCGGACGCCGATGCAGAAACAACAGCAACTGATGTGTCATCGGTTGCTGAAGCGACTCAGCCTGTGTCACCTGGTGATGCAGGCGCTCGTCCTGAAGACACTCCTGTCTTCACAGAGTATGAGCTTGGTGTCTCATACTCTCCCGATACGGAAGATGGATCTGTATCGATGGCGATTGAATCCAAGCCGCCTGCCAAGCGTGGCATGGATGATGCTATACATCGTAGCATCTTTGGTTCATCTGACGAATCAGATGAACCATCGCCGAAGCAAAGGCGCTGGAGGTCGCAAGACTCGGGCGCTCACAGTGTTGTCGGTTCTCCAATTGACACCACTTCGCAACGAGGTGCCAGTACTTCTGTCGGCACGTCGCAGGAAGAGCGGGACCGCAGTGTGTTGCGTCTCGCTCCCGAGAAGAAGGCATGGATGCCTCCCAAATCAGTCATGGATCACTTGTCGGCGACGACGAGTGATCGTTATCGAACACGATTGTTCGATTCGTCAAGGATTCATCACCTTGACCCCAGCGCGAAAAACTATCGCGCTGAACAAGAATTCCTCATCGATGCTTTCTTTAGACATCGATGGTACAGTGGGAATCACAAACGTGATGGTCCCTCACTACTTCAGGCGTGGAACGCCTACATCCATAAACTCGAGGATGTAGGTCGTGACGCTTGGAACGACAAACTCATCAAAGCTCGTGATAAGTTTGAAAAGCGAACCCCGAAAGGTGCACGCTATAAGCTGCATCGTCTGTCTAAGGGGGGTGGGTTACCCTGTCTTTCCTAGGGAGACCCGTGCTCTTGTTGTGTAAACAACTCTTCACGAGCACCTAAGGAGGCTTACCTCCCTAATAGCCCGTGGTGGCGCGTACGTATCTCTATTGAGATGTACGAAGGGATTGACAACTTGAAATCCCTTTACGACCGTGCCGGGAAGACTTTCTCCGGCGGTCCTTCTGCGGCACAGGATGTGCCGCGTCGTACTGCTCAACCAGACCCAGTACGTCAATCATCAGTTGGGAGCGGGGCTCCCAAGTATCCCAGGACGGGGGATAGCCGCGCCACCGGACGAGATAACTCGTCCGACGTCCGTTCACGTCGCGGTGGTTCAACAGCTGCTCAACTAGATAGCGCTGGCCACCGCGAGAGTCCTCTAATGGAGGTGGAGGAGGAGGAAAGACGCTCTCCACACGATCATGTGGATCGGTGTGTTCCCGAGAGCTTCTTTGATCGCGTAACGCAAGGGTTACGCGACGATCTCGAGCATGAGCGGAATAGGCGTCTCCAAATGGCGGACACTGCCTCGAAGCATCGAGCTGAGTTTTCCTTTGCTCAGCTTGAGAACGAGAGATCTCTGACATCTCTTCGTGACGAGCTAAGGGTAGCTCGTGGGATTGCTGATCGGTCTCGGGATGAGATAGATGCTCTTCAGACCCTTGTTGATGCCCAACATCGGGAGCACAAGGCTCTCTGCGAGATGCTTGAGCGCAAGGGCGTTCTTCATCGGAAGAAACAGCGTACTGATGGTACGGCTTAAGCCGACCAACGTAAAACGTGGGATGCGTTCGCATCGTACGTGGTAATTCGATCGTGTATGCATTGCCTAGGCGGTGCAGTACACGAAATGGGCCGATGTACTTGGGTAGTAGTTTACTGCTACCCAAGTTAGTCACTACATGCTTTGGTAGATTAACCGTAGACAGTAGGACTAAGTCACCTTTATTAAATAAAAGAGTGTTTGCCCTTCCATTCTTATCAGCGTTTTGCTTTTGCTTATCCACCGCTTCGGCGATGGAGTCTTGCACAAAACGGACTACCGTTTCACGAGCCAGTATGAACTCATCTGATGACTCGTTAGCTTCAGTGCGCTGTGAGCGCACTGCAGCAACATCAACCTTTTCTTCAGTGAGGGCTTCCGCACTCTCACTGGGATCATCTTCTTCAGTGAGGGCTTCCGCACTCTCACTGGCATCATCTTCTTCGATATCGATGTTATCGATATCGGCATCAAACGCAATGACCTCTTCGTCAGAGCGTGATGAGCGTGAACCAAATCGGTTTTTGCTCGCGCGAGTCCCTCCCCCCTTAAACCAGAGTCACACTCGAGTAAGGTGGGTACACGCGGATGGCGCAAGCCATTCACGTAAAACGGTGTATGTGTCGTGGACGCATGCACCGAGTTGTTGATGGCAAACTCTACCATTGGCAAAAACTCACTCCAACTCTTAAAGGAGTGTACGTATCCTCAAAGTATGTCTTCAAGGACACGATTGGCACGTTCCGTCTGACCATCAGACTCTGGATGATCAGATGTTGACATCTTCAAGCGCGTTCCGAGTGATTTGAACACGGAACGCCAGAAATCAGCAGTGAATCGTGGATCTCTGTCTGATACGAGTTCACGGGGCAACCCATGAAGTCGGAAGATGGTGTCAATAAAGACACAAGCACAGCCACTTGCCGTGATTGTCTCTGGTACAGCCACAAGGTGTACCATTTTGCTGAATCTGTCAACAAATACGAGAATACCCGTATTCCCGCGTGCGTCTTTGGGTAACCCGAAGACAAAATCCATTGAGATGGATTCCCAGCACTCAGCCGGAACCGGTAGAGGCTGTAAAGGTGCACGCAGTGAAGGACTTGACTTCACTCGTTGACAGACTTCACATGCGCGAACATACTTTCGCACAAACTGATACTGGCGGGGCCAGTAAAAGTCTCGACTTACCGTGAGATATGTTTTCTCTCGGCCACGATGTCCTCCTATAGGAGCATCGTGATACTCGAACATGATCCGCAAACGCAGATCAATATCATCTGGAATGACAACACGTGGTGTGTCACCAGAAACGGCTGTATAGTACAGTAAACCGTTACGAGTAGTGTATCGATCTGATGCAGATCGATACGCAGACGACAATCGTTTCAACGATTCTCGAGATGGTTGGGAGAGATGTGTCAACAACTTCACTATCTCACCATCTTGGTCATACGCCCGCCTCACATCATCATGTAACGTTGAAGATGGGACTGTGGACGTCATAACCGCAACAGTGAATGTCTCACTGTTGGGTTTCGCGACTGTTTCAAAGTCGGGACGACGTGAGAGTGCATCAGCGACGACATTGAGTCGTCCTGGTTTGTACTCGACCGTAAAGTTGTATTCTGCAAAGAATGACAACCACCGCGCCATTCGTTGTGGAAGGTGCGGGCTGTTCACTGCCGTGCGTAATGACGCATGGTCAGTGTAAACAACGAAGGGTCTATCTCCTAATAGATAGACTCTGAACTTCGCGAGTGCATACTTCATGGCAAGGAGTTCCTTGTCATGCACTGGATAGTTCCGCTCAGCTGGTTGCAGCTGACGCGACTGATAGCAGACGACGCGTTCAACGCCTTCAAGATCGTACTGCATTAATGCACAGCCGATTGCGAAATCGCTGGCATCACAGACCACATGAAATGGCCTGTCCTGATCGGCTATTGCTAGGACTGGGGATTGTATCAAGCTCTGCTTGATACCCTCAAAGGAGAGCTGACATTCAGCGTTCCATAACCACCTCTCGTTCTTTTTCAACAAACGGGAGAGGTGCACAGTCATCTCGGCGTAATTGCGTGAATACTTATGCAAATACGCTGCTAGCCCAAGGAATTTTCGAAGACCTTTGGCATCAACCGGCACAGGCCAGTCGGTGATCGCCTTGATCTTTTCGGGATCAGGACGTACACCGTTCTTACCAAAGATGCACCCAAGAAGTGGTATTTCGCTTGCTGCAAATGCACACTTCTTGAGATTTGCATACGATTGATGCTTTCGCATGATTGTAAGAACCTGTCGGATGTGGTATCTGTGAACCTCAACATCCGACTTTCCATCCATAGCCCGACTTTTGATGAATACGTCATCGAAATAACTCGGCGCGAATTATCGTACTGGTCTCAACAGATGTGATACACATCTGTTGAGCGTGGCAGGGGCATTACTAAGCCCTTGTAACATAACTAGCCATTCCCAGAGCATGCCGCTAGGCGTGCTAACTGCGGTATAGGGTATATCCCGTTCCCGCATTAGGATTTGATAGAAGTCATCCATCAAATCCATGGACGAAAAGATGGTACTCTTTGACATACCATCAATGATTACGTCCTTCCTGGGTATCGGCGTCTGAGCCGGTATCGTTGCAGCGTTCAACTTGTTAAATGCATGCACAATCCGCCACCCTCCTGTTGCTTTTCGCACACAGAAGGTCGGAGAACTATGTGGGGAAGTTGATTCCCTCACATGGCCCGCAGCTAAACGATCGGCAAAGAACTTGTCGATCGCAAGTACTTGTTCACGAGGCAGTGGCCACTGCTTCATGACACAGTATTTCGAGCCTGGCTTAAGCTCGACCTCGTGTCGAATACCTTTATCCTTCGGTAATTCGCACGGAACAGTTTCAGTGAATACATCCTTGAATTCAACCAAATCTTCATAGAGAGGATTTTCCTTGAGCGATTCCCATGATTGGGACTCATATCGCTCAATTCGTGTCTTTTCATCTAGGGCACTCTCGTCCATAGATGAACTACTGAGAACTCTCTCGTTCTCAGTAAACACTGTTGCTGACCTTATGTCGGTTACATACTCGTCTTCAGCGACGAGTATGCAGATCTGCTTGACTCTGCCACTACGCAGATCACGCAAGAATCTTTTATGTTCGAGCGTTGGCAACTGAGTGATCTCCGAAGTTAACTTCGGAGGCGCAATCAGATCAAGTGTATAAGCGCCTACACATGATCCGTTATTGACTATGACATTCAATGTCTCTGTCATTTCCTGGGGACTTATTCCCTCAGGCTTCGAAGGACTTATTCCTTCGTCTTCCCGGGGACTTATTCCCGCGGGTATCGGGGAACTTATTTCCGCCGTATTTGTAATCTTGGGACTTATTCCCTTTACTTCCTCTAGCTGGGGTTGCGCAACCACAGCGAGATCCTCTACGAAAGAATCTCCAGTCGATCTAGGATTATCGTTTCGCTTAACCTGAGCGATCGATTGTTTCTCTTCTAGATGTTCCCCTCTAGGGATACATCTTTGTCCCAGTCCACCCGACTTATTCGAGTGGTGGACCTTCGGCGCAGCCTGTGTTTCCTCACAGCCGCCGGAACTTTGCTCCGAAGTGTAACCGTTTGGTACACTAAGGTTTTGTGCAGTCGTACTAACGACCGTACCACAAGTGAGGCCATCGCACTCACTCGTAGTACATCCACACGCTTGTGGACGCTCCAAAACGTTCATCAGATGGACATCTGATAAACAAGCGGCAGGCATCGTTACTGTTCGATGTTGCCAGTTTACACGTGGTTCGTACCTTCTGAGCCACGGTATTCCAAGGATGACATCAAATTTGTCATCCAAATCCAATACGATAAAGTCATCGTCATATTGGGTATCTTCTAGCGTATAGTGTATCTTCACTATACGCTTCATGACTTTTACGTATGCGCCTGTCGCAAGACGTACTGTCATCCTCGTAGGAGGTGTGTCACATTCACTGAACTTAAAGTGACCATCTTCTAGCGATTGGCGTCGCACAAAATTGTTGGACGCCCCACAATCGACTAGAGCTCGAAGGGACAACTTATTCGTCACTTCGAGTTTCAAGGTAATGAGTGAGACCTCATTACCTAGAGCAGCAACGCAAAACGTTTGTGTGTTGGGAGCAACCTTCATCAAGAGGCCTACAAATTCTCTTGACGTTGCTGGACCAGTAGGGTGCTCCGCACCTACTGATCCTGTCCGTTTTTTTACGGTCCATCCCGTTGTTGCGTCTTTGCACCAACTGCGGACCCTCGTCCCTGCCCCTTTCTCATGGGTGGACGGTCACTACGCCCAGTGTTGCGAGACACTGGACGAGGGGCACTACACTCGTAAGCGTAGTATCCTGTCTTTTGACATCTCTTGCATCTCTGCAACTTCTTGTAGTCTGTAGAGCGAGCCTTCTCGCTCTCTACATAACAGAGTTCCATCGGCTCTGGACCTCCGTTGTCATATCGTCTCGGTTGACGATATGATGTCGAGCTGGCGCGAGCCTGTCTCAGACTGAAGTCTTCCTGCTCCGCAATGGAAATGGCTTGTTCTAGTGAATCTAGTTCAAGCCGGAACAGGTGAGTCTTGACGGGACCATCCGCAAGACCCTGCATGAACACCGAAACCAACGTGTGTTCATCCACCGGATTGGAAATTATACAACTCGTGAGATGTCGTACATGTCGTGCGTAAGCGTGCACATCACGCTTACCCTGCTTGAGCTTCAAGAGTTCGGTTCGAGCCCTGAACTCAGCTCTATGCGGTTCAAACGTTTGTCTGAGCCGCGACTTGAAGACTTCCAACGACTCAAACGCATATGGGTCGTGCAACTTGAGCCCCAGTGCCCAAGTCTTGGCACGTCCTGCCAGATTTGACTGGACAAATGCAACTTGCATATCCCCGTCGTCGATGCGACGCGCCCTTATGGCGTCATCCAATTCGACGAACCATCTCAAGAGGGAGTCTTCTTCGACCCCCCTATACTTGGAGATGTCAATCTTCAAGGTTTCGGGTCGACGCGAGTGCATCGACCCACCAGCAGCAGCCTGCTGCTGTCTCAACAGTTCAAACTGTTGAGCACCCTGTTCTCTCAACAACTCTGCTTGTTGAGAACCTTGTTGGTGAAGCAAGGCTACTTTCTCGCGTTCTGCGTCAAGTTTATTTTGAATGAACTTGGCGATAGTAGCATGTTGGGCATCTCTATTGAGAGCCTCTAGCATGACGCTAACAGCATGGATGCCCATGGTCGAACCCATTCGTTCAACCGCATCCCATTCGACATCGCTCAAATGGCAGTAGCCGTCACGCGTAGCGTGAAAGCTTTGGTCATCTTCATCATCCAACATATTCATGTTGGATGTGAACGCGGTCCTTGGACGGACTACGAAGTGCTACCAGGTGTAACGGGGCACCCTGAAGCTTGTACTGATGACAGTACAAGCTACTTATTCTGATGACAGAATAAGGCGGTGCCTCGTAACTTCACGTACACTGGTACGTGCAGAAGACGACGGTAAGAAGAAGCGAGTACTTGGTTAAAGTAAAAAGTAGAACTGTATTTAGTATAGTTAATGTCTGCAATAAATCACTATTTATCTTCATCTAACTATGTCTGAATACAAATGTGTAAATCAGTTATCTGCTCACCACTCATTGCGTGCGTCTGTCGTGGCGCGTCTTCGTTGGTTGATATAATGGCCTATATCAACCAATTAGGAACTACTCGTAAGTGCTGCAGAATATTTGTCCTTATGACAATATTCTGAGAATATAACTCTGATAGTTATATTCTATTAACAATTTCTTATAAATTGTTATGTAACGATTCACCCCGTTACACTATATTCTCAATCAAAAGTCCTCATTCATCTAACGTTTGAATGAGACACGGCATGTTGAATGTACCGTCACACACGACCGGTTGAATATCCTATCTAACCGCTTTAACGTAGTGAGCAGCATGCGTGGAGACAAGGGCTTCTGCATTTGCATTTGGCGCACACCCTTGTGTAATGTAATCAACAATATGACGGTTTTGAGATATGAGCTTTACCAGAAGAATCAAGCATCATACGAAGTACCGAGTCAGAGCCCTAAATCGCTTTTGACAGGTTCTTACGAGCCACGTCTCCATTAAACCATCACCATGACGAATCCTCGAGACCTCCTGCCTCAGTGGCTCGTGAACCACCACGTGGCGGATAACCCCGTAACAATTCCCAGTCATATCCGCCTGATTCCTTGGGACGATGGGTTCACTCCTTCAGGCTGCAATGATCGTCCTGGTAAAATCGTGCGTGACTTTCCACGGGATCACCCAAAAGCTCATGTCATAGTGGATCAAGCAGTGTCGAAATGTACAGCTGATCAACTCTACGCGAGTGCAATGGAAGCAAAAGTGTGGGGTGTATACGTATCAGTAGATGATCTGCAATTGCTCAATTCCACAAGCAAATTAGTACCAAAGATACTGGAAGTCCAGCAAGATGAGGCTGAGAACTTAGAAAGTTATCGTCACGTATTAGCGAGACGAGCAATACAGGAATTTCTAGTTGATAACTTGGCGGGACAGGAAGTTATTAGCCAGAACGATTGGAAACGTACGCATGGTGTTGCTGTGTGGGTTATTGCATCCGATTGTGATGATGAGACGGAGTACCATTTGGACTATGCTGAGCAGGTCCGATATGAGACCAACGTGATCTTCCCTCCCATCTACGGTGCTACGTTGCACGTGAGTCCACTACATAATGACACTTGTGGTGAGAAGGTAAAAGAGGAACAGCGGAAGACGAGTTTACTGGAAGGTGGAAGTTTTTACGTGAATGTCAAGGGCATGGAACACTATGAGAAGTACGGCCACAAGACGCGCAAGCAGCCGACCCGAATGACTACAGATGAGCTAGAGAAGCTGAGTGCGGCAGAACCAGGATGGGAACGCGTACCGTACTTGTACCGTCGAGGCATCGTGTGTGACGGCGAGCTGCCTCACTTTAGTGGTCGTGTGCGGACACTGCCAACGTCAGTGTCATCTTCGGAAGGGGTTGAGCTGCCAATGAAACGCGTAATCGTGGGCTTTAATCTATTTCCAAGCGAGATCGGCGCGTGTGTAGCCAAGTTCCCGGAGCACAGCAGTGCTTTCAACCGTTACGTGAGGCTCTCTCAAGCTGCCGTAAAGCAGACAAAGTTGCTGTCGACCGCGAGTAACAAGGGCGGCTGGACGCTGGCCAGCGTGCGAGCTAACCCAAAGCAGGCTGCGTTTCTCAAGCTCTTAGCACGTAAGATGCGTGAAAAGGACGGGCAGAAGTCGGAAACTGCGGCACAAGCTGAAATGGCGTCGTGCATGTCAGAAAGTTTGAGCTGCAATGGCGAAGAAGAGCTGGTAGATGCTGAAAGGTGACGGGTGTGAGACGATATCACGGTGTAGTCGACGCCACGACTCTTACCTATTTTTCTTTGTTTAAATTTTGCGACATCTGCAGACTGCAGAGTTAGTTGTGGCGGAAGAACTTGAGGCTGACCCAGTTGGCGTAGCACGCCAAGATGGTCACAGGGATCGTGAGCGGCACTAAGTAACAGTAGTACACATCACTCTCGAGAGCAAACAAGAGGCTGGGGCTTGCTTGATCCTGTTCCGCAATATCAGTTGCCAAATAGTCGGTAGCTTCAGCTGCTGTTGAGGTCTCTGGAAGAAGAAGTACCAGCAGCTTGGAGAAAATCATGACATACCTGCAAATGGATGTAGTGCAATTAGTTGTGAGAGCAGTAGTACGTTGCACGATACAATCAAAGAGCTATGAATAGCGGTAGTACATGGATAAAATGAAGGTCAGGGCTGCTGTTAACACGATTACGTAGCCCCACACGTGACTGGTGGAGCCCACACGTTGCGCTACCACCTTCATTATGTGGTTAGCGCTACAATAACGTCCTCTATGAAACCTGCAGACTTTGTTGTTTACTGCACACACTTCGCACTCGCTGGTCGCTAAAAAACCTTGCAGACCTCTGACCAGGCATATCAACCGAGATTATCTTACGCGTTTACATTCCCGCATACGTTTTCTAGCATAGTCAGTTACGACATATACCTTACAATAATTGATCATAAGAACGGCAAAAGCTCGCTAATATGTACAGTCCCCGTGCTGCTGCATCCCTTGCTTTAATGACGTGTAATCGCCACTAAATTATAAATTTAGCGATGGCAACACCGCTCGATACTCCGAGTGACTCAGACGACGGCTTTCTGGACTTTCTGAGCGACAATGATAGTGACCACGAGACGCTCTTGGCGCAAGAAAGCGCGGCACTCGAACGTCGTATGAAGACCGTAGGTATCTGTACTTGCTAAGTTATCTCAGTCGCCATCCAGCGCCAGTAGCAAGAAAAATCACATTTTTTGTGTCGACTCTCAAACTTTATTGGCATGTAAAATATGCACTTGTTTATATTAATATTTATGATTTATTGAAACAGGTTGGCATTCGCGACGGCCTCGAACTCGGCAAGGACTTCACACTACAAGAAGGATTCGACATTGGTTTCGCACAAGGGGCAGCACGTACTGTTCAATTTGGAAGACTGCGAGGCGCTCTAGAAACAGCAGCTGGGTGTGGACTCGTGGACCATACATTGATGACGCAAGCACGTGCTTGCGTGTCTCAGTTGAAGGCTTTCGAGAGGGGAAGTAATGTGGACAACAGAGCATCTGATGATGACGCTGAACTTGCAATTCTGACTCAAGCTCAAGACCTTCTCACGAGCATTGGGGTGGACTTATCAGCTTCGTCAATGTACTTTGGAAATCAACAAGTTGGACCAGATTGTGGTCTCACCAAAGAATAACAACGTGTGAGATGGTAGCTTATTGATTGCACTGCGAGTATAGAGGTAGTTAAAACCGTTTTTATTATACGGTGCTGTGGTGGTGTGAGGTCAGGTATCTGGTTCATGGTAATGCTGAAGTCACACCGTAGTATAAGAAAGCGTGTACACTGACGTAGCCACCACCAAGCAAGATCTTTTCGACATGAACTTGACAGTAAAGAATGACGAGGGCTTTAGGTAAACGTCATGGCAATCTGAGAGCAGAGCAAGCAGATGCTTCGATGTACAAGAGGTAGTAGGATGCTGTTAGAGAAGACGTGTGTTTGAGCGTTCTTGTTTTCTTACAAGCAGGAGTTTATGCCACCTCTCTCGGTAAGGTCTCTGACATTTACTTCGTCGTCACTGTCTTTCGTTTCGACAGGATACCACCGTGCCCCGCTCAAGTCGCCACTTTGGTACTTACGATGTGAAGAGCTTGCGAGATTGAGTTACCCGTGGTCAAATCATGGTACAACATCAATTTGCTAGACATTGCATCTCGCGCAGCATTATTAGCCCATTCCGGCCTCCAAGGTTTCGATCGATTGAATCCATGTACGTACTTTTGACATCTTATAAATTGGCCACAGTCATTGCTTTGTGTAAATAAATTGAGCTACGTGCGAGCCACATTAGTTTGCAACGTATTTTCATGCCACCGATATATTGTATAGTTCTTGATTACATATCCTCTCGATCTTAGTGCTCACGATTAAGACTCAAGCGGTATAACAATTTCTTTAGAAGATCATAAACGGCGACGAGTCGATGACACTAATTTTGACTGGATAAATACCGCTGTCATGGTCGTAGTAAGTCCTAAATTGTTGAACGGTAAACCATAAGAAGTGTAAATTATGAGATTAGTTTTCTCATTTTTTTCATTTGGGATGTCGGAATCAGCTTCACCACTTTGGGGCTAGATTTATCACAAACCCACGATGCTCGAGGAGCTCTTCACTTGCAGAGCATTATTTACACATCATAGATCATGTCATCTGATCATTGCTACGATCGACGACCTCTCATGAATCGTGCATCTCATCTTGCAACTTCTAAAATAACAAAGTTTCTGAACAATTGTCATATCGTCTTTTGTGTGTTTGACAATATACATACAACGCAGCGAAAAGACCTTTCACCACTTGTGTTCGTTATTATCGAAGTGCGCCATTTATCTCTGTATTTTATTCCTTTTTCGATATTATTTCTCAGCACTCGTTGTACAGAATGCAACCGTGGGGTCTCTTGAGCTTGCTTCATCAGATTGAGGTTGAATGGTGAATCTACACATTATATAGCGACTAGATTATTCAACATTGTGCAGCACCAGCGCTTATAAGCTTTAGTGTCGGCATGCATCGCCATATTTGTGAGACACATTGAACTTTAGGCACTTTTGCATGTAAATTGTCCTTGTTTTGCATCTGCTATGATGTTGTTTGGGTGCTTTTCAATGTTTTCTTGTCAGTGTTATAAACAAAGCTTGCTGAATACGCACACACAAAGTGCTAGATAAAATAGCTCTTTCATTACGTGACTATTGATTCCCTCCAAATACTTCTATTCGCCACAGTTAAAGAGCTTGAGTGGACCAAACATTCGTGTCTTGGTCAGAATATCGCGAAAAAGATAGCCGGATCGAATGAAGAAACAAGACCATAAAACGAAAATGTCACACGTGTCGATAGAAAATGACTCTACACTTAACGGCGACGGATGAGCCTTACTTCAGGACCACATCAGCCGAAAGGGACGTTGATGAGGAGGCAGTCTACAGTAATAGACCAGAGCAATCGATTTTCGCCATTCAAAGCCAACGGCGTGAAATTGCAAGTATTTTAATCACTGACATACTCATGGAAGGCGATCCGACAAATGAGGCGCGTCTCTACTGTATTCCTGGACCAATGCATGTGGTGCATTTTGGTCAATATCGTTGACGGTGATGACGCATCTGAATGATAGAATTGACGTAAACTGTGGTGTCTGTTATAGCATAAATCGGTGATCAGGGATACATTGATCGGTAGCATTGGGGTAAGTGACGATCACTGTCACACCGACCCCTCAAATGACCTCTAGCGACCTTAAGTGACCAAAGTGACAAGGGAATATCTTCGGAGTAAATTACACGATATATGGATCTCTACATCTTCAATAAGCACCGTGTCATCGACTACCTATTTGGACGTCTGGATATTACACCTCTGAAGCGCCGACGGGATCTGCATATTTCAAGCAAATACGCAGCAGCATTTAACACAGCTATCGATGAATAGGCAGAATCGGCCTGTATCAATTTGTGCTCTTCCGTCAACGAGTAGAGTAAAAACTGACTGTGTTCGACAGTCCATCTGCAAGTATTGCTTTAGCTAAGGGGAACCTCGATCAAACTCCATGCTGAGTTAATATTCGCTGCGCTCTGAGCATTCCTCCGCAAAAAATGAAGAAAATCTGAAGGCGGGCATAAACTCACCTTCTTTTGAGTCAGCTTGCTCAAATAGCACTAAACACCGATCCGTTTACTTGTAGCAAGTCGTGTGTTTCACTTTTCCATCAATTATAAAAAGTACAGGGCCTTAGAGCGGATCAAGAGAACATAGCGCGACAGGGCGTGGGAGCGTACCAATGTCTTGTCTTCATTCGTGGTTTCTACCTCTAATGAAACCATTGTTCCAGTGGCAATCGAAGTGAACGCGAGCCATAGTTTTGTAAATAATCAGGTCTTGTCCAAAAAGCTCAATGTACAGTTAAGCAGGCTGTACAATATCGTCGTGGATACTATTTAAATGCAACGAAGTGTGCATGATGACATACGGCAGTGCAAACGATTGAGGTAGCATTGTTGTGACCGTGTATGCTTGTGTGAAATGCGTATGCCTCGATTGCACAGTCGCTGGACGCATCTGCATATTTGCGGGCCTTGTGGGTGAAGCTTATAGTGCGCGCAAGGTAAATGTTGAACTTCTAAGGCAAATGCTAAAATGCTGGGTTCATTTTTACCCGGTGGGGTCGTTTTGGAAGATTATTTAAGTAGCTCAAAAGTGCGCCCGATTTCTTTTGGAATAGGGCTCGTATACCCAATTTGCTAAAACTTGTTACTCCCTCGCTCGTGCAAATCTTAATTGAATTAACTGTTTACTATGTTCACCACTACGTGATATATCTTCCGCGTAAGTGTTTATTTTATAGTGGACAATAATGAAGAAGCTTTACTGCAGCAATCGAGTGACAAGGTGCCATGTAGTTGTAAGTCAATGTTCGGAGTGAGCGCATACACCACGGCCCCCGAGAACTAGCTAATAACACTAAATGAGGGCAATTCGGTGGAGGTGGGCAAGTGCGTGCTGATCGATTAGAAATGGCCGTCATACCAAAGTATGACCTCAAACTAATGGGTTATGATAATTTACGCTTTCTAGAGTGTTAAGACAAATTTTAAGATAGGCAAGAGGACGCAAGAGCGAATCTTGGACCGACATTTGACTAAACAACCGGGTTTGGATGGCCTCAATCGTTAGTTCGATCCTGCGCGAGGGAATTTGTTTTACTGCTATTTGTGGTCGTGGACGTTGAAGAGTGCAACGAAATGTGATTAACATGGCGCGCACTCTGGTGCCGTAAAGCTTACTGCGTGATCGAGTGCTCTTTGTCACTTGTGTGCGCAACATGCTACAACAAAAATGTAGGCAAGATGCGTGTTGCGAGAAGGAAGCGTTAGGTGAACAATAAGATTCTGTTGTATTTCCTTACTAGTTCTCTCTTCTCTGCCATGATCGCCAAAGCCCTCTGCTCCATTCATCCATCTCACACGCATTCTGGCTCTACTCGGGTCACTATCCTGCTTGTCACTCTGCGTCCACCATTTACGCACAGCGAATTTGTGACATCAGGTTTCCAAATAAACCCCAAGTCACCGGCCGAACACTCCGATCACCGTTACGTACCCTTGCACCCATTTCCAACATTCCAACACTCCTCCTCGGTCGTGACTTGCCCTCAAACCAGTTCCATTTCTTGAGCTTGCAAATGTCCTTGTCCCTGTGCTCCTCCATCCCTGAGCTCCTTATCGCCCTTGATCTTCCTTGACCATTTCTTAACCAATGCGCACGAGTGCGCGCAGTGTCGAGAGCTTCGTCGCGTCCAACGCCTTCGTGAGGAGGTCTGCGAGCATCTGCTCCGATCTGACGTAGCTCGCCGTGATGACGCCGCGACGCGAGTAGTCGCAAAGAAACTTAAGGCGCACATCCACATGTTTTGCCTTCAGCGACGATGCCTCTCCCGCAATCTGCGCGATCGCCGCTTGGTTGTCCACCCGCAACTGCATCGGAAGCGTGGGCTCCACGCCCACTTCGCACAACATCTCGCGCAGGCCGAGCAGCTCGCGCGCGACTTCACTCGCCGCGACAAATTCCGCCTCCATCGTCGACAGGGAGACGCCTCCCTGCTTCCGCGCACCCCAGCTGACGGCCATCCCGTTCAGCATCACGATGCCGCCCGTCATTGACTTCCGGTCCGTCTTGTCGGCGGCAAAGTCGGCGTCGCTGAACGCTTCTAGTCGCATCGCCGCACCTAAATTGTCTTCTGCGATCATCGTGATCTTAAGCTCCGCCGTACCCTTGAGGTATCGCGCGATGCGTTTAGCTAACTTCCAGTCTGCTAGTCGAGGCGCATGGGCTCGTCTCGTGACCTTGTGCACCGCAAGCGCTATGTCAGGGCGCGTGCAACGCGCCACCCAGAGCAGCGAGCCGACCAGCGACTGAAACTGGCGCACAGTCGGTCCTAATTTCGCGCTTGGCGTCCCAAGAAGCTCCGCGTCGCCCTCCTCCAACTCGTAGCAGCTGTCGTCGATCGGCGTCCACGTCGAGTTGGCGTCAGCGAGTCCGTTGTCGCGTAAGAGGTCTCTTATGGCCTCCTCCTGATCGAGCGTGTACCCATTCTGACCGTTGTGCGTCACGCGCATTCCCAGGAACTTGCTGACACGCCCCAGGTCCTTGATCGACAACGACGCGAGGCTTGCAAAGAACCGCTCGACCGCCGCCGCGCTCGTCCCTGTCGCTAGAAGATCGTCGACATACACGCCGACCACGACGAGGTCGTCGCCGTCGCGCTTCCAGTAAAAACACATGTCGCTCTCACACCGCTTGAAACCGGCAGTAGAGAGCTTTGAGTGCAGCAGCTGGCTCCACAGCCGGCCTGCCTGCTTGAGCCCGTAGAGGCTCTTCCGCAGCTCCAGCACCAGCTCGCTCGTGTTCGAAACGCCTTGCGCTCGTAGCGTCTCCTTCGAGACTGGCATGCCGCGCGGCATCTGTAGATAGATGCGCAGGTGCGGCTCCTTGTCCGCTTTAACGTAGGCGTTGGGGATGTCACCGTGCTTGGCAGGCACCCCCCACGTAGCCGCAAGCGCCAGGATTACTTTGACCGTCGATAGGTCCATCACGGCAGCGAAGGTGAGCGTGTAGTCGACGCCAAGCACCTGTTCGTTGCCACACGCCACCAGTCGCACTTTCAGCCGCTCGAGGTCGCCCTGTGCATCTGTCTTGGTCTTGTAGACCCATTTTGTGTGCAGCGCATGCTGTCCTGCCGTTCGCCTTGTAATAGTCCAGACGTCGTTGGCCTCGAGCGCGGCGATCTCCTCTTGCATCGCCTTCTTCCACCCTTCGCGCTTGCTGCTGAGCATCGCCTGTCCGTAGTTAAGCGGATCATGCTCGAAAGCAGCATTTACGACTTCTCCGCTCGCGGCTGTCTCCTCCTGACGAGCAGCCGCTTCTGCGCGTTTCAACGCCCCGCGTGTTCCATGCGCCTTTCGCGTCCATCTCTTTCTGGTTTTACGCGTCTCCCTGTTGCCCTCTGCGCGACCATCGTTCGCCACTGCTGCTGCTGGCGCGTCCGTCTCCTCCTGGCCTCCGGCTCGATCGCCGATGTCCATCGCGCGCTGGAGTTGCGCGTTTTGCGCCTCCGTCAGTGTCTCGATATTCTTGATGTGCTGCGTGACGACCACTTTATTGTCACGCGGCAGCAGCACCTTGTAGCCCTTGGTTTCCTCGCTGACGCCGACAATGATGGCGCGCCCCGAGCGCTGCAGCAGCGAGTTCTTGCGCGGGTCTCTATACACGCTGCACTGGGAGCCAAAAACGACAATTCCACGCAGATCCGGCGTCTTGCCCGTCAGCACCTCGAGTGGTGACGCTCTCTTTGCGTTAGCTCGCGTAGGGCTCCGGTTGAGGATGTGAACGGCGTATAGTACCGCGTCTCCCCAGAACATCAGGGGCAGCGCGCAGGCAAACATCATGCTGCGCGCAAGGTTCAGCACTGTCCGGTGCATTCGTTCCGCCTTGCCGTTTGAGGCCTGATTTCGCGCCTCCGACACTTGGCGCGCGACGCCCGTGCGCTCGCAGAACAGGTCCACGTTGGCGTATTCTCTGCCGCCGTCCGTGCGGAGCACGTGGACCTTGAACCCGAAAAGCTTCACGAAGTGGACGAGGAACGCCTCGAACTGCCTCGCCGCAGCGTCCTTCGTGCGCGCGAGGAAGACTCGGCAGTAGTTGCTCTTGTGATCAACGAAGTTCACAAGGTAACGATTGCCGAGTCGGTCCCGCGGCGTCATTGGACCCTTCAGGTCCGAACAGATGACGCCTCCGATGCGATCGATGGGCGAGTGCTTGCCGCTGTCTTGTTGGGACTGCGCGTTGCGCGTCTGCTTGCCCTCGAGGCACGACAAGCACGCCATACGCTTGTTGTTGCTGAGCCGAATGCCCGATGCCGGATCGCGCGCCATGCGTTCGATCGTGTCGAACGCAAGGTGGCCGAGGCTCTGGTGCCAGTGCAACAGCGAGGCTTCGTGCGGCTCATCGGCGTTGGTTTCCGTTGCATGCGCTTCGAGCGCCGCCATGATCGCGTCTCCGCCTGCACCTTCCTTGTCGCGCGTGGCCTTCGTCACGACATACAGCACGTTGCTGTCGATTGTGACATCGAACGCGACCGCACTATCTCTGCACCGAGCGAGCGAGCGCCTTTTGCCGGAGTGCACTAGGGCAAATCCTTTGTTGGCGAGCTTGCCGTACGACACAATGTTCTTTGCCAGTCGCGGCGCCAAGTACACATCCGTGAGCGTCACTACCGCTTCAGCGCCGCGCGCAAGAACCTCGAGGCGCACGCTGCCGACACGCGTCAGGTGAAGCGACTCGCCGTCTGCCATCGCAATTTCGTGGCTGCAAGCCGTCGACTTGAGCAGCAGCGACTCGTCGTTGACAAGATGCCGGCTCGCGCCGCTATCGAGGATCCAGTCTCCTCGGTCGACGCCCGTGGCATCAGTCGCCGCAAGTACGAGGCCGCTCGTGCCGTCCGTGGCTCTTACTCCGTCGCTCGTCGTAAGCACGAAGCCGCATGAGTCGTCTATGGTTCGCGCCCCATCACTTACATTGGTCGCTGCGGCGTCCTTGCCGCGCGAGCCCTTCTTCCTCCTGTTGCGCTTCTTCGTGGTCGCTCTGCGCTTCTCGGTCAGCGCAAGGATCATGCTGGCGCCTCCACCCTCCGCGGGTGTCTCGTCTTCGTGCACGACTCGCGCGCGACAGTTGGCTGCGATGTGGCCTGGTCGCCCACATCGGTAGCACGTGATCGCGCCCTTGGGTTTGCCTTCCACGTGCGCGGCGACGACCTCACGACCCACCGCGCTGCTGCCGTGCTCAATGGCGAAGTGCGCCAGCTCCTCAGCATGGCGCAGGTAGTCGAGTCGAGTGGGCTCATACTTGGAGCGCATCACGTTCACCAGCTCCGGCGAAGCGTGGTGGACGATGTTATCAAGAACAAGCGAGTCGGCACCACCGCGTGCCTCGCTGACGGCGACCATGTACAGGAAGTGCTCGGCCCAGGTGCGTCGTGCGTCCTTCTTGGCCATGAATAACTTCATCGCCTGGCTTGCAGTGATTGACGTCTTGAACTTGCGCAGGAGCTGCTCCATGATGTACTCCAGTGTGGGTGATTGCGTCCACCAGGTATCGACCTGCTTGTGATAGTACCTCTCAGCCGTGCCGGCGAGAAAGTGCCCAAGCAGGTCGACCTTGACGTCTTCGGTCCATCCGAAACCACACGACGCTTCCGCGAGGCTCACCGCGCGCAGAAACGTACGCCCCCACTCAAAGAATCCGCTCCCGAGTCCGCGGTACAGCTCCGTACCATCGAACTTGCGTATGTTCAACTTCCGCTGGCTAGCGGACGGCATCCCGTAGCCGTTGAGGCCCGGTCGCACATAGGCTTGTGGCGGAGCGAATTGTTGCGGCGGAGGTAGCGCTGCATGCTCCTGCGGAGGTGGCGCAGACGCTGGTGCGCGCTGCTGCAGCTGCGGTGCTGCGCGCGCGCGAGGTGGCTCGAGCGATGCGAATCGCGACGCGCCAAGATCAGTCGCGCGCTGGTACCCACGTGGCACCGGTGCATTCTCCTCCGCGTCTCCGATCGCGTCTATCGTCATCGGTCGGCCACGCATGTTGGCGCCGAGTTTCGAGGCAAACAGTCCGCTCTCCACGGCCCCGAGCATGCGCTCCTCCTCGTCTCGCACTCTCTGCGACGACTCGAGGCTCGCCAGTCGATCGGTAAGTGCGGCGAGCGCGGCGAGGATCTTATCGTCTCGCTTCCCGCTCTCGCGAGCGGGTCCATCGTTGACGACTGCGGGTGCGGTAGGCGCACGCGCTGGCGAGCCGCGCCCGGGCGTGGCTCGCGGGACACCCCCTGGTGTCTTCGTAGTCGGTTCGGTGGTTGCGGCCATTGGGCTCATAACCTGTAGGCAAGATGCGTGTTGCGAGAAGGAAGCGTTAGGTGAACAATAAGATTCTGTTGTGTTTCCTTACTAGTTCTCTCTTCTCTGCCATGATCGCCAAAGCCCTCTGCTCCATTCATCCATCTCACACGCATTCTGGCTCTACTCGGGTCACTATCCTGCTTGTCACTCTGCGTCCACCATTTACGCACAGCGAATTTGTGACATCAGGTTTCCAAATAAACCCCAAGTCACCGGCCGAACACTCCGATCACCGTTACGTACCCTTGCACCCATTTCCAACATTCCAACAAAAAAGGCTTGAATGAACAGCGGTGTAGAAGCGAATTCATACTCGTGCCAAAGAAGTGTCGAGGGCAAAGTTTAGTGTATAAAGACTCATTCTCTCTCACGTCGCTATAAAGGAGATAAGAAGCAGATAGTGTGGTGAATTTATTTGGGCGCTATGCATTAAGAAATTTTTCGTTGATGAGTGCAAATTCGCTAAAACACAAGAGGAGAAGAGTTGCGCAAATGCGCATCTGCCTGCACTGTTTCCAGGCGATAACGACTACTCCAAAGCCAAGTTCTGCAGTCATGCAGACAGCCCACTCTTGATAATGTCAATCAAATCTTTGGCGTTGATGATGCTGGTCGGTATGTGTAGGCGCTGGTAGGCGGACACTATAACGACCGGGACGACAAATTGCCGAAACTCTACTTGTAGTTCATACACCGTGTAAAGACCTTGCCTTGACGCACGTCTGGTACGTTACTAATGTCTGGATTCAGGTCGGGTTTATCACACTGCGTCTCGGCCTAGGATGCAGGGTGAACCGAACATGGAGCTGTAATCGAGATCATAGCACCAGCCCCAACAACGTGGCTACAATCATCTGCACAATCATTGCGAAATTCAAAACTTGCATCCGTCCGAATTACGACCAAGCCAGAGCTTGTCGCTCAATGAACTCATTACGCAGGTGGAGACCGCTACATTATGGATGTGCTGGGACTAGCTGCAGCCCCATCCTTCTCTAGTATTTTTGACACATGCAATCTATCTATCGATGCTTCGCAAAGCTCTTTACGGCAGTAGCAGTAGTGAACTGCTTTTTGAGCTCAGCAGCAACGACACGGAAATTTTAGTCGGCCTCAAGAGGAGAGAGCAGCAGGGGTGACTGTAGCAATTACAGCTCGAAAAAACATGTCTCGAATATGCATAGACTACCGCATGCTAGATGCTCATACGTCTGCACTCCAGCAAACAAGCCGAGACGATCACGAACTAGATACGCCAATTTCCGTGCACCAGGATCCGTTGAACGATTCTTGCACATAACACGCGACATTCGACGACAAGCCAGTGCTTACCCCCAACTTTACCCACATGAAATTACATGAGACGTCTTCGATGGACCTCTTTTTGCTTAACAAGACTGTGTCAAGAATTTCTATTGAGTTGGCTAGCACGGGCTCACCCACAAGGTCCCCAACGACACCCCAGCGTGGCGAGCGTAACTTTTTTGTCTGGGCGAACGCAAATCCGAACGTCATCGTGTGTCCACAAGATTAGATTCTTATGCAACCTCAATCAAGATTGACATGGGTGGAGGATATACCCCACCTTGCCATGAACTCGTCAATCTCTGCACATCAGAAGCAGCGCAGCGGGCGGTACCGTCTTATGAACGCGGATCTATCGAGACAGGGTTCTATCGATTTGGGGGTCTCCAAAAGCCACCTTCAAAATTCAAACCGTTGACCTGAAAAAGTACAATATATCAAGTAACCCGTTTTAATTTTGAAGGTAATAATATCGTATTGTGTAGTTTACAATACGATTTATTTACCCTATACCTAGCAGAATATTCCAGTTGGATAGAATGCGAACCCAGCATAATAAAAATTAACCTGGACGGTCAAAATTTGCCAAATTTTAACACCTACTTTCTGTCTCTGTTTGTCCGTCTGTGTGTAAATTACGCGCAGTGTCCCTAAAACGTCGTACTAAGTGCGACATGTCTGTCACCTCCTGTGTATGTGAATAACGCTTCGTGTATCTTACAAATCGTACTAAGTGCGATTTAGGATGTCTCCTTATTTTAGGTCAATAAGCATGGTAGGTGTCAATCTTCGATCAGATCACTTTTTGCGACCTTATAGATAGTGGTTGTCACACGTATTCATTCCAGCACGTGATTAGCTTAAAAGTGATGAAGGGCGGACAGAGGGATTACAAGCAAATGCTAGACACTAAAGGACAGCGAAAGTCTTGCACCTTTGCAGATGGAGTGAAGCGGTTTTGATCTTAAGTACTTGATATGCTGAGATTGTAATAGGATATGATTCGACATTTCGCTCCAGGTAGCAGATCAAGCTCTTTCAATCTAAATTTCTCTTTATCAATATGTACTGTGTCGTAGGCCACACTTTATTGTTTACGAAGAGCAGGATCATCCCCGCTTCTCTTTTTTCATCTTTGTCTGTTTCAGATAATCAACAACATCAACGAGAAGCTTTAATACACGCAATCCATCAGCACTATCATCGATAAATACACATATCACAACCCATTACTTCGCCGCCGGCCCCTACAAATGGGTACGTCAATATACAGAACTTGATTTGACTTCCATGGGCTGAAATACTTGTATCAAAAGGCGAGCTCCTGAGCTTCCCCTTCTATTCACATGTTCATTTTCACTTAAATGTGTCTTCGTGCATCTTTGTACTTTCATCCATTGACGCATAAATGATTCACATCAAATAATATCGTAGATGTCTGATACAAGCGGATGCACCGATACTTGTAACGACAAACCAGTGAGAGGCACAATAACTTACCGACCACGGCCTCGAAATCGCTGAGGCCGACTATAACGTCGTTGTCCGCAGTAGAGGTCTTGCTAAAATCAATAAACGTTGCACCCGCTCTTATCTTCAACTGCTGGACAAATATGCACCATCACATTGGGAAGTTACCCCCACCGATTATTGCCATAGCGCATTGTTTTAGCAGAAGCAGCCCAACGACTCAAAACTCGGTACTTGCATCCCGGCCGCTGTGCTTCAGCAACGTTTTCTCGTTAGCATATGAGTACAAGCTGAATCACTAAAAGAATCGCACGACTCACCGCCAACATCATTGCTAGTTTTGTGAGGTGGCATCGATACATCTGACGCCGGACGAACTTGTCCTCCGTTGCGGTAGAGCTGATTGTCATGAGCCTCCCCAAGCGAGCCAATTGTCAATCTAATGCGCAGTTATTGTCAGCCGACTTTATTGTCCGTACATCAGAGCACGTGATATTTGCAATCTCGATCGGAAGAAAATGCACATGCAACTCGTTTCGACCGGGAACCACTCACATTACACCCTTTCAGGTAGAAAAAAACCAGTGGTGTACTCAGTTCTGACACACGTTATCGTAAAAATGGCCACCGTCGCGCACATGAAGCTCCAGCAGAAAGTCAACAGGTGCTTCACTCATAAATATATGTGTGGCACTGGACACGGTACGTGTGAGTGATGGAAAAGAGTTATAGCAGGATATCGTAAGAGATCCCCCAATTCGCAGTGAAGATGCCGCGCAAGCGCTGAATATCTTGAACTCATCTTGTTACTAAGCATAACCTGATCAATTGTACACGTCGCCTGTTCGATTGGCCGAACTAGCTCGTCAGCATACTTACGCTGATGAAGCTGCACTTGTTGCTCGTTGTTTGCCCACCCGGATTCCATCTTAACGAAGTAATTCACGCCTTCAAAGTTGTTCGTCTCAAATCGACTATTCATCTCGTGCTTGAATTCAATGACTCCTTCAATGTGCGACCAAGACGCTAGAACATCGTCCACAGATATGAGTGCAACCGTGATTCGGTCGCCGCGCTTCTGAGCAAAACTACAGCGATCGATCTTTCCCTCTTCAAATTCGAGAGATACCAGAAAGCTGCGAAGACACTCGTACCATAAACGGGAAGCCTGTTTTAAACCGTAGAGCGCTTTGTAAAGCCGCCATGGTCTTCTTGTTCTCAGTAGTGTTGTACCCCTCGGCAGGCTCCAGGCAAATCTCTTCATTTGGTTCGCTGTTCAGGAATGCACTTTAGATATCAAGCTAAACTCTGTGCCCATTCTCTGTTGTAGCGACTGAGACCACAAGACGCAATGTTGCACGTCATACAACGGGACTGAGCGTTGCGTAGAAGTATTCACCTGGTCTCTGACTGAATCCCTTTGCCACAATACGAGCCTCAAAGTTGTCCAGACTTCCATCAAGATGCGTTTTGCGCTTAAATACCCACTTGGACTTCACAGTCTTGCGTCCAGCTGGAAGGTCGACTTCACTGATCGTTCGGTCGCATTTCAGGTTCCTGATCTCCATGTCCATGGCTGCTTGCCATTCAGCGCTTTAGGTGCTATTGAGCGCCTCCATCTCGTTCAACGGGTCGTTCTTCTCACTGTGGTTTGAGCTTATCGCCTTAGTGATATGACAATCCTCAAACTCCAGACGACCAGCAGTTTGTCGTGTCGCCCGCCCAGAGTGTCGAGGAGCCTACTGATGTGTCGTCCGTTCTCTCGATTCTTGTAACGTATCTCACTAGTTGTTGCACTACAGTCGCTTCTTCTCCAACGGCTTGTTGCAGAAGTTGAACGGCTGTGCGCAATGTTTATCCATCGGACTTGCGCCATCAAGAGCTTTTGTAGGACAACGGTTCTGCACGCAAGCAGAGCAAACGACTGCATCGGCCCAACCGATCGAGACCGACCTGACCCTAGAAGCATCGACCTGGTCATTTTCACACTCACACGATTACCTCGTTCGATCCGACCGTTGTGTTCTGGACAGTACGGAGTGCTCAGCTCGTGGACAACGTCCTCTTCGACACAGTAGTTACAGCTATAGCACCACTGGTCTATTCCAATGCGTTTTCTGTCTCCAAAAATGCAAGCCGACTGCAAGGTGACAGCCCGATGATGCTCTTCACGCATTCTTTTAGCGCGGATAGCTGTAGCTCGGACGACTAGCTGCGGACCAGATCTACCGCTTCGCTATGAAAGAGTTCAATCAGGATGTTGACCATGCCCGTGTGACCAATAGGTGACAACACCTGCATCAGGCCAGCGTAGTCCATACAAGTCCACAGCTGCTGCTTCGCAAGACCGCGTCGTTCTCGTGATGCAAGCGGCTTGCGAGTAACTTTGCTGCTGACGCATGTTAAACATTCAGTATCATCACTACTTGGCAGCGCAAAGTCGAGACGCTTCAAGCGCTTCGAAAGTCCCGCGTGATTTCGATGTCCAAACCGCTGATGCCAACCTGTAATATCATGGCCAGATGCGTCCACGGATGCTGCCGATTCCACTCCCAAAGCGTCAACGCTTGTGGCTTCAGCAACGAAATACACGTCTGTTAGTACACACATGGTCTGGCGGTTCAAAACAGGTCGAGTGCCTTCACTCGCTGGTGCAAGTAGCTGTTCTCCAGACGCAACAAACATCGAAATCGGTGGGTGATATCGTGACGACGTCGACGAGATTGCCAATGCGTCCAGTCATGTAAGTCATTGCTACACTATCAACCAGCCACGAGTGCACGTCGTCCGAGTGACTGACTGCTTGCGGTCGAGAAACCACTCCCAAAGCTTGCGCTTTCTTCGGTTGGAGACGTCACGACTGAAGCGCCGCTTGCTCTCGAAGCTACCAAAGAATTTGGTAGCGCTCGCTCGTGCTTTCGGCAGCAACGTGTTCACATCCTTGACAATTGCAGCTCCGTAAGTGGTCGTCGTCACGTTGCCTGGATGTGATCTGGCATCGAGTCACCGTCGTCCACATGCAGTGTAACGGGTAGGAGCACCGATAGTCTTTTCTACATATTAACACACCTGCAAGAAAACTGAAGCTAGTCGCGTTCACTTGTATCTAGTAGCAGTCGATTGCGTTCTCTACTCGCATAGGCACGGTGCTTGTGGTTATTTTAAAGGCCCTAAGAAAAGGCAGAGAGGTCGTACAAAAGCGTGCATTGTGATTTTCAAAGGGACACTGCTGCTGGAAAGAAGCTCCGAAGAATTCGAGCTATGAACTCTTGAACGTATTTGATAACCGAACGCTTTGGAACGAATATGTTGTAGAGCTGTTCGCGTCCGAACAGAGGCATTGATCTCCAACATAAATCATTTGACCGATGGTATGAGGCTGACTGGAAGATAGGGTGGTGGCTGAACATTGTACTCTACGACAGGCAAGAAAAAAGACAACGATGATATTAACTGAACACTTGCAAGCATTTTTCACACGATTAATCGCGCGTGTTTCAATCATCTACAGCTTTCCTTTTTAGGCTGCACTGTAAAGTCAAGAATCGCCACGAAGGCATCCCGTGCAAACCCGTCTTTAAGGTCAAAATGTCATGATCAATTTATGATTGGTGCTGTTGAATGATGTGGCCAAATTATCAAATGAAAGAATGAAAAAAAACGTACCGATTTCGATGCGTTGACATGCATTGCATTACTCCGCTACTGCTGCCACACAGAAACTTGGTGTGCGATAACTCCTCCTGCAATATCCAAACCACCAGGCAAGCATCTGTAACGCCATCGTATGAAAACTATCAAGAGGAAGTTCTCGGCAGAGCTTCGTCATCATGCAAGTTCTCTTCATCAGTTTTCCAATGCCGAAAAGTACGCATATGACGTCAAACGAAACAGAACTAAGATAGGGGAGCAAGCTCTAGAGACCTTCTTTCGGGATAGGTAATTCAGTCCATGGAACTGAATTAAGTTCTGTATGTTCCCGTTCCATTCGAGTAGTTAGCAGCTAGCAGATTGATTGTGTTTGTGTGTTCAAGATGTAAGTGTCGATATTCCATGCCGTGTTGAAGGTACTTGTTGATGTTTCTGATGTTCGAAAGAAATGAATGTGAATGGACGGAGACGAAGATGATCCTGCTTGGTAACGCCGTCAGCCACAAAAATGCGGCCGACGACATGTGATTGATTTACATGGAAGAAAAATTAAATGGATGGAGCTTTCACTGCTACCGAGCGGCAAAAGTGACCGTAACCTCTTAAAATTTGAGCATGTCAAGTGGTGCAGATCAAAATCACTTCTCACTTTCTGTTTGCGAAAGGTGCGAGACTTTCGCTGCTCCGAAGTGTCTGCTTGTTTTACCTTTGTTCGCCCCTCATCGCTTTTGAGCCAATCACATGCGGGCCTTGATGCGTGTGTGTGTGATATACACTTTGCTTGGTCGCAACTAGTGACGTGACCAACGAGTGACAATTCTTATGCATATCAGCCTATCAGAAGGTGACATGCTACATCGCACTTAGTACGACGCGAAAAGTACATCGAGCGTTATTCGCAGACACGCACACGTACTTACCTAGACAGAAAATAATTTTTAAAGCTCGGTATTCATCTGCGCACAGTCGCCAATAGCTTCACCCTTCGGGCTCACGATCATTCAAGCCACCAGCTATTACAAGGGCGCAAAACAGTTAAGACTCTGCAAACATTAGCAGGCGCACCTGGAATCGAAAAGCTAGGGTATATCGCTCAGGACTTCTCACCATGATTGGTACAACAGCCGCAGCAAGAATCTATTGAGAGGTTGATACGTACACCATTGCTTCGTCTTAGGCCAAGGCAATGGAGTTTTGCTTAGACGCTGCTGGAACCCAAATCAGTCGAAGGATGTCAATAGCTAGAGTGCATATTTTCGCGAGCAGCGAGACGATGCGAGGTGATGCCTAGTCGATAATGTCAGCGTTGAAACGATGGCGTAGCCACTTTGATCGACACGGTGTGGCGAGAAACAGAGCGCTACCACGCACTAATATTATGCACGTCAGTATTTACTGGAGTCTCGCAGGCTCTGTTTTTTGAATTTCTACTCTTGCTTCAACGAGAATGCAGTAACATCAAGTCCATGCATGACAGCTTCTTGCGAGATGAGCGTAACTTATGCCTTTGCTCGTTAGAACAGACAGTGAGTCAACGAGCGAATGTCTTGTAGACCTACACTGTACAATGACAAGTGTCCATCTCCACTGTTATTACTAGTCGGTTCATGGCTTTGTCATGGCGGAGATTGTGATGCATTACAATCATTCTGACGACAACACACAGCTCATGCACGGCACACTACCGTAATACACAATACTTAGACAGCACATCATCTCGTATAGCAAAAGTCGCATCAGATTTCTCCTAGCACCCCCACTGTTAGCGGGCGCTGACCTCGACCTAGCCGTCTTCCAAGCGCCTCACTGTGAAGCACTTTTAAGTGATGTTACAGTGCTTCCGTGGCCTCTGCACGTAAATGGACCGTGCCTTGTGCAGATACTCACGCTGCAAGAGGACTTAAGTGGTACGGTCTGGCATCTCGATGATAACTTATCGAGGCTCGCATGTACTTCTCCGATCTACAAATACCTCTACTTGTACGCGGTTACTAGTCGTTTGCAACCGTCGACAACATATCCCTATGGCCCTTCAGCTACTCATGTTGGTGAAGGCCAACTATACCGAGCCTACAGGTCCGCATGCATTCCTCAACTACGTTAACTTGCACTCGACTTGTGGTAGTACCACGTCATCGTGTAGCAACTGTCGAGTGACTGTACTGATGCGGAAAGAGCTTGCTTGTATCAGCTATGGATGCGATCATTCTCTCCCTATCAGTATGAACCGTGCACACGGGTAAAACTAACTCTTCTCATGGTGTGGGTCCTGCAACTAACTTGACAATTTCTCCTTCATCGTTTGCACAACTTGGTTCAATCCACTAGCTACACCACGCTCTCGCTGAACAAGTTTTAATCGCTTGAGACAATTCTGTCCGACACTAGCATGTAGCGATTAGCGACAAGGTAGAGGCAGCCGTGTTCCTAGGATTCGACACACACTACGATGCTTCGTGTTGGGGTTAGCACGTCCGATCAACATCAGTCGTATATGCGTTCTCGCTCACACGGACGTAGGGCACGAGAAACATGTTGCATACACGTGCTTCCAGGTTGCATCTAGACACAAGTTTTGCTTGCAGCTGGACATAGAGTAGAGAGGATAACGCTTCGCGACATCGTGACGTGGTACAGCTGCTGCCTACTGCTAGCTTGTGTGTGAGAGAGAGTGAGAGAGCGAGAGAGAGGGGGGGGAGAGAGAAAGGCATCTCTTGACGTATGTAACTTGACTCTCCCGTTCGTTCCGGCTCGACTTCATCCAGACGTCTTCAGCTTCTTATGTGAGTGCGAGGCGATGCGCAGTCGCTTCTACAAAGGATCTAAATAAGTAGAGGGCTCAAGGAGCTTCTTGCATGCAAAGACGGCAGAGCCAAAGCTCATTTTCAAGAACTCGAGCCCAAAGTCCTACAGCGGCAGCTAGTCAACTACGTCATGCCAAATTTCCAGCGTTCCTTGACGCTGCCTCCAACGGCTTCGAGGAACGCTGCTCGATCTGGTTATTCTCAAGCCCTCAAACTAGAGCCAAGCACGGCTTTTTATACGCCACAGTCGCTCTCATTCGCATGCGTGTTCTTCCATCTTGTCAGGGTAGTCTCAAAGAAGACGTTCGTGAACTACACTATGTAGTCCCGGTGTCTGCTAGCGTGCACTTTAATCACTGAAGAGGTTCCAATGATGCCGTAGCACACATCGCCCAGTAGCCGAAATCGTTCCGCCCAGGTCGAAGTTTCTACGTCGGTGTCCAGTATCAGTTTTCCTTGGTTGTGTATAAGCAAAAAAACAGCAAAAACGACTGGGAAGGGTGGTGTTCCTGTGCGCACAGTCCATACTGAAAGCAAGACAACGACCAACCGTCACGCGTAGCTGATGCAAACCGACTCTTTCAAGTCAGCATAGCAACTCGACAGTTGCCACACAGTGTGATGGAACGTACTACCACAAGTCACAGCGAGTAACAACTGCAGGCAGCAACTGATCCACTCGATGTTCATGGTCGTAGCTCAACGGCCATAAAATCCAGTGTTGATGGTCGTAAGTAATACGACAGAGACGCTCGGAGATAGAAGAAGAAGAAGACGCACTTGCACGCCTGGACAACCTTGTGGTCGTCAAAACGCCACACCATCCTATCTGCTTCCGTCTGGTCCTTATGTCTTTACTATCTCGGTCTTGCAAAGGCCAGGGGTCTCGCGGTGCTATCCACTGACGAGAGTGCACAATTCCAGGCTATCATTATAACATCGGCGTCCGAGGGCACAAGACGCACCTACTCTTTCCATCGCCCACCCCCCCCCCGTTTCTCCCTTCTTGCCCGTGCGAATCGCATGAGCATGCGTTTCCGAAAGTCCATTTTGCTGCCACTTGCTATTTTCGCTGCTTGCTGCAGCACCAACACAATGGCTGAGCGTCGACTTCGGTCCGACTATCAAGTTCAAATTGAAAAGGAGAATCAAAGCAGCGGCCCTCCCACAGGCGCCGTGGGCCTCACTGAATTGCAGGAAATGGACCCAGAAGAAGTGAAAAAGCAGATCAGGGAGGTCGCCATTAAACTGCCCATTCCTCCGGGTTTCACAGTTGACTCGATCGTCGAACTCTCTATGGCGAGTTTAGGCAAGTCTAAAGACAATCCCCAGTTCGCTGCAAAGTTGCAGAAGCAGACAGACGAGGTGAAGGAGAAGATGCAGAAGCGGGGGATCACGAAGATCGAGGATCTCGCCACGATAGAGAAGAAGGCGGACACGGAAGACGAGATTGGCGGTGCGAAGTAGTCACTGCTTGTTACCTGATGGTCGAGACCCTTCTTGGCGTTTTCTCTACTGATACTGAGTGAGAGAGTCCACCCAGTTGTCTATTTCGGTAGTAGACATCGTTTCCAAACATTTAACATACACGTAAACACGCACTTGATTTTGCTTCGTCGGGCAATAGACTTGAGCGTATCGATGTGCTTCTAGGAGGAGCCTTCAATGCATAACAAAGCTAGCCCAGACAAGTTTCTCGATACTGCCTTGTTCCCTAGCCAAAAAGACCCGTGTCCATGAATATTTGCACGGTGTTCATGTTTGAAATGGGCAGCTCTACGCGGCGAAGCATTGCCGACGGCTAATACGTTGCTATTGACTTTGAATAAGTCTGATTTGAAGATCGCATGTGTAAAGTTCTAGAGATGGCACAATGCTGAGTGCGATCGCTGGACAAAGTGTGAAGGCGTCGTGTCCGTTGTTCAAGTGGTCGGTCGAGTCACGACGATACGAACGTAATTGCTTGCTTTTGCTTGTGTGCGAAAGAACGACCAGGTTAGCACGCACCTACCCAATTGATAGCTTGTGCTTACTTGTATAACGACTAGACAGCAGCACTCTAGGTACCTGCAAAGTAAGCGCTGTTGATGGTGGGTGAAACCTGTACACTTCGCTTTGGCAGTGGTTTCGCTTTCCTATGCACACTAAACAAAGTAAACTAGCTGTTGAGGTTTCCTTGCACCGCATTACTACAGGAATTGATGTGCAATGCCCTTTGTATCCTCTCCGATGGCTTTTACACATACTTAGAACTTGGCCACGACTTAAGCACAGGGTCACACACCTCGCTGAAGGGGCAAGAACAGAAGCATGACATGTATGGGTCTTATTGACCAGATCGACGTAGTTGCACTAGACCATCGTCATGTCAGATGCTAACCAACCTGGACTGTCTAGCAACTCTCTCTGAAAGGACTTAATCGTCGCCATCTTCTTTGCCTGGCTAATCCGCCTCTACGTTTATTGCGAGCCCGAAGGGTGAAGCGAAGGTATTCGTGAGTGTGCGCAGGGTCGAATGCCGAACATTAAAATCGTACTTATCTGCGTGTCCGTCTGTCTATTTGTGTGTCTGTCTGAAAATAACGCAATCAGGTGCAGCTTGCCTGCACTAAGTGCGATCAAGCCTGTCTTAAGCACATAAATTTCAGGCATATCCGACGTCACTCTTTGGCTAGGTCACTTTTGTGGCATACGCTTGTGATTGGCTTATAAACGATCAAAGATGAATATGATCATGCAAGATAAGAGTGGCTGCTCATAAGCATAGACTGATCGCGCTGCCCCAGCATACTGTACTGATTGATTGGGTACCATTAGTACCATCTTCATTCTTCAGTGACTGCTGCTGTATAGAGTTTTGAAACTTGATTCAGTTCTAAGAACTGAATGACTCATATCAAAGGGCGAGCTTCAGAGCTTGCCTCCCTATCTTATCTTAGCAGTCCCTTTTGCGTACAAAACATAAAAGTGAGCAATGACAGGCGTCTGTGAAATCAACGTACGCGAGTTCCTGAAGCAGTAGTCAACGTAATATCAACATGCACCTGGAGCATGTCGATATCACGTTGACTACTTCCTCAATCATGTAGAGACATGCCCCCTGCCGAACCTGAAATAAAAAAGAAATAGCACCACCATAGCAGATCGTTGATCAGACGAGTTGTACGTGTTGAAGTGCAGTACCTTTTGTGAAAGCGTAATGTTTGGTCTTATAACACATAAAATTCCGGTTCCGTCGCTGGTTCCAAGAATATGCAGCCATCATCTTGAACGTGAGTCGATCGATTAAAGGGCAGCGCATGTGCTTACCTGTTTAGAAATGGTCTGTTTTATAAACAACACAATCTATTCCTGATCTTGTTGACAAATATTGCGGTCCTTTTTGTAACATCGGTTTTGCACATTCCAACTTACGATGTGAACCTCCGAAACAAACGAAACTTATCATGTCATACATGCAATTGCTCTGCAAAGTGCGCACATCAATAAAGAAACGTACATCGCCGTCACCTGCCGCACCTTTATTTGGACGGCCGTATCAACTTCAACGTTTTGTCGACAAATTTCACTGGTTTTGAGCAGCTTATCACTGGTTTCGATCAGCTTATAGCAGCTTATCACAGCAGCTAACCACTGGTTTTGAGCAGCTTATAAAAACAACGAATATGTCACCCGACGAGGAGTTATAAAACAGTGAACGTACTTTAAAATCGTCAGCCTTCTGTTTGCCATGGCAATAGAAATCCTAGGTAAATGTGATTCAGTAGAAAGCTATAGGTTCCATTCGAAATGCTCCTACAAATTTGTCAGCACAAAACCATTTCTATCCGCATCATTGAAGTCAACAGAAATCTGAAACCTAACAAAAGACATTCAGCGCTGAAATCTGAATCCGTGCGATGTGTTCTATTTGTTAGAAATCGCTTAACCTACATGTAAGAAACTGTTTTCTGGGGGGGAATCAGTCACGTTTCTATCTCGTACACCCACTCAGAAAATCGTGCGAGTCGGAAACCCGCCTAGAATGAGCCCAACCCGCGACTTCAGAAACCCACATCAAGCAGATACGACCCGGGTCCCACTTCAAGTTTGTGGACGTGACCACTGCGCGTCCAGACCCCCCCTTTCGCTCCAGTCATGAGCGATGAAGTAGTACTCGGCTACACTGCTGCCATCGTCGCTGTTTTCTTCTTCGGGACGTGCTACGTGCCTGCAAAGACGTATGCGACTTATGGTACGAGGTGGCTCTATACGTATACAAGACTCCATTGTCCCTCTCTCTCTCTTTAAATCAGTATCACGTGTCTGACGTGATGGTTGATGTGGTACACACAATCTGAACTTTGGACAGATGGCATCATCTTCCAGTGGTTTATGGTACGGATCCAAAATGGCTACATGCTCGAAAACAGCTTGCTGTATCCATACTCAGTCCTCTATCCCCTCTCCGCTCTTTTCCACCAATCAAAACTCGCGATGCGAGTCAAAGGAGTAGTCCGGACCCATACCATACCACTTCAACTTCAACGTCAAGTCTCCCCTAACAATTATGTACCGATGTACCTCTCTCTCTCTCTCTCTGTGCGTGTGTATGTGTGTCTTAACTGCAGTGTTCCGGGATCTTAATGGTGGGGATCGTCTGGGGACTCCTCAGCAACAACTGGTCGCAATACTCGCACTCGGGCATGTTCACGTTCCCCGAAGGTCTTCTAGGGGGTGCTCTGTTTGCCATCGCCAACCTTCTCATTCCCACTGTGGTCAACACACTCGGTCTCGGTGTTGGCTTCATGCTCTGGAACGCTGCCAACATCACCCTTGGCTACTGCGTCTCTCGACTCGGACTCTTTGGAGTGGCACCTACGATCCCGTCCATGCCGTTCATCAGTCTATTGGGCATTGCCTTCATGCTGGCATCCATTGCGGTCTATGGCACTATCAAGCCAACGCTGAATGCAGCCAAGACCGCCAACATAAAAAAACGAGGCAGGAAAGATGAAGACGAGCCAGAAGTCGAGTCCAAAGTGCATTGGGGCAGCAATGGCAGCAACGGGAGCTCGGACAGTCCAGCGGGAGAGCGCTCGTCTTTGCTGCCGCAATTCGCAAAGAACGCGGAGCTTACGAGTATCACGCTTACTCGACGCGAGTCACTGCATGAAGCACTGGTGCACCCGGAACTGCCCAATTTTGGACCGTTCATGATGCCAAATGAAGTCGGGGAGCACGTGGAATTGGCGGATGCTCGCGCTGAGCAGACGCGCAAAGTCTTTGGCATGACTATTGCAGTGCTCGTGGGCGCGTTCTTGAGCTGCTGTCTCGTGCCGTTTGTAAACTGGAACGACCGGTGCCGCCCGTCGAATCCGGCGCCCAGTAGCCCCATCGAAGAGACGTGCAATCCACTGAACTTTGTGTTCTCGCAGTGTTTGGGCATCTACTTGACGAGCACGATTGTGTTTTTGCTGTATTCGCTTTTCCACCGATTCGTGCTCAAGCGATCGATGCCCCGCAGTGTGATGCGTCCAGCATACGTTTGTGGCGTGCTGTGGGGAATCGGCTTGTGTGGCCAGCTCTATGCTATCGGCGCCTTAGGTTTCGACCAGATCTTCCCCATCAGCTCGATCGGTCCTGCGATGGTGTCAATGCTCTGGTCTGCTGGCTATTTCAAAGAGATTCAAGGCAAGAAGAACCTGCAGACGTTGGCTCTTGGCACGGTGTTGGTTCTCATTGGAACGGGACTGCGCATTGTCTCCATGTAAAGCGAGAAATAGTGACGACGACTAAATGAAGTGGACTTAGACGCAAGTTTTGCAATGTGGTGACGTTGGCAAAATTGTTTTTTTCTTGGAATTTGCAGGCGAGATACGATGACAATGAGACGGTTTGGTGGTGCTGTCGCACTCGCAGCCACATCACCAGATACCTCACGTGCACACTGTTGTCGAAGAAGCTGCTCGGGTACGCCATAGCTCGTATATTGATTCAAATGACTTGTAAGAACCGAATGTTAGTGGATAAACCCGTCTGCTCATTCATCAGCTGGAGACGGCGTGAGTGGTGTGCACGTAGCTCACAAACGAAAGCTCTGCTGTCACTGAGGTTTTGTCATAGCACGGCCGATCTGTAAAGGTGTGTGGTCTGAGTGCTCTGTGCAACCTTTTGCCATCTACTGCATTGCAATTTTATGACGACTTACGTTGTATCTTGTTGCAGTTGTCCACAGCAAGCGAGTCGCTAGGAATGTGTATTATACTGCAAAGCCCACTGCGAAGGTGACATCGGGAAAGAGTCTGGTAATTGTGCGTAAGATATCTGCCCGATCATCTTGCTGTGTACTAGTTGCAGCTGAAATCGATGTCGGAACTGTGGCTCTCCTTAAATACATTCTCTTCTAGGCTGATCACGCTTACGGAATAGTGTTGAAACTCTAGCCCAAGTGCTTGTGCCCCAATTTCAATGTCAATGTTTCGATCTGGTGGGTACCCAGCGACTGGCATCCGTGCAATTGAAAGTGCAGACAAACGAACCACACGACATGGATACGAGTGTTGCAACTACTAATCCTTTTGTCATTCTTTTCCATGTATTTGAATGACTAGGAAGAAGTCAAAGTGCAGCTCTACTGCTTCAATCGACTTGTGAACGGAGTACCTCCTGGTCGAACACTGATTGTTTTTGTGCTGCGGTGATATCTTTTTTTTATAGGTGATAGGTTCAAGTGGGCGATGAATCGTTAATGCACGGATTGAGCTTGTGTGTCAACTCACCTTCAGCCTGGACAGTAGCTGTAACTGATTTTCTCAGTGTTTTGTACTAGCCACGTACGTTCCACACCCAAATGTTCACAAACACAGTACAATGAGGACGACTAGCATCCGCACAGAATCCATACCCATTATGCTCATTTCTCGTCCTTAGTACATTCTCAGCATAAAGTTAGCACCGGGAACAGTTCAGAAATTATAGGAACAAGCTACAGCCAACTAACTTCTGGTAGTGTTCGTATTTGCATAACTGTACTGTAGTGACATTTTAAAGACGAGCTTGCTCTAGTAACGAGACCTATCAGCAACGACCGTATCTATGACTTGGTTATTGACAAGAGTTGCCCTGAAGTTTACATATCGATGAGCTGCCCCGACTGACAGCCTTTAGCCGCACGGCGACTCTGCCAAAGACGGATTTATTGTAACCAATTTGACGCAAAGCCCCTACCCAAAATGCCGTCATAGCAGCTACTTGTTATGCTATAAATGATCGCCCGTGCATCTTGCGCCATCAACATCGTGAATGTGAGATTAGAAGACATGAAAATGTCTCGTAACTCTTTCATGTACTTCTGAATGCTGCACGCATAAAATGACTAACCAATCCAAGATCTTTGTACAGCTACTGCTCTCACGATTCCTGACTGACTCTGCCTTATTGACCACTTACCACTTGGGTATCTATGGCGCTGATAATCTTGAAAAAAGAGAGTATGCAAAAGGTCAAAAAGGTCACAGGATGACCGAACAGTTAGTGTTAGTTGAGTGGGACCGATGCCGTGGGGAGTCAATCAGAGTCGAGTCAAGCTTGGTAACCTGTAAAAAAAATACCGTTGAATTGTCTTTTTTGCAGAAGCGTAATGCCGTTTGTTTATTCGAGTTGCGACGAGTTGCATTTTACCCAAATAGTCCAGTGGTTGTGTTTCTCCACAACTATCGACGGGAAAGCAGCTTAAGTGAACTTGATAGACGGTATCGTGCTCACGCTAGCTTGTATGCTACGGGATACGCGATATCTTGCCTACGATGGCTAACGGTCACGGCATATGCTGTATGCGTAAATATAGTACGAAGTATGCAAACACGATAAGAACGTGATGCAACTGCGACACTATGTTGCAGCGACCACGATAATGCCGTTCGTCTACTCTAGGACGACTGTCTCGTATCCGATGATGTGGTCGAGCCAACTCCGTCGTAGCTGGACCTACAAGCAGAATACAAGAAATATCCGTACTGCTTGTCCAGGGCAGTCTTTCACTGCATTTGTTGCGCTCTCCGAATAAATTTAAAGCTGTAGGCGACTTAGTAAGTCCGCTGGGCAGAAGGTGTCAATCAAGCCAGCTGACATGGATGGATACTAGTTCTTCTACTGATTCACGGAGCGGCACGTAGTTATCCGACGGCGGCAATGGAAGCACCTCTATAAGACAAGACATGAGAGTTGTAGCAGCTACGATCAAGATCCCGAAGCCGCTGGATTTATTCGTCGAGCACGAATCCTGAGCAGGATACACGTATTGCACAGCTACGTCATCATTGCACCATCGCCATCGTATTCTATGGGACTTGACGTTGGTTGACACGCACCGCCTTAGTCACTTAATGTATTTTGCTGAGCTTCAAGTACTACTCCGTCAGTGGGGCTTATACTCAGCGCTTGTACGTGCTCAAATACCTCTCGTCCTCTTGTCAGAGTTCTCTTGCATTGTACGACTGCTACACGTCTTTGTTTCGTCGGACAAATGACATCTGCAGCCGTGCGTGTGCAAGCACATCGTCCTATAGATTGCAGTAAGTCAATACTTAGCTATGGACGTTTCTGAGCTTCATCGTACGTACAAATCGGTTGATGCGCAGCAGGATTGGACCTGCACGTCCACAATCCTGCTAGTGCAGATGTCCCCAATTCGGAAGATCAAGATTAGAGGAGGACGACTCGAACATAAAATGCAACATCGTGAGACTGCACCAATCAATCCAAAGTCGTTTGCCAACAGACCCGCACGGCCAAGTGAACGCCAAAAGGTATCTGTTATCAAGATTTCAACGCGTCGTAACCTCGGTACTAGTTATTGTTACTTCAGACGAACCACAACTTCATCCCATAAACCTCCTGACCAAGTTATACATCCCAAAACCCGAACGTAACCCCCCCCCTTACAATAAATGACCGTAAGATACCGCACGGCCCACAACACAAAAAGACCATTCTCAGATTCATTCTCTGACAGAAAAAAAACCACGTGACCACCACCACAAAAAAAACACAAGGTCGGAACACCGTGTTCTTCCATCCACCCTCGGTCGGAACCCACCCACACAAAAGACGCAAACATTATGATACACACGAACCACCACAACGACGACGACAGCGGGCGGATGATGGGCAGGTACCACCGCCACTCGCTCGCACGCGCCCACCGACGCTGTTGCGTGCGTTTCGGCCACACGCACGTGCTGTGCTCGCTCTCGCCGCAACGCTATGGCTACTTTCCCGCCACGTGCCACGTCGGACCGCACTGGGGCTGCCTCCTCGTGACCTACTTCCTGGCTCTGGGTCCCTTTGTCTTCTTGCTGCTGTTCGTAAACGAGCTGCGGCTGGGGCTCCAAGTGGCGCTGTTTGCGTCCATGTGCGTCACGACCGTCTCGTTGACGCTGGTGGCGTGCAGCGACCCGGGCGTGGTGTTCCAAGACGTGGACTCGGACGTGGAAGACGGCGAGTCGGCCATTGTCTGTGGTAGGATCGATGTGGTAGACGAGTGGCTGGCTGGATCCTGTGTTTGCGTTTTGTATCCTGTGTTTGTGTGTGTTTTTCGTCGTGTGTAGTTATGACTAAATGGAGGCATGGGGATTGACTGGTGGTGTGTATTTGGTGTGGTATGTAGCTCAATGTGAGGTTCGACGGCCGTTCGATGCGTCGCATTGCTCGGACTGTGGCGTGTGTATTCGCGAGGTTTGTGACGAAACTGTTGAGCTGCTCGGAGCTGGTGGCTGGCTGGTCTGAGACATGTGTGACTGACGTAGGAATGACGTGGTTGCCATATGTTTGGTTGTGTGTGTTTGTGTGTGTGTGTTTATTTTTTGCAGCTGGATCACCATTGTCCGTGGACGGGCAAGTGCATCGGCAAGCGCACGATCAAGTTGTTTTACGTCTTCCTTACCTGCATCTCGCTGCACTGCATGCTCGTGGGCGCCGCCTGCCTCGTCACATTTGCAGCGACGTAGGCGGCAGATTGTTCGAAACACGTGAAAAAGCAGCTTGTAAGATTGTGAAGTTGATGCAAAGAAGAACGCGAATGTAAGTGCAAGAAAGCAATGTGTTGATCGAACTTGCACGACGTGCGCTCGCTTCCTGTGGGAGCTGTTTAGATGTAAGTATGCGATATGGCAATTCAGTGAATGCCATCATTGTCAGCATAGGACACCGAGCTTTGAGCGCAGGCACCACGATGACCTAGCCTTCACGATGACCTGGCTTTAAACCAATCGGTCGATGGCTACACTTTTTTGCGGGCACCACGATGACCTCGTTGTAGTCAATTCGGGTTTGAGATCTTGTCAGTGATGGCGTTTGAGCAATCATATTGCATGCGACCTATCAGATTGAATTGAATCGACGGTCCTCTGAGGCGATGATGCGGGTTACCTGCTTCTTCACAACCAGCGAGCGGATCGAGTGATTCTAGACACCGACTCTACGTGTACTACCAAATTATCTCCCCAGCTCGCGATGACCAAAACAACATGTGTAAAAAGTTTAGAGCAGCCAACACTCTGTCTACAGCTCGTCCTTCTCCTCCTCCACCTTCTTCTCCACCTTCTTCTCCTCCTTCACCTTCTTCTCCGCCTTCTTCGCTCCCTCCTTCGCCTTCCTCTCCGCCTTCTTCGCTCCCTCCTTCACCGTCTCCACTCCCTCTTCCACCTTCTCCTCAACGTCCTCTGCTCCCTCCTTCACCTTCTCCTCAGCTCCCTCCTTGACCTTCTCCTCAACGTCCTCCGCCCCCTCCTTCACCTTCTCCACGACCTCTTCAACCTTCTCCTTCATCTGCTCCCCCTTCGTCACCACGTCCTCCTCCTCCTCCTCCTCCACATCCTCCTCCTCCTCGTCATTCTCCGCCCCCTTCTCCTTTTCTTCCGCCTCCTTGGCCTTAGCTTCCGCCTCCTTCTTCGCCTTCTCCTCGTCCTGCAGCTGCTTCTTCTTCTTCTGCATCAGCTCCACCTTGTCCAGCACCTGCTCCTCGTGCGCCAGAAACTCCGCCTCGCTCGTCGTCACGAGAATGTCGTCAAACAACGTGCCGCTCTTGACCTGCCACAGCTCAAACCCAATCGCGCCCACGTTCGCGGCCACGTGGTACAACGCCTCGTCTTCAAAGTACTCGGGGTTGGCGATCAACGGGTGCACCCACTCGCCCTTGTACGCGGGATTCGCCACCAGCGGCGCCTTCCACTCGCCCTTGTACGCGGGATTCGCCACCATCGCCGGCTCCCACTCGCCGTCGTCCTCGTCGTCCCAGTCCTCGGGCTTCACGGCCGTCGGGTCCGGGATCACGTTGGGCTCGTCGTCCCAGTCCGCGGGTTTCTGGGCTGCCGGGTCCGGGATCTGCTCGTCGTCGACCCAGTCCGCGGGCTTGCTCAGGTCTGGGTCCGGGATCTCCTTCTCGGGCTGGAACGGCCAGTTCGCCGCCAAGTCGCCGGCTTTCACGCTCTTGCCGTCGATCTTCACGTCGTACGTGTTGTCCCGCTTAAGTACGAACGAGAACACGTGCGCGTCCGAGTCCGACTCGGTCCGGATCTCGTCCTTGTGGTCCATGTTGACGGCGTCTTCGCCCGGTCGCGCGTACGTGAGGATCGCGTGCGTCTTCTTGGCCGCGCCGCAAATGTCCGGCCCGAACATCACGTTGTACGGCGACTCGCCGCCAAAGTTCGACTGGTCGACGTCAGCAGGGAGCAGCTTGATGTACGCGCCGCCGCAGTCGGGCTTCTGCTCGTGCTGCACGAGGTACGACAGGTACAAGTCCTTGTCCTTGTTGTCCAAAGGCTGGTCGAACTTGGCCGTGAGCGCGTAGAACCGCGCGTCTTGGCTCGTCTTGATCGCCTTGTCGTCGCCTGCGTCGGGGTAGTACATGCCCACGACGTGCTCGAACTTGCCCACTTCGTCCGCGGGTTTCCACGTGGACGCGACCCAGCGACTGGCCCAGTCGGCGTCGTCGAACGTCTCGCGGAAGATCGTCTCGGCTTGCGCGACGGACGCTGCGGCCGCAGCAAGTGCAACGACGAGTTTCGGCAACATGTTGAAGAGGAGGTGTTTTGTCAAGTGAGGACGAGAGTGATGGTCGGGGAAACCAAGCAGAGGCGCGTGCGGACAAGAGTGATGGTCAGGGAAACCAAAAGTGTGAGCGAGAGTGCACGTCGGGGCAACACGTGCTTGAAGTCAAGCGAATTCTAGAATGTGAAAACTGGGGGCGCCCTTCAACCGACCGCGAGGTCGGATCGCCACGTGGACGTGGTGGGGGTGCAGCCTAAGTACGAGGAGCACGACCGTGCGACGGGTAAGATAACCGACAGCTTGTGCAGATGAAGGATATTAAGAGATGAAGGTTTGTTGTGCCAGAGGTGACCTGCAAACGAATGCCATTCATGTATTATTCATCCGAGGGTATTTACTGCTGCATGCTACAAATCTACGATAGTCCTTTGTCTGGCCTGTCAGGAGGGCCCACGTGGCTCGCGCCCACAACTCGTACACAGTTTCAACCGCACGACCAACCCGACGGCGGTCTCCAGCTTAGTCGATCCAATTGAAGCAAATCACCCATCGAAACGTGCTGCATTGACGTAAAATTTAGACAATTTGTGTATCGCTAATCTAGATAATTCGACTGCCATAGTGCAGAGAGATACAAATAGGTAAAGCACCACTCAGCATCGATTGTCTGCAAGGTGGTTTCTGATACGGTCCAACTGTTCGAGGTTATGATGTAATTAATTCTGCAAAAAAAGCATGAGATTGTCCTCTGATCACGAGGAGCTCTACTGCAGCATTGCAAGCATCTCCAACGACACGCATCTGCGATGTTTTAGAACGGCTCTAAGTGGGTAATTTATCAAAATAGTTGATGAGCCAAAAATAATACTTGCAGCAGGAAGCTTTTGCGATCGATTGCGTGACGCGGCAGCAAGATGTGCGCACGATGCGTGCGCCAGGGGTTCGATCTTGTCTAACGGCAGACTGGGACACGAAACAGCTCTTGAAGCGAATGTGGGATAGTCAAACAGAATACATCGCTAGGTATCAAGATATTTCGATCGTTGTAGATCTTTTTTTTACTGGAAGCTTTGGCTGTCTTTCCGAGATCCGTGCAAACTGTGGAGTTACTGCGAGACACAAGGCAGAGAGAAACTGCATCCCCAGGATAGGGCAAATGGTTGTTAAATCGTAGCAGTAAAAAGGGTGCTACCGAGTTTGCAATCAGCGATAAAGTAGCGGCCTTTCAATCTTGGAAGACCCGGTAGAGCGCCAGAGTAACACGATCTTGTATCCGAGATCTACGCCGGCACTTGAAGGAGCACAAAGATGTAGCTATGGCACAACCTGGGGTAGTGAGCACAGTGCTCTGAATACGATCGGATTTGCAACGCTGATTGTCCAGTTAGATAGAAGACCTTACGTTTAGCAAAGCGTATGAAACTGTATCCAATTTGTAGCACACCATCTCCACGTCAGCAAGCATGTACATTTCCTGGTGCAATTTTATAGGAACATGCGTGCTGAGCTGCAAAGGACCGGCAGGTTGCTGCCCTGTGACCTTGTTCTAATCAATGATCAGCCTTGAGCTACGTGGATTCATTCCTATCTAGTTCGAAGGTAAAATTACCCTTTACAACGGCAGGACTTCCGTTTGCGTAGTCGCATCTTAGCCTCAAACACTAATTTTAGCGTATCCAGTCATAGTCGTGCATATCGATTACTTGCAGCAATTGATAATGGGTAGCGAGGAAAGCGGTCGAGATGCGGCAAAAGCTGGAACAAGCACCTATTGCAGCAGAAGGAAAGTTCGCGAGCAAAAAAGCGAAAGCGCGTGCCCATCGCATACTTGGCAGTCATTCTGTCGGACTTCTCTTTTCGCGTTTGAATCGAAACGACACGTCGGTCCTTTTGACTTCATTGTCTTCCTCGCTGAGGCTTTTAATCATTGAGTCGTCCTCGACTCGATATTCCTTCATCGGCCCACCGACTGAGTGTCAAGAGCGTTAGTCTGTTTTGTTTTTCGGCCATAGGAAGATTGGTGCACATCAGATGATGAAAAGTACTAGGAACACGCAAACGCTCTGATAATGCTGTAGGATTTCTCATTGTCTTGTATGCAAGTCACTCGGCATGCAGCAGCAAGAAAGTGAAGATTGTTTGCTATTCGTGGTGAATAATGAGGCCGTATTGCCCGTGTCATTCCAACATTATCTACTGTCCGTTGTGCATCTACAAACGCAGCCATACAATTGAAAGAATGCGGAGACACTATTGACCCTAATCGGTAGTGTGCACTGCTATATGGTTTCGTCTACGGGTCCAGTTACTTGACAGGATTGAAGGTGGTAGCAACTGTACGTTTAAGATTCAGCTTTTCAAGTCGCGTGCCGAGTCTTTACTTTAACACAGGTTTTAATGATGAAGCTCTGCGAGCATTTCGAGCATTCGCTCGCAGAAGGGACGATGAGGATTCCAATGCGAAATGGCGGGACCATCATTGTATGTGCATTTTTAGGAAAAGATTATGATGTGAGTAGTCTCGGTACCAGTCAGACTCATTCATCGGGCCGCCTCAAGAAGGTGTACCAGAACTTGAAGTCGATGTCAAATTGCTGCACTCAGAGCCGTCGTCGTCGTTAGCGACAAAACGGATACAACGGTGAAGGGACAAGTAGCTACCACAGTAGCCTGTCCTGCGCAAAGATTATGATAACAGCAAGCGTATTTCGATTGTGAAATGACCGTATGTAGTGATGCAAAGAAACACGTAGTTTTATTGCAAGTCAGAATCATGGACACGACACTGACAGCATATCGCAGCTGTTCTTATATCATCACGAAATTACAGCATCTACGAGAATAACTACGACAGGTTTTATCGACACGGTCAGTCTTTGTCTGAGCGCAGCTTCAAGCAAAGAGAACTTAGTAGTAGACATAAGAAGGTGATGCAATGGAATAGTGCACATGAATAGCTTGACACGTTGAGTATCCACGACCAAAGTCAACATACTCGTGTGCACGACGAAATGCAGGATCAGTACAAGTAGTGGCAGTCAGCGCCAATGCGAGTACTGAACAGCATTTCAGCGAGCTGAAGTGACACCCAGGCTTTAGAAGCTTAAGTAAATCGCACGATTGCGGGTGATCTAACGCAACTTTCACACTATACAATGCTTTGCGTTCGAACTTACTGTGAAGAACCGAGCTCGCAAGATAAGCACTCACCCTTCGCAGCAATGGTAGTACGCTTGCAATTTAATCGCAACCAGCGCATTGAGACTATCGACACAACAGCTGGACAATCAGTTTGCTCCAAAGAGCGGTTCAATGAAAGGACAAAGCCACTACTTGCGATCACTTGTAATACAAAACTGCTCATAATCGGCTAGTTGTATCGACCTCATAGACCGCGAGTCAAACTTCTCAAAGGATCTGTAGCGATAACGTCGAACGCGCTCTCTCTGACCAAAGCGTTGAGTATAACCGATACTGGACAATATCAAAATCTTCAGCAGCTTTACAACAACGGACACGTACCCTCGCCTTGATCGGATTACTTAAACTCATGCCTCTTGCAGGAACGAACATGAGTACGATGCTTGTAGTGATACCGTAAACAGCTCCTTGATAACATAGGCTTACTTTGCATGCGAGCGGCATGTCATTCGATACTAGCGTCTTGCAGGTTTGACGAACAAAGAATATGAAACCAATTCTTCTTCATGTACTTAGTCATGCAAACCACATCGCGATTATAGTGCAAGCGCATGCCAATAGCGGTGCATCAAAAGTTGATGTACGGCTGTTTGCAAGATTTTTTTGAGAGGGAGAGCCCTCTCTCAGAACATCCGAGATCGAGAGCTGCAAGTCCGGCTAGCATGAAGCTTGATCATCGTACATTGCACGCTTTCCAGCTGATGAATGAGAAATGCGTCTAAATTTAAGCCTCCGCCCAAAGCAATCACCTTAAGATATCGACAGTCTTAGGAGGATCTTAAGCGAAAATGCTTACACAGCATGTTGCTGCGTTCGTGAGTGTTAGCAATGACAACAGAGGCCCAATGACGATGATGTGGTGGATAAAGGTTGTGTGTGCAACGCTTGTCATAGCTCATTTCGGGATGGCAGTGGTAGATTTGCGCGTGCACGGCGCCAGCGATGCAAAGATATGAACCTTACCCGGTGAGTCCTTGAGAAATTTCCAATACGCAAGCTTCGAGTGAAAAGGATGGTATGTCGTACGAGAAACTAAGGCTCATCGCAAAAGTAGGGAAGAGGATGAGCAACCGGTTATACAGCGTTCTGCTAATGCACCACAGCGAGCAAGCGAGAAATTCACACCAGATACTGGATATCGCTTGATCTGTGGCGTCTGTATGACAATTTGCATCACAGTCCATTGACGTAGGGTAACGGCCGTTGGCAGATGCTTAGCAGTTCTTCAGATCGTTAACCTTCGAATGAAAATTCGCCATACCTTGCATCTACGTCGTCAAAACTATGTGTCTCCTTCAGTGGTATTGTCAGCATGTTGCTTTGAGATTGCAATGATCATGCACACCCTTTACGACAGCGCAATTGCACCGCTTCATGGTATAATCTCCCGAGTTTGGATGGACATCAGAATCATGTCGACGATGCAATTTTTCTCAATGAAGTTCATGCAAAAAGCTTGTTCCTGTACGGCACAAGGGCTACGTATCGACCATCGACATTCCAGTATGGTTGCAATATGGACGATAGTGGGCGAGTTGATCTTACTTTATCGGCCTTGTGATCTTCAAGAATCTCTAAGACATGGATGTGAATGTCTGAAAGGGGCACGTCACGTGAAGTATATTTTTAAATCGCATCCCGTGCGTACCACATCATGTAACTTATCGTGGACTCTTTTGTACACATGGCGTGACACAAAGAAGGTGTGGGGTTCGCATCGCATTGTCAGTTGTATCTTCTGTATGCACAACTGTCAGCAGTCTATCACTTACAATCGCCCGAATGCTCGATGGGCTTTTCAACTGATAGTAACTATGCAGACCTCACCAAGCCAGTACAGAAGCGTTTGGCGATGGTCTCGTCACTTAATGTGCACCACGCTATCTTCAAACCCAACGTCCATCGTTCAAGTCACATTCTCTCACTTGCCACTTCACGATGCGACTCATTTGCGCCAATGGCGTCAATTCAACGCCATCAGCTCATCATCTGTCGCCGTTGTCGATCAACACTTTGTCAACAATCGTGTGCGCCACCTGATCCTATTTTCATCCACTCCCCTCGCGACCTCGCGTTCTCCTCTCCTAAGTACGTCATCGCCCCTCCCGCTCCTTAGTTTCGCATTTGCTCCCGACCGTCCAATTCCTCTCCAACAACGGCCAATTATGTGGCGTCCGATTCTTGCACTCCCCCGTCGCTCTACCACAACGCGGTGCTTAGTTCCGCAACGTGCTTTGTTCTCCTCGTCGTCGTCGTCTTCGTCTTCTGATTACGATCTCGTCGTGATTGGCGGAGGCCCTGGCGGCTACGTCGCTGCTATTAAAGCCGCTCAATTGGGGCTGAAAACCGCTTGCGTCGAGTCGCGCGGCAAACTGGGCGGCACGTGCTTGAACGTGGGCTGCATCCCCTCGAAAGCGCTGCTGCACTCGACGCATCTCTTGCACACGGCCCAGCACGAGTTCAAAAGCTACGGCATTGACGCGCCCCACGTGACGGCGAACTTTCCCCAAATGATGAAAGCCAAAGAAAAGGCAGTCCGAACCCTAACAGCTGGGATTGAATCTCTTTTTTCGAAAAATAAAGTGACGTACATAAAAGGGGTGGGCAAACTCGCCGCCAAAGGGCAAGTGGCGGTCACTCTTGCCGACAGACAGGGCAACGAGACGCTCACGGCCAAGCACATTATCCTGGCCACGGGCTCTGAAGTAACGCCATTGCCACCTGTTCCCGTGGACAACAATGCGGGCAAAATCGTCGACTCGACGGGTGCCCTGGCTTTAACTCGCGTTCCGGACCATCTGGTGGTCGTTGGTGCTGGCGTCATTGGACTGGAACTTGGCTCGGTCTACAAACGGTTGGGTGCCAAGGTGACGGTCGTGGAATACCTGGACTCGGCATGTTCGGGGATGGACAAGGGCGCGGTCAAGGACTTTCTGAAGTTGTTGAAGAAACAGGGCCTCGAGTTTCAATTTGGCACGAAAGTAACGGCTTCTGAAGTAAACGGAGATGTGGTGACGCTCACGACGGAACCTGCGACTGGAGGCGACGGGTCGACGATTCAGTGCGACACGGTGTTGGTAGCTACTGGTCGTCGAGCATTTACAGCTGGTTTGGGACTGGACCAGATGGGAATCCAGACGGACAAGCAAGGTCGCATTGAAGTGGACCATGCGTTTCAAACCCAAGTACCAGGTGTTTTTGCGATTGGAGACGTGATCAAAGGCACGATGCTGGCCCACAAGGCCGAGGAAGAGGGGATTGCGTGTGTGGAGAACATTGCTGGTAAGCACGGCCACGTGAATTACGGTGCGATTCCGAACGTCATTTACACGTTCCCCGAGTTTGCATCGGTGGGCAAGACGGAGGAGGAGCTCAAGGCCGAGGGCGTCGAGTATAACGTTGGCAAGTTCCCGATGATGGCCAATAGTCGTGCGCGCACCGTGGCCGAAGCGGACGGGATGGTGAAGGTGCTGGCGGACAAGAAGACGGACAAGTTGCTTGGCGTGCACATTATTGCCAGCAATGCTGGCGAGATGATCTCGGAGGGTGTGATTGGCATTGAGTACGGCGCGGCGAGCGAGGACTTGGCGCGCACGTGCCACGCTCACCCGACGCTGAGTGAAGCCTTCAAAGAGGCCTGTCTTGCTGCTCACGACAAGTCGATTAACTTTTGAGCGGATGGTTTGCAATGCTCTACCCAGAGTTAGGTGGGAATGAAGCTAGTGGACGTAAGTCAGATCAAGGGAATCGACACTACCTTTCGCGCTGACTTGTCTTTAGTACGTGTGCAATTGCTCCGTGTTGATGTTGATTGCGTGTCATTTGTGCAGTGAACGAGAGGTGAGGGCGGTTTGAGAGCATTCAGGAGCAACAACAAGTGGTAACATGGTAACAGATCCCTTCAAATTGTTATCAGAGTCGAAGTAGCTTCCAATGTGCTTGACAGAGCACAATGGTGAGACGTCTTGATGCTTGTAATATCGTTACAAGCCCATGAGGAGGTGAGTCTTGAGATACCCAGCAGCTTAGAAGAAAATCTGCACGGCAGGCCCCATCGTGGACTTGAGGTACAGCACCTTGATGTTCTGCCAGTTCTTCTTCAGGAGCGAGGCCAGAAAGTTGGCGGCGAGCTGCGTGTTCACGACAATCTTCTGCTTCTCGAGTCCCACGTGGCCAATGGCCACGTTCAAGCACATGACCTTCTTCATCTGGAACTTGATGGTCGCACGCACTTGCTCGGCCTTCTCCGTGAGCGAATCATTGGACGTCACGAGCGTCGGAAACTTGCCGGCCTTGTTCAGACCCGGACCTAACAGACGAGGGATCTGCTTGATCAGCGTGTCAGACGCCAAGAAGGCGTCGTACTTCTTGGCAAACTTCTTGATCACCTTCTTGTTCTTGTTAAACTTCTTGAGATCATCCACGGTCATGTACTCAAAGTTCTCCTTCTCGGCCATTTCACAGTGGATGGCGTTACCAAGCACGCAGATCTTCATGTTGGGACGAGGGACCGTCGGCAACTTGAACGTGCCGCTGAAACGCTTGTCCTTCTGCGGGTCGTAGTTCTTGAGCGCAATCTGGAGCTCAATGGTCTCGTTAAAGTTGCGTTTCTTGCCCTTGTGCTCCGTGCCATTGATCGTCACGGTCTCACCGGCAGAGAACGCCAGGATGTTGTCCACGGCTTGCGCCAGCAGCTCACTGTTGAGTTTACTCATGGCCAGATACGAGGAGTCGGGCGCTTCTTCGACGGAAGATTCAAAGGGAGAATGACAAGCTAGTGGACGTGTGCGATTTGGCTGGCTGGGAAGCGTCGTACTTAAGATGCAACACACGGTCCAATTGGTCGAGATAAACGTACTTAAGTTACCGCTACTTTTGGCGAGGAGAAGCGAACCTATAAGACGAGATGTCGTCTACTTTTGTTCGAGGTGAGGCCCGGAATTGCAAACCTTAAAATTGGCAAATGCAAAATTTGATTTTGATTGTGTCATTAAGCAAGGACGACTCGCAAGTTCTTGGCGAGTTATGCCTTAACAAGGGCCGCTACGTTTGATCCTCTGAGCGACATAACGTGATCGAGCATCGTTAAGGGCATGACTGGCGAGTTCCTCAACGTCATTGAACAGCAACGTTGCTGCACTGCATACTTGCTTGAAGGTAGAATTCGAGGCAGCCAACTAGCATACGTCCATTAGCAATGCTGTCAAGCGAGCGCTATTGTTCATCACTACTTACCGAGCACTTCGGCAAACCGCTTGCAGCTCGGCCGCCGTTAAATCGAAAGCCTGTCAACTAAAGTCGTTGGATTACCCAAATATGGTCTGACGGGTGCGGACATCATTGCTCGAGAGCACTTTGTCTAATCGTGAGCCGCAAGTCTGTCGATTGGAAAGGTAGTTCCGCTTCCCCGGCGAACCCCGTGTTGGCCCCCCCCTGGTTCAAAAGTTCGGACCCCAAACAACTTCGGGGTTTTTCCGCCGATTGTCGCTTTTAGTTTTCCGCAAGAAAGGGGGAAGGGCGGGAACACCCCGGAACGGGGCCGGGGTGCCGCACACGAGCAGCGGACGGGAAGGGTCGGTGAGGAGATGGGACCCGAGAAAGGTCGAGAAGATGAGCAAGCAATTTCAGCCCGACCCACCCCCCCCCCCCACCCCCCCCCCCAACCCAACAGGAGCCCCCCCCCCCTCAGCCGATGGAAGAGAAGCGACGACAAAGTTGGGCCCAGCCCAACAGTGTTCCCCGCTCCCTACCAGCGCGCCCGCGCCGCCCAACCTGTTCACCCCCCCACCAGAGACCCCAGAGTCCCGAGACGAAGCAGTTGGCGATTGTGGCACGGAAATCTTGCCCCCAGCCCACCAACCGCCGAGCGATCAACCTTGTAAGGTTGGTTCCCCCCCCGTCCAAGGCATTCGCAGATGCAGCCCGGTAGTGCCTCGATGCAATAATCCCAGCTCCTGGGTTGGACCTTTGAAGCGAAGGAGGAAGAACCTGGACCGTGATGTTGGTGAGTTCCAGGTCGCAACAATGTGTGAAGGAGCGTTTTCCATGAGAAGCAGGATTTTTCTATCCTTTGCTGTGGTCAACGCTTAGTCAAACCTCCTTTACTGTACCACAACGATGATGTTCAACTCCCCAAATTACCTTCATACTTTTGTCGACTCCCCAGCCATTCCTGGAAGAGTATGCCAGTCTCCAGGCTTTCTTGTTGTTGCGGTAGAGAAAGCCCAGTCCTCAGCTGTCTTGCGCTCAAAACACCGCCTTTTGGCGTGTCCAATAAAGAACGGCGGGAGTTTGTCGGATCCATCAGCGTTTGCCGTGAGAGCAACTGTGATGGCGTCTAGAATAGTTGTTAGTGTCAGAGAAACGCAGGAAACCAAGAGGAGAGCAATAATTACTTTTTTAAATTATTTGTGGGGATTTTTGTGGGGTTGTAGAAAAATGAAAGAAAGTGAGTTGAGATTTTTTGAAATAGTAATATTTTTTCTAGACTAATTTGTATGTTAGTATAAAAAGTTGAGGTGTATTTAAATATTTGGCTGATGAATGGAATGATTTGTGGGTTGTGAATTTGTGGGCCATGAAAAGTATTTTTCTGAGACATTATAAATTGAGTTGGATGAGATCTCAGTGAGAAAATGTATGAAGAAAGACTCCACAGTGGTGTGGAATGAGAGTTAGGTGATATGTTATTGCTAAGTTTTTTTTTGATGATTTGTGATCGTGTGGGAAAGTGTTCTGGAGGTTAAAGGCGTCTTTTAAGGAGGAGTCTGGGTGATGGGGTTAGATTGTGTTAGATGGAGTTTGTGTTGTAAGAGTATTGGAATTGTTGTGAGTGGCAAGTAAGTTGGTGGAACTTCTTAATTAGAGATAGCAAAATTAAGAGATGGTGGGGCAAAAAATCAAAAATCTTCATAGGGCTGAATGAAAAGGTTTTGGAAGCCTGAGGTTTGTTAGGTTTAGATTCTTTAATTAATTAAATTAATAATTTTTCGAGATACTCTGTATAGGATAACCTCTGCTATGTTATAGGATTTTTCAATATAATAGAGGGGACTGTAGTTCGTTTTAAGTGATACGCGATAGGCGCTATGCGAACCATGAGCTGATAAGACGGACAACTTGAGAGTCAAAGCTCTATTCTACAGCACAGTACTTCTTACTCGTCGTCTACGACTGACGGCCTTGTTCTATCTGTACCAAAACATTTTTCGGAACGAACAGGATGCTAAAACTATTAGATCGACATCAAAGGAACGTTACCGCGGCCTCATGTCGTGCGTAACATCCTGCGCGTAACAGATTCCATCCACGGAATTAGACGCCTACAGGATTCGTGTCGTTTTGTTTGGAATCCGGCTCCTATGGTTTTGTCGTCTTGTGAGCGGTCGCGTCTTTTTCGAACTACATGATCTGTTGCGCTTTCGAAAGCCTTGACCGCCTGTCACAATATTCACATTAGTTGCTTCAAACAAACAAGTGGCTGCACCCATAAAACGCGTACCGCACGGCGACGCGAAGAAAAATCTTTGGCAAGTTTCGACACGCAAGATAGCGACTACTTGCTGAGCTAACCGAGTGACGGCGGACTAAACTTGAGGATCGCTTGCCTGTAGAATGAAGCTCTGGATTTACGCTGTTGCTGTGGTAGTGAAAACCTCGACTTTGCTGTTGACGTGTGATCAAAACAACCGCACATGATGAGGCCCTGCCATCCGACAGCTGCTGCTTCTGCCCTGACTACCTCGCTGACGACACGTATGTCCTGCCGGCTTCTACTTTCTTAGCGCCTCACCATGCGGTCGTGTTTTGCGCTACAACTATGCTGCATATGCTACAGGTTTTAGCTGATGCGCTTCACGAATCACTCCCCGCGGGGCTTCTGTTACTACAGACGCTTCCAAGACCTTCAATTATACAGCAGCACCGTTCGTTTCCCACCGTTTCCAGCCCGCTACAATTGCAAATGATTGCGATTCATATTTTCAGTAGTAACATCGACTTTCGCTCGACGTTGTCCGATGACCGCTCATCATTCTGTTACGACCGTAGATATACCCGTCTTTATCGCAGCAGATGCACCATAACGCTTGCCAACGTTTTCTAATCTCCTTAGTCCACAGTTGCTAGCTGCTACAATGCCGTCGATCATGCATTACCGTCTGCAAGCCAATGCTTCGTCCTGCATCGAGACACCAGCGGTACCGTTACTAACGCATCGTGCAAGGAAGGCTCTACTGTAAGACCTCCGCTTTCGACACTCGGTGGATCAATGGAAGGTCCGTCCGTAAGAAGGTGCATATTTGACGGGTCGTTACGTTCGACGTCACGACAAAGTGATGATTCCAGAAACCAACAGAGGGATCTAAGAACGCGACGTTCACGACTTCGATCGAGATGGTGTTCTTCTGTTCGCATCGAACTCAATCTACTGAGCTTGTCACGTAGTGGACCAAAACAAGGTCCACACGATCGAACTAGTTGCAACATCGTGTCGGTCATTACCCCGAAATTGGATCGCAAGGTGTGGTGACTTCGAAGCCTTTTCGTCGAGTCAACTCTTAACACGCGCTCAAGTCTTCGGGGCAAAAAGGTTTGCGCTATTTCGACGGGCTGTCCGTACGTTTCGTGTGTCTTGGAAACTCTATGTGATTCTATAAATCATTCCAGATGGCAATTCATGCTCCACCACGCTGTTATGTTGCGCGTATCAGATGTGGGACATTCATTGTGAATGATGCTCGAGTGCGCACACGCTCTCAGTTAAGTATACTTACGTCACAGTTGGCCAATCGCCATTGCGAACTATCGATTGATGTGTTTATTTGTAATCATGCGATGCTCGGCCTTGTGCCACTATCTAAACTCTTCAAATCATTGACCGGGTACACTATGACAGTATCCTCAATCCATAGACTGCTCATCCAGCCGTCGCTCGCGATCGAATTGAGCCCGCGTCGTACATAATGACCATGCCAGATGTTGTGACAAACGCGTAGCTAATGCGCTGCAAGCTTGGAGGAATTTCGATCTTAGCATGCTCATTCCGATTCAAAACACTCTAAGTATGGACTGACAGTCCCACCGTAAAAGAGAGCAGTAGCCTATGTACAACAAGCCTTTCCACGCTCCCCACCTTTTGTTGAGAAAGTTGTTTCTTCACGATCTCGTAAGAATTCGTCAATGTAGCAGAGACCTGACGCGCCTCTGTAGGCTTGGACCAGATCCTTCCAAACGCTTTGCCTATCAGAAATCTGCCCATATCGCAGACGGTGGCCAGAATTTGCAGAGCGAGGACACGGGCTCCAGGTTCAATCTCGTCGTGTTCTAGTCCGTAGACTGTTTGGAAAAGGCCCGGTCAAGAACGTTCCGCGTGCTAGAAGGACAGACGTCCAAACCTAGAGACTGCTACGTGGGGGGGAGCGGAGCATTGCCAGCCTTTATCGAAACGTAAAATAAAACTGTACACATTCAGTCTAGGACTGTACTTGATGCTTGTGCTCCATAAGCGCTGGTATCAAGAGGAGGTAAAGTCAACGATATTCACACAAGTCCTACCAACACCCGAAGCATTGACACAGGAACCGCCTCATGCTGCTATCGATTGTGCCCACACCCTCGTCTGTATACTTTACTAAAACAGGCACGAACTGCCTCGTTTTCCACGAATCAGCTCGAAATCCCGTGACCACGTCACTCACTTTTGGCCATGTCCATACAAACCTCCAGATCTTTCCTTGCTCACGCAGCAACACCCTCGTCCGTCCTTTCTGCCGGCTTTTCCGATCAGTTGATAAAGTCGGTCAGTAGTCAGACGAGACCCAAAGCGTGTCTCACGTCAAACCAGACAGAGCCCTTCAGCAAGCGGTTAGGGCCCTCGTCTGTCCCTTCTGCCGCCTCTCTTTCACGAGACCTCCTCATCTTCCCCAGCAGCTCATTCTTCCATTTGCTCCCTCGCCTCTACGTCCACTGAACTCTAGTGGCTCATCTGTGTCCATTACCTGCCAGCATGGTCTCTTGCTTCTATCCGTTCGTTCTGCTCGCCCTCCGCGCGGCGCTCACGACCGCCGATACCGTCGACAACGATGAAGGCGGCAGCCTCATGATGGCCGTCGGCACGAACGGCGCGACCGTAGCCGCCACGAGTGGCACCACTTCCTTTCTGAACACCGAGTACAATCCCGATCGGTGCGTGCTCCAGTTCCTGAGTCTCGGCTGCGACGACGAGAGCTGTGGCGAGCTCAATGGGTTCAAGCTCGAGTGTGTCTCGAAAGGGCTGCAAAACGGCCGCGAGAAGAAGATGTGCGAGTGCCAAGCGGCCGACTCGGAAAAGTGCCAGAACTCGGTGAGCCCTGACGTCACGTCGGGCACCGTCGCTCAATTTGGCGAGTGCAGTGACCAGAGTCAGTGTGCGGACTCTTATGGCTACATTGCCACGTCTCAGGAAGAAGGGCCCGTCTGTGCCGAACGGCTGCACTGTCTGCAGGAAATTAATTCGAAGGCCACGGCGCCGGCTTCGATTTGCCACACGTGCATGTCGTGCATTGCACAGAATGACGCGGCCGAGAAGCAATTGGCGGCTGCCAAGCGCTTTAACTGCTCGTCCATTTGTCCGCAAGAGATTCTCGAGACGGTGGCCGAGCGCAATGCGGCCGGCGTGGGCATTGCCGACTCGTACTCGGTCACGGGCTCAGCCAGTGACTCAGCTGCTGGGAGTGCTGCAGCGGTGCCGGACAGCACGTCGGACGTGCGGGACACGAGCGCGTCGTCAATGGTCACGCCGCAGACCAAGATGGGGGTCATGGTGTCGGTGATTGTTGCCGTGGTGCTGGTGGCCGTGATGCACTAGGGAAGGAGGAAGCAGATAGACGGGAGGAAGCTGCTTGCAGTCATTGGTATTAACGTTAGCAACCACATTGCTACTGCAGCACTTGCGATAGTACTAAAGCATGTGGCTGTCGTCGTTGCAGGCGCGGTTGGTTGGTACACGTAATAAAAAGATAAAGACCACGTACATGCTCACGCAAGCAAGTGTGCCCCCCTTCCACGTACGTACGTACGTACACTGGTGCAGGGGTGACTGGACTGGATCCTCTTTACAAGTAGAGCGCCTTCAGCCGACTGGTAATGTCGTTAAAGACAAACCGCATGCACCGATCCTGCAGGCGTTCAAATTCTGTCGCTTGCAATCCAATTTGTCGAGCAACTGCCCGTCGAATTTCCTCCGCTTCGGACGATTCCACAGCTTCCGTCAAGTTCTTGGGCTTAGCCAGCGGACGGTAGGCCTTGACCGAGATGTGCCGAATCGACAGCAACCCCGTGCCAATCTCTCGACGGACGACGATCGCTCCGCAGACGTCGCGTCGGATCGCTTTTCGATCCGGAGAATCGGTTGGAATCGGATACAGCGAGTCCTCGTCCGCGTAGTCCCACAAGAAGATCCCTTCGTCTTGGCCACACTGTACTCGAGTGAGCGCACGAGCTTCCACGACAATGTTTTCAGCACAGTCGGCTTCATCAATGACCTCAACCACGGGCTCCATCGAAGCAGCGAGATTCGAGTAGTATACGCTCGAGGTGGTCAGGCCATCGTCTTCAACAAGGTGCACTTCATCAGCTGCCTGCGCTTCGTAACACACGCCAGAGTAGTACACGCCAATGGACTTCATACTATTGGAGACGATGTCCATGAGCGTGTACAAGTTACACTTGGCAGTCTCGGGAAAGTAGCACACGGACGAAAACTCCTTAATCACGCGCCCGTCACCTGCATCATCCACGTTCGAACTCGAAGATGCGGTGCTGCTGCCGTTCGGTCGTCCGAACAGCTCCCGCATCATCGCGTCTGCGTAATCATCTTCGATTTCGTGGGCTTGACGCGTGCCGTCATGCAAGATCCGGACACTCCCGGAAAACATCTGACGTGTCGCTAGCAACCGCTGCGCCTTGTCCTCCGTGTTGCGGAGCACAATGTTTTTCGCCAGCTCCATCTTGCTCCGTGGAAAGTGAGCCACGTACTCCTTCCTGCGCGCGAGGGGATCCGATGCGGACAAGGCCGTGTACGAGTGCACCCAGTCATGGAACTCGAGCGTCTTGGAAAGCAGGAGATTGCTGCCTCCCATCATGGCCTTCATCCCTCTAAGAAACATCGTCTGCTGGAACAGGGCGTGCTTGAGCATTTGATTGTGCTGCTCAGCCTGCTTCCGTTTACGCCGCTGCGTCATCGCTTCCTCCTCGTACGCCACGAGCTCATCACTGTTGGCCAATTGAGCTCGTCTCGCAGCTCGAAGGGTAGCCAGTTTCGTCGTAAGTTGAGTCATCTCGGTCTGCAAGGACGACACGAGCCACTTCTTCTTCTCCCGATGGCGCTGCACACCCGTTGCAATTTGCGACCGTCGTCGCTCCTTCTTCTGCTCTTCAGGACTCCCTGCAGACTTTTGGGGGGTTGTTGTTGTTGTTGGCACTGCTTTCTTGCCTCTACCTCGTCCTCTACCTCCTTTCTTCACCGCCGGTGACTGTACAGCAAGTGTTGGGGGGACGACATCGACTCGAACAGGTTCGTCTTCGACTCCAACAAACGAACTCTTCGAGCAGTTGGAATCAATGGGAAGGGCTCCCAAGAACGGAGACGAAGGCGTGGCCTCGCTTTGAGGAAATGGAGGGTCATTTATCGTATCCTGAGTCATAAACTCTACCTCGTGGCCCAGATCGATCACCGAAGATGGCGGCAAGGAACATAGTGCGTCGTTGATGAGGATTTCGCTCAGACTGTCCCAATCCTGGTCCAAACTCGCAGGTGGGAGGTCAGCCATTTGGTCGTCGCTTAGAACCGACGACGACGCGTCCTCGCTCGGGCTGGAGACCGGAGAAGGGTTCAGTGAGGGAGCATAGAGTGAGGAAGACGTGTACGCATAAGGCGAGGGCGACGAGGTCGCTGCATAAGCGCTATCCATTGCATATAAGCTCTCCATTGAAATTGAAAGAATGAGCTCTTGCTCCGAACATGACAACAACAGAGGGGACAGGATCGAGGGGGAACACGATGCGAAAGGGTATATTTGACGGTGCGTTTCTTCGCACATGTTTTCTAGAAATGACAAGCTTCGAGACTCGAAACGAGCTCTAGTTCATGTACAAACGGCGATGCGTGTCAGATATGCACGTCAAATGTTGCGCATTGTCTTACGGACAAACTTATCCATGTTTATCTCTTCATTTCGAAGGGCTTTGAAGTGAGACCACGCGCGGCGACAATCAGAAACGGGACCTCGCGTATCTCCCTTGGTTTTGATGTGGTAGCATATGAACAGCTCGTAGCATTTTCTTCTTCTTCGAACGAAGAAGCGAGCGTGGTCTCCGGAATTCTTGCGGACACGTCTCGTATTGTTATAGAGACGTTATAGTCGTGCTTGTTCCTTGCTTCTCGACGCAGGCGTTCGCCCCGTCTGTACACGAATGAAGATGTAATTCTGACGCCATGTACAAATTTCGCCACCTTTTCTTCGCTTGAACCCACTTAATGTTGTTTGTCATGACACTCCCAGCTTTGTTAGTGTAGCCGTTTAGCGAAGTGCATTCACTGCTTTCTGGATCATTGTCGAGACGTGCGCGTCATTCGTATCTACTGCCGTGTCTTTGTCTCAAACACTCACAAGACCAACAATTCATGTGGCAGATCGAGTTACTGCCCCGATCTGAAGTAAGACAATCGAGAAGAAGCGCATCAAGTGCGTCGAGTCAACGAGGCACTTGCAGCCAAAGTCGTGCAGCAGAAGGAGGATCGCACTTATGTGGGAATGCACCACGAAATCGACGATCTCGATTCGGACGATGAGACGATGCTGAACGAGTCAACTGACGATCCGGAGCTAGAACGGTCTTTCTAGCGAGATATTGTAGACATTGTTTTTGTAGTAAGTACTGATAATTCTTTTTGACTTTTGTGGTGTGTTTACATAGAAATACGTGAGGCAAGGTTGAAGCAGCTGAAGCTCGAGTTTCTGGAAAGTCAGGCGTTGATAGTGAAAGGTCACGGAGAATACCGTGAGATTACGCAGGAGGAGTTTCTAAAAGAAGTGACGAGCAGCCCGTTGGTGGCTGTGCATTTCTATCATCGCGACTTCGAACGCTGCAAGATCATGGACATGCATTTGACACGATTAGCTCGTCGTTGCATCGAGTGCAAATTTCTAAAGTTGAACGCGGAGAAGGCCCCGTTTTTTTTGCAGAGAAATTGATGATCCGAGTCCTGCCAACTGTCGTGTGCTTCAAAGACGGCGTGGCCTTTCCAACTCGCGTCATTGGTTTTGACGGACTTATGAACAATGACGACAATGCTGAAGTGTTGAAAATTGGTTGTCCCATGAACCGCCATGCCCCATTTGGCGACAACTTTCCTACTGCTGCCGTGAGTATTGTTATAATCTTATTTGCTCAGTCTCTTTGGTGCGAAACATTTATGAGTATTTGCTTTCATATTCTTGTTGCAGCTCGCCCGTAAATTAGTGGAGATTGGCGCTATTCGTGAACATAGCGACAGCGAGTAGTAGTCAACAAGGTCAACACAACAGACCGACGCAATCATTAAACAGTCACGTCGCGACGCGTTTCGACGACATTGTCTCGATATGCACTCTCGTAATTCGTTAGATAATCTCAAACATTCCGATTTCACACCCTAATATTTGCAAAAAAATTGCTCGGAGAATGCGCCGCTTGTTCCAGCTCCCACGCAGTCCGTCTTCACTCGGATCCCCATTACCGCCTCACCAAGAACCGGTAATCAAAAAGATCCTCATCTTTTCCTACCGATTGTATTGATCTGGTCCAACCCTGATATTTTGTTCTGTGTATACGTTCGGTGTCAGCTCCATTACGTAATTTAAAAAAAACACTATTGCCATGGAGCGTCGATGAGTCGCCAAACCCGTAGCTATAGACGCTCATTATACCGATTCAGATGCTACAGTCGTGGCCGTAGCGGTCGCATACCCCTCCTCGTAGTCCCATCACCGCTAAAGTTCTTTTGGGAAACTAAATACTGTAACGGGGCACCCTTTGTTCGGGGCACCGCGAAACTTCACGTACACCAGTACATGCAGAGTAAGCTATCTACTTAAACGACTCGGTCAAGTAAAGGTAAAAAGAGAACCGTGTATAAAATAGTTAGGCTATTAATATAACTTTAGTCTTTATCCAGCTATATTAAAATACGCCATCATATGACGACAACCTGCTCACCACTCATTGCGCGCGTCTAGCAGCGATTGGTGGTAATCTATGGTTGATATGTCATATCAACCAATCTTTGTGCAGCGCATGAATATTATCCTACAAAGAGGACAATATTCCTTTAATAGTATCCATCCCGGATAATATCGGTAGAATATTGTCATGCTAGACAATATGCTTATTGACACCGTTTGGTGTCACTATCATGTAACGGGCTACACCGTTACATCACCCGCCCTTAACCATCAATCACCCGTTAATTGAATTAGAATTGATTGGGACAGGGTGATCACCGTTGGACCACTCTAGGAAAGGGAGCACTTGTTGGTCAAATTCCATTCATTTGCCAATCCAACGCATTGATTCAAAAACCGCGCGAGCTGCTACTGCAGCAGCAAGAAGAGCGGCTGCACGCATGCGTGCGGCCGCGGAAAGTGCCTCTTACGCCTCAGCAGCAGGCGATTCGTCGCCTGTTGTCGTGAATCCTCCACGTGATGAGTCACCACGTGCGACAGGTGCATCCGTTGTGTCTGCAGAGGGTACCTCGGATCGTAATCAAGACGAGTCTGAGATAGAGCTTATCTATTCTGGCGATTTGGATGATGCATCCGACTCGAAGGCGACTCCTCACGCCTCGGGATCACCCGAGGCGGACACTGCAAGAGCCAGGCTGAATGGCTGTGGTCAGCGTGGCAGCATCATGACCGAGATCTTCGGAGCGAGTGATTACTTCGATGAGTCTTCGCCTCTCGCAAGTCCATCCCACGATTGGACTCGTGAGGATGGTGATGAGGCACCTATACATCACCACGAGCGAAGTAACTCAAGGGATCGGGGTAACACTGGTGCCAGTGCTCATGCTGGCACCAATCAAGAGGCCAGGGATCGAAGTTTCCTGCGCCACGCTCCCCAAGTGGAGTCTCCATGGATGCCGCCATCCAGAGAGTTGGACCGGTTGGCCGGCACGACTACCGAACGGGATCGAATCCCGTTGTTCGATTGCAGGAAGTTTGCCCACCTGATTCCAGCACGGAAACTATCCGTGCTGAGGAATATTTCTTCACCGATGCATTCTTCAACATCGGTGGTACAATGGTAGCCGTGGTCGAGACGTTAAAGCCTTGGTGCAGGGATGGAATGCCCTCATCCACAACATCGAGTGTATTGGCCGTGAGGATTGACTCGCCAAACTTGTTGCAGCTCGCATTAGGTTTAAAAAGGGACCCAGTCGGGGCGCGATACAAATTGCACCGGCTTTCAAGAGAGGCAGGATTTACCTGTCTCTCGAGGGGCGATACGTGCCCGGGTTGCCTGGACAACTCGAACTGTGCCCGTAGGGAAGCCTCCCTCCCTAATGATTTCTACTGGAGCGCGCGCATCTCTTCCGAGATGGCCGAAGGGATTCACATTTTTTGCAATCCCTGTACACGTGTCCGGAGAGGTCGTTTTCCGACAGCCCTTCTTAAAACGCAGCGGATGGGTCTCATAAAATTGCTCGACGAGACCAAGGACATCAACAATCAGCTGGGCACGAGGCGCCCGGCTGTCCCACGCCGGTGGATAGCCACGCCAGCGGACGAGGTAACTCGTCCGGAAGCCATTTACATCGCGATGGTTCAAAATACGCTCCACTAGGAAGCGGTGACCACTGCTTGAGTCCACCAAACGATGTGGTGGCTGTGGAAACACCTGATCCGGCTCGAGGACCGAATCAGCTTGATGATTAGGAGCTGAACCGTCTAACGGAACAGTTGCAAGATGACCTGGCTCATGAACAATCTCGGCGTTATGGACTTGAGGATCTTTTGAGGAAAGATTCAATTCTCTAACGCACGATTGTTCGGACGATCGTGCCGCTTTTGCGCTCGCGCAACTTGAGACCGAAAGTTCGAATCGTTCTCTTCGTGATGAGCTGGTTGTAGCTCGTCGAGACACAGCTCAAATGCATGAGCAGGTCGCTTCGATAGTCGACCAGACTGGCTCGTTGAAACGGGACCACTCGAAGGTGGTCTCGGCTCTCGACCGCGGAGGTGTTCTTCGCATCTCGAAGCGGGCTCGAACTGATAGTACGGACAAATGCGACCGACATAAAACGTAGGATGCGTACGCATCTTACGGGGCAGTTCAATCGTGTATGCGTTGCCCATTCGGCGCAACACACAAAATAGACCGATGTACCTGGGCAGCAATTTACTGCTGCCCACGTTTGCTACTGCGTGTTTTGGTACGTTTACTGTAGACATTAAAACTAGGTCTTCTTCATCAAATGATAAAACATTTGTTTTTTCATGTTTGTCTGCAATTCTCTTCTGTCTGTCTAGTATATCTGCAATAGAGTCTTGAACGAAACGGACAAGCGCTTCGCGAGTCAGCAGAAATTTCTCTGCTGATTCATCCTTGTCAACAACATTGCGCTTCGTGTGCACTGCTGAAAGACTGTTGTCTTCACCAGTGAGGGTGTCATCGTCCTCGCTTTGGCGGTCATTAGCGAAGCTGAATATGCCAGCACTGTCTTCATCGTCATCATTAATGTCGATGTGATCGATATCGGTATCCATCACGTCGACACCATTGTCGACGTGTGATGAGCAAGAATCAGATCGATTTTTTAAAGAGGGAGTCCATTCCCCCAAAACTAGAGTGACACTCTAAGAAGGCGGGTAAAGGTGGATGGCGTAGGCCATTCACGAAGAAATGTGTTTGCGTTGTCGACGCATGCACCGAGTTGTTGATGGCAAATTCCGCCATCAGCAAGAACTCACTCCAGCTTGTAAATGAGTGGACATAACCTCAAAGTACATCTTCGAGACGCGGTTGACGCTTTCCGTTCGACCATCTGTTTCGGGATGGTCAGAAGTTGACATCGTCAAACGTGTTTCATGTGAACGGAACACGGATTGCCAGAACTCCGCTGTGAAGCGGGGGTCCCTATAGGACACGATCTCACGGGGTAACCCGTGAAGTCGGAAGATAGTATCGATGAAGACACGCGCAAAGCCCTGAGCTGTGATTGAATACAGTGCAACAACAAGATGTGCCATCTTGCTGCCCGATCAACAATCACAAGAATACCAGTATTCTCGTGAACGTCTTCGGGTTTCCCGAAGACGAAGTCCATCGATACGAACTGCCAACACTCTGCCGGAATCGGAAGCGGCTGCAAGGGTGCGTGGGATAAAGGACTAGGCTTCACCTGTTGACGAACTTTGCAAGCGCGAATGTAATTGCGCACGTATTCATACTGGCGGGGCCAGTAGAAGTCACGACTTACCATGAGGTAAGACTTTTCTCTACGGCGATGCCCACTTGTTGGGGCATCATGACACTCTTACATGATGTGCAATCGCAAATCATTATGAGCCGGAACGACTGACACGAGGTGTGTCGCCGTTGACTGCTGTATAGTACAGCATTCCGTCACGAACAGAATACCGTTCGGTTGAAAAGAGCGGTATTGAGACGACAAGCTTTTCAAAGCTTGATTGCATGGATTATATACGTAATCCTATAACCGCGAAAGATACTCATCTTCTGCGTATGCTTTTCGCACGTCATCGAGCAGATTAGACGACGTAACACTCACTGTTTGTGTCGCGACAGTGGGATCACCCCTACTGTTAGGTTGCGCAGTCGGCTCAAAATCGGGCCGACGCGAAAGAGCATCAGCGACGACACTAAGTCGTCCTGGTTATACTCGACGGAGAAATTGAACTCCGCGAAGAAAGACAGCCACCTCGCCATTCTTTTCGAGAGGCGTGGACTGTTTACGGCCGTGAGTAACGACGCATGGTCGGTATAAACGACGAAGGGCCTATCTCTTAAAAAAATATACCCGAAACTTCGCCAGTGAATATTTCATGGCAAGGAGTTCCTTGTCATGCACCGGATAATGTCGCTCAGCTGCTTGCAGCTGACGCGATTGATAACAGACGACACGCTCAGCGCCGTCTGAGTCGTACTGCATCAACGCGCAGCCGATTGCAAAATCGATGACGTCACAGACCACATGAAATGGCCTACCCTGATCTGCAATCGCCAGCACAGGCGATTGCACCAAGCTTTTCTCGATGCCTTCAAAAGAGTGCTGACACTCAGCGCTCCATGACCACCTCTCGTTTTTCTTTAGTAGACGCGAGAGATGTACATTCATCTCGGCGCAGTTGCGTGAGTATTTGTGCATGTACGCCGCCAAGACAAGGAACTTTTGAAGTCCCTTGACGTCGACTGGCACAGAGCAGTCGCTAATCGCCTTGATCTTTTCCGGATTAGGGCGTACACCGTTTTTACCTACGATGCAGCTAAGAAGCGGTATTTCGTTCAATGCAAATGTACACTTCTTGAAGTTCGCAAACAACTTATGCTCCCGCAGTGGTGTAAGAACCTTCCGGACGCGGATTCTATGAACCTCCACGTCCGTCTTTCCATCCATAGCCGGGTAATGGGCGAAGCCATCGTCGAAGTAACTCGGTGCGAAATTGCGCACCGATCGCAAAAGACTAGTAATACATCTTTTGAACGTTGCAGGGCGTTACTTATCACCTGTGGCATCACTATACACTCCCAGAGCATACCACTGGGGGTGCTGTCTGCTGTGTACGGGATGTCCCGCTCATGCATGAGGATCTGTTAAAATCCATATATCAGATCCATGGACGAAAAGATGGTAATTTTTGCCACACAATCTTAAATGACGTCCTTTCTTGGTATCGGCGTTTGAGCCAATACCGTTGTAGGGTTCAATTTGTTGAACGCATGCACTATCCGCCACCGTCCTGTGGCCTTTCGCACAAAAAAGGTCGGAGAGAGGTGTGGGAATGATGACCCCCTCACATGACCAGCCGCTAAAGATCGGCACAGAACTTGTCGATCGCTGTGACCAGATCACGAGGCGTTGGCCACTGATTCATGACACAGTACTTCGAAACAGGTCTTAGTTCGATTTCATGCCGAGTGCTTTTGTTCTTAGGTAGCTCGCATGGCACGGATTAAGGCAAAACATCCCTGAATTCAACCAAATTCTTCTACAAAGGATTTGTCGTCAAAGACACCCAAGATTGAGACGTGTATCGCTCAATTTGAGTCTTCTCATCGAGGACACTCTCGTCTATCGATGAGCTACTGAGAACCCATTCCTTCTCAGCAAAAACTTGTGCCGACCGAATATCAGCGACGTGCTCTTCCTATGAGACAAGAATGGAGATCTGCGTGATCTTGTCACTACGCAGATCTCGCAAAAATCTTATAGATTCTAGCGTTGGCAACTTGATTACCTCCGAAGCTGACGTCGGAGTTGTAATTAGATCAAGTGTATAAGCGCCTACACTTGATCCATCATTAACCAAGACATTAACTGACTCGGTGGTTTCCTGGGAAAACACATCCGCAGGTGGTTGAAGATCCACACCCTCAACATAACTCTCTCGGGAGTTATCACTCTCAGAAACTTTCTTACAATACGTGTACTTACTGCGGGTGCGCTACCACAGTCACGTCCCCTTCGATCGACTCTCTGATAGTCGACCTCGCTTCAACGTGTTGTTTATCCTGAACAACATCAATCTATCTTCTTGGATGTACCCTTCTTGGTGTGCATCCGTGTTCAAGTCCACTCGATCTCTTCGAGTGGTGAACCTTCGACGCAGCCTGTGTCTCTACACAGGTGGCGGAAGCTGGTTCCACAGTGCAGTGGCCTTCTACACTGTGATCTTGTGCAATCGTACTAATGACCGTACCACAAGTGAGACCATCGCACTTACTAGTAGTACATTCACAAGCTTGTGGACGCTCCAAGACGTTCATCATATGGCCATCCGATGAACAAACAGCAGGCATCTTCACGGATCGATGCTGCCATCAAATCCACGGCTCGCATCTTCTAAGCCATGGCAGACCAAGAATGACATCAAATTTGTCATTCAAATCTGATACGATAAAGTCATCATCGCATCTTTTTTCCTTTCAGCGTGTAGTGGATTCTCACTACATGTTTTATCACTTTTACGGATGCGCCTGTCGCAAGGCACACCGTCATCCTCGTTGGAGGGAAGTCTCGCTCAACACAGTTGAGTCTACTATCTTCCAGCGACTGGCGTCGAATATAACTGTGTGACGCCCCACAGTCAACTATGGCGCAAAGTGACATTCCACTTGTCACTTCGATCTTCAAAGTGATGAGAGACTCCTCATCACTAGTGGAAGTACCACAAAGCGACTGTGTGTTGGGAGCAATCTTCTTCAGTGGTCCTGCAAATTATCTTGACGTTCCTGGACCAGCAGGATTTTCGGTCCCTACTGATTCTGTCCGTTTTTGGCGATCCGGCTTGCTGTCATGGCTTGGCGACATGGTCGGACCCACGCCTTGGAATATTCCTCGGCCAACGGCGATCATGATGTCCTGTCTTCGGAAGTGATGCGGTGCTTAGGGATACTACACTCATGGGCGTTTTGTCCAATCTTCGGATAGCGATGGTATTTTGCCGTTCGCTTGTGACTTAGAAAACGAAAGTTCTCACGCTCGATGTAACAGAGGTCCATCAATTCGGGACCTCCTGTTTTCTGTCGTCTTGTCGAAAGATATTTTGACGAGTCAGCTTGAGACTGTCTCAGGCTGAAGTATTCTTGTTCCGCATACGCTATCGCCTTTTCCAGCGTATGAAAGTCATCTCGGAACATGTAGGTCTTAACTAGTCCATTTTCAAGCCCGTAGATAAACACGTTCATGATCGTGTGCTCATTAACAGGGTTTTCAGTGACTCTACTCCCAAGGTAGCGTAGGTGTTGTCCGTAATCATGCACATCACCCTTACCTTTCTTGATACTCAGGAGGGCGGAGCGTGCTCTGAACTCGGCTCGTGACGGCTCCAACGTCACTTTGAGCCGTGACTTCAAGATCTTCAACGACTCAAACACGTTTGGGTCGTGAAGCTTGAGCTCTAAGGCCCAAGTCTTTGCTCGTCCTGTCAAATTTGACAGGGAGAATGTGATTTGCATCTCGTCACCCTCGATGTGACGGGCCCTGATGGCATCGTCTGACTCGACGAGCCATCTCAAAAGGGAATCTTCATCGGTTCCCTTGTACTTTGAGATATCAATGCTCAAGGTTTTGCGTCGACGCATGTGCGTCGGCCCGCCCATCCACTGATGAGAGCCTTGCTGTTGTAGCAAGAATATCTTCTGTCTTTCGACGGCAAGTTCTCCTTGTAGGAACTTGTTGATAGACGCATGTTCCTCGTCTCTGCTCAGAGACTTCGACATACCACTGATGGCGGATTCGTCCATAAGCACACTCATGCGGCCGACTACCTCCCATTATGAGTCACTCAGATGGGAGTAGCCTTCACGTGTGACGTGAAAGCTGTCTTCTTCTACGTCCAACATGTTCATGTTGGACGGACTACAAAGTGCTACTAAGTGTAACGGGCACTTTTCATTTGGAGTGCCACGAAACTTCACGTACACTAGTATTTGCAGAGGAATCCAATCTACTCAACAGCTAAGTTTAGTAAAGGGCAAAAAGAGAACCGTATTTAAAATAGTTAGGCTATCAATATAACTTTAGTCTTTATCCAGCTATATTAAAATACGCCATCATATGACGACAACCTGCTCACCACTCATTGCGCGCGTCTAGCAGCGATTGGTGGTAATCTATGGTTGATATGTCATATCAGCCAATCTTTGTGCAGCGCATGAATATTATCCTACAGAGAGGACAATATTCCTTTAATAGTATCCATCCCGGATAATATCGGTAGAATATTGTCATGCTAGACAACATGCGTATTGACACCTTTTGGTGTCACTATCATGTAACGGGATACCCCGATCCACACACTATCTTGACCTTCCATCCATCATAGAGACGAGTAGAGGTGGGAGGTCCAGGACCAAAAAACGTCTGCAGTCTCGAAGACGAGAGACCAAATCTCTTTATAAGCAGTAAGCAATCGAAAAAAACAATCACTGTCAGATGTTAGTACACAAAGCCTACGAGTGTAGTGCATCACAACCAGCGTCTTAAAACAAAGATGAAAGAAACCGTCTGTATTCCAAGAACAGAAATGGATGCAGGTCCGACGCTGTTGCTAATCACACAACAGCGTGGCGGACCGTACAAAAAACGGGCGGGTCAGAAGGTGCAGAGCGCCCTGCTGATCCAGCACCTCAATAGAATAGATAAACTAGTAATGAATTTTTCCAGACTCAAAATCCTTGCGCGTCTCTGCAATTAATAATGAGTTACCTTCAATGCCTTAAACTTCAAATTGGTACAAGAATTGTCTCTTCGTGCTTTAGATGATTGTGGGAATCGAAAAACAATCTTCGTCGCCAGTTGCTAGAGGAGTTTATGCTCAAGTTCAGCAAGCGCGATATTCCTCCAACGAGGATGACAGTACGCCTTGCGGCAGTCTAATCGATAGCAGTGTTGAAACGTGTAGTGATACTTCACTACAAATTAAAAGCTTCGCAGTACGATTGTAAGTTCATCGTAATCGATTTAAATTATATAATTGATGTTTTCCTAGGGTTACACTTGTATTAAAGGTACGATCCAGACGTCAGCCGGCAACATCGACCGAAAAGATGACTGTCGTTTATTCATCAGATGGCCACTTGATAAACGTCTTGGAGCATCGGGTGTGTGAAAGTGTACTACAAGCGCGTGCGATGGCCTCACTTGCGGTACGGTCAATAGTACGACTGCACAAGATCACATTGTGACAATTAATCACACTGTGGAGGAGCTAACGGCGACTGTGCGGATGTGTTGACACATCCAAAAATCCATTACTCGAACAAGTCGAGTGAATCGGGACATGGGTGTACGTCTAACGGGCTACATCCAAGTAAGACCAAACTGGCTGCCCACACAGGGCAATACGATGATTGTAGACCGGCTGGGAAGTCGATCGTAGAGGACTTAGCCGTAGTAGCGCAACCGCAGATAGAAGACTTTGAGGCAAAATTTAACATACTCAAGAAAAAAACCTCATTTAGTTATTGGTGAGGTATTGAGACCTTATCAATCTGAGGTAATCAGTCCCCGGCAGCCTGTGAAAAATGTTCACAGGAATTTACCAATACATTGAACGTCTTGATTAATGACGATTCAAGTGTGGGCGCTTGAAAACCAAATTTTATCGCGCCTCAGAAGTTTTAATCGAAGATCACACAATTGTCACTGCCAGGAACGTAACAATTCTTGCGTTTTCAGCGTAGTGGCAATATAAATTAGATCTGTGCAGTCTTCTTGGAGGACGAGTAGGTGACCGATATCGGTCGGCAACAGTATTTGCTGAGAGTCCGTTTGATGCTCAGCAGCTCATCGATGGACGAAAGTGTCATCTATGAGAAGACTCAGATTGAGCGATAAAAGTTTCCATTTTAAAAGTAGCTACAGGCAAATTTATGAACATGTTTGATCAAATCAAAGGACGCGTTCCGTGAATCCGTACCCTACAAGCTGCTTCAGGATAAAACAATCGACGAGTAATTTGAGCTATAACCGGGATCGAACTAATTGTTTATCATATTAGTGGCCACTGCACTGTGAAGTAGTACTTGATATCGACAAGTTCTTTGCCAATCGCTTAGCGGCTGGTCACGTGAGGGAATCAGCATCACCTCACAGCTCTCCAACCTTCTGTGTGCGCAAGGCCTTTAAATGTGGCGGGTAGTGCACGCATCTAACAAGTTGAGTACTGCTACGGTACCGTCTCAGACGACAATAACGAGGAAGGTCGTGATTATTGATGGTATGGCAAATAACTGTCTTTTCGTCCATTGATCTGATGAATGGCTTCAGTCGGGTTATAAATCGTAAATAGGACATTTACTACACTGCAGTGAGAACCTTAAGCCGTATGAATGTGAGTGGATAGTAATTCCACAAGATCTTAGCAACTCCACTGCAACATAAAACAGATGTGTTACCACTTTGTTGAGATTGATGAGAGACTTGACACCTAATTACTCATATGATTTATTCTTCCATAGACGGACTTTGGGCGAAAAGACGGACGTTAAGAGTCATACAACACACGTTCGTCAAGTTCTTACACCTATGCGCAAGCGTTAGATTTATGCCAACCTCAAGAAGTGTATAATCGCTGCTAGCGAAGTAATACTTATTGGTTGCATCGTGAGTAAAAACATCGTACGATATGATTTAGAAAAGATGAAGACGTTTGCCGATCGGTCTGTGCTCGTCCCCATTAAACAACTGAGAAAGGTCCTTGGTCTAACAGCGTGTGTATACAATTACTCGCGCAACAAGACCGAGATAAACGTTCAGCCTTCTCGTCTTTTAAAAAAGAGCGAGAAGTAGTCATGGGACTCTGATTGTCAGTAACACTTAAAAGATTATAAGCAGAGCTTGATGCAGTCGTCCACCTCAACGATTGCAAACCAAGACATGCCATTCCATGTGGTCTGTGACGCCATCGATCTTGAAGTGCTGTGCGTTGATGCAGTACGATATAAACAGAGAAGAGCGCATCGTCTATTATACAAATCGCGTCAGCTGCAAGCTGCTATACGTAATTACCCAGTTCATGAAAAGGAACTTCTTGCCATATAGTATGCACTGGAGAAGTATTGCGTCTATCTTCATGAAGATATGCCGTTTGTAGTCCCAATGGACCATGAGTCATTACGCACGACAGTAAACAGCCCACACCTCTCGCAAATGATGGCGAGGTGTCTGTCCTTCTTTGCAGAGCTCAATTCTTAGTGGAATAAAAACCCAGACGACTTCATAAAGTCGCGGACGCGTTGTTTCGCCAACCCTATTTCGAGTCGGTGGCGCAGTCCAACCGTGTGATTGATTCCACTGTCTTATTCTAGTCACTAGTGTTCCGTCGTCAACATTTCTTGACAACTTAAGAAAAGCTTATGACCTTATTGAGACCAATCGATCATTTGGTATCTGATCTCGCAAATCTCTCTTGGATTTACTGTCCTTGTATCGATATTCTGCGTTTTGATACACAACACGTAGCGAGTTGCTGTATTACACTCCCGTTGCCGGCGACAAAAATCATGTTTTCGTTCTCACTCATAATAAATTGCGCTTGTGCATCTTGTATGAGTGCCATGATGCACCACCTAGTGAGCATCGTGGGCGTGAGAAGACTAATCTTACAGTTAGTCACGAATATTACTGGTTCCACCAGTTTCAGTTCGTTCGCAAGTACGTTCGTGCTTGCGACTTGTGCCAACGGGTGAAGCCCTTTTATTTTTAACTTACACGACTGAAGCCTCTGCCAATCATGCAGAAGATTGTGAGTCCGTATCAATAAACTTCGTCTTCTTTTTCCAGAAGATGCTAACTAGAATAATAAAATTGTAGTTTTGTTTATCGTTTCAGCAAAATAGTACATCTTGCTGCCGATCCGGAGTCAATCACATAACCGTGCTCTGCCCGTGTCTTAATTGACACGGTATTTCCACTTCACGATCTGCCATGTGACCTAGGCTCTGATAGAGACCCTCTACACACGGCGGCGTTTTGGCAATCCGTGTTCCAATCCCTCGATACACGTATGACTATGCCAACTTCTCACTATCACGAGAAAGGTGGTCAGACAGAACGCGCCAACCGCGTCCTCGGATAGATACTTTAAGGATACGTTCTATCTTGCACATATTGGACCGAACTTTAAAGGATAGTATAGTTTGCCATCAATAACTCCGTGCATGCGTCGACAACGCATACGCCATTTTTTGTGAGCGGCTCAAGCCATCCACGCCCATCCGTCCCTGAAAAGGTGTGACCAAAAATTTACAAAGGGGGAGGGAATCGCTCGAGTTAAAACCGTTCTGGTTCTTGCTCGTCACGTGTCGAGGCACTCGACGACGCAAACGTTGCCGATGTCAATCAACACGACTTCGAAGAAAATAACACCAGTAACAATGACGACACTATTGCTGATTCAGACGAGAAGAACAATGATGGTATATTTAGCATCGCCAATGACTATGCCAGCGAGGATGATGACACCCTTACTGAGGAAGAGAGACAGCTCCAAGCAGTACACACGAAGCACACTTATACAGATACAACTAAGTCAGCAGAGAACTTGGTATTGACTCGAGAAGCGGTGGTCCGTTTTGTACAAGAATCCATCACAGACGCGGTGGACCGGCAAAAACAGAACGTTGGAAAAAATGGTAGAGAAAACGTTCGTCTACTTTATATTGGAGACTTATTTATACTGTCTACGGCAAATACACAGAAGCACGTAGTAGTTTATAATTTGAGTAGTAGTAATGTACTACCCAAGTACTTCGGGCTGTTTCGAGCACTACACCGCAACGGCAATGCATACAGGATGCAAGCGCGTCCTATGGATTAAGTCGGCCGTATCCGCCCGTACTATCAGCACGGGTTCTATTCCTTGGACGAATGCACCCGCCACGATCAAGAACCTTCAAATTATTCTTTTGGTCATGAGCCAGTTTCATAATCTGGCTCTGTAGTGCCGCATTCCGGTGACGAAGGTCACTCACTTCAAATCAAAAGTTTAATCTTTTACGCTTGTTCTCCAATTGGTTAAGCGCGAACTCCGCTCGGTCTTCAGATCAATAGAGTCGATTGCGTTGCACCCACACCTCCAAAGAGAGACTCATCTTTCTCTCTCAATTGATTCCATTACACAAATCTTTTTAGCCTTGCTGAAGGCAACCAATATCCGCTTGTAACTCCAGCAATCTATTCGGAGTTGATCTTCCAGCACCCACCACAGCCATTGGTGGGCTCGCACTGTGGTTAAAGCTTTCACGTAGAGCGTACTTTATTCCTCTGTAACGTGAAGGGACAGCAAACAATATCCGTGTTCGCTGACGCGGCTATACACCCTCGCAAGATATCTGTGTTCCTCTCGCTTAGATGGTGACTGAAGTTGAGGTCTCGTCCATTCGTAAGACGAGGTGCATACAATGGTATACAAAGGTCTATTGGAAAACACGCGCCTATGTCGCTGGTAGAGCGATTGAAAATGTGTACTTGCATCGCGTAACTCAGAAGAGATGTGTCATCTACTCAAGAGCGAATAAAGGGTAGTATACCTCCCTTTGGATGTGTTGAATGTCGTCACGGACGCGTGTCTCTTCACGTGATGCGTGGATTTACTGCCTCAACAAGAGGACAGTGCATCTAGCTCCTGCAACCGTCAAGAGTGGTTTCTCAAGTCTGACAAGGGCTGTTTTAATTTTTATGAAGCCAATCTTCACGCCCAATGGACTGCACATTGAGGACGAAGGCATCCCAGGCCTGCATCCACGAGCTTTGCCCAGCCTAGGATGCCACTATACCATCAATTCTTCGGAAAGAATCCAGGTAGAGTTCTTCTTTAACGCGAAATTTTCTAGAGCTGATGTCGAGGACGGTCAACAACCTCGCATTAAACAATGGATTTTGATGATGAAGACTTGTCTCGCCTTATAAATATTTACAGGACTTTCTGTCTACACCCAGTGCTTGTATTCAATGGCTAGAAAAAGAACATTTTTGTTTGGAGCCTCCTGCATGGCACCAACGGACATCTTGGTGTCACTGGAATCGTCATCACGATAGTGTAAATTATCACCGAATACCTGGATGGCAATTGCGCGGAGGGTGAGTCAACATGCTCAACCTCCAAGCTAAGATAATTTTGAGAGACATCGATTCCTATTACCCTCTCAATTTTTTTTCATTCATAGGCTCGTATTCAGTCGCCCCTGTATACTCGGGTGACATAGTTGTCTTCTTCAAGTCGGACTCACCATTGTACTTCCCAGATTGATGAGCTTCGTTCAAGAGCCTTCATTAGCAGTAATGAATCACCACGTGCCTTTGCATATATGATGCTGAAGAAAGCGCTTCAGCATCAGCAGCAGACGGAACATCTTCTGCCGCAAGATCCTGGGCATCGTCAAGAGCAGCTGCGTTATCAACTGCAGCTTCCCTCTCAGCAGCTTTAGCCGCGCATCGCATGGACTTGCTCACCATGCGACGAAGAGGTGTGAATGAATGGATCAGATTAAGACAAGTTCTATATGTACCTGATGTGGTCCAGCGGTGGCCAAATTAACAAGAAAGTAACTGAGAGAATATCGTTTAAGGGAAAGCAATGAAAGGGGGTGAGCCTGTTATATGTAATTAAAATTAATAATTGTTTATTAGAAAATTATTGAAAAGGTTGATCATATTCGTGGCTATGACTTTAAGGGGAAACATAAATAAAACCGACCGATTACCTGATATGGGTCATCATATCAGCTCTAGAGGTCCAATCAACGATGAACGCGCGCAAAGAGTGGTGAGCTCGACTTTCGTATACACTTTTGTAGAAAAGCCATGTAGTTAGGACTAAAGCATTGTTTGATAATAGTATTATAAAAGGTTGGACTCAGTTTTCTTTACCAGCAACCAGTCCTTTTCCTTGAGTTTTTTCCTTCCTCTGCGTATAATTATGAGGTATAGAGCCACCACTCACAATTGCTGTCGGTGTGAGTAGCTCCACACCGTTTGTTCAGTGTGTTGCTCTAGTGACTTGTCATAAGACTCGCCCAATCATGGCGTCTAGACGCATTCTGTCGCGGAGCTAGACAGCTCATTAAGTTGAAGGAAAACTGAGGGGCTCAAAGAGCGATAATCGTGTAAAGAACTTGACTCTATGAATCAACAAGTGTGAAGCTTTAGGCCCCTGTTTCAGGGTTTTGAACTATTCAATTAAACTTCAGCACTTAGTGCTCAAGAATAGCTACCTCAGGGAGGTGATGTTGACGTTTAGCAATCAACGATCAGAGACGCCTCGCAAGGCACGTGTCTTCGACAAGATCAAAAGGGGAAATGAACTTTATTTACGTTCAACGCTATGGAATATTTCAATCACACTATTAATAACCCAGGCACTCACGTCCTAAATTAACATCTTCAAAATCTTTTCTATTTTGTCGCTGACACCCACAGCCCCTATACGCCGAGGAGATGCTCTAATTCTCTTTCAGTGAGATGCCATCCCGTGTGTCTAAGACAAAGGGTACCAAATACCCTAATTACCCTACAATGTATAACCTCTTTACACTTTTCAATCGTAAAAACCTTTGGGGAAGTACCAGGAAAATTTGATCGCTAAATTCTCAATGTACCATTTCGATCGACCATAAACCTGTGATCTCGTTGGCGAAACCTCGCTTTTACTCGATACCTGTCCCTTCAGCCCACCATTGGTTTGGCCAGCCGTGTATGCTACGGAAACCGAGCCCCATTTGTTTGCGATAAAGAATTGTAATTAATACATGAGAACAGCTTTGATAGAGGTGGTGACTGGCTCTGGCTGAATAAGCGGCACACTTTGTCTTGCGGAAGCGAGGCGTCGACAGCAAAGACAATTGCGACCAGGATGAGGACAAAATCCCGAAATTTTAAAGGAAATGGATTAAAGCGATGCTACTAGGTGCAGGATAAATTGCATATTGAACGCTTGTTCCGTGTGTGATTGTGCGGTGCTCGCGGCTCTATTACACGCACAACAGGAGCGTGCATAGTCGGGGTATGTGCTACAACAGGCCGGACCGGCGCATCTAAACACATTTAGACTACTACTAGATTATATTCGGAGCATAGAGGTTGTCAGTTTACCGCTACGCTACCCAGATTACATCAAGTAAGAGTGCGCCGGTCCGGCAAAACGACACTCAAGCGATACATAGAAGCCGTGACAAAAGATCATCGCGGCTTACGGCACCCTGTACTGATTAGCTATATCCGGAACAATGATGTGTAGTACATGTCTGCAATGCTGCGACGTCTTTCTTAAACCTGCTGCAGCAATGTCGGACCAGCGATCGCGCATCCAACAAATTTTTTATCGACTATGTTCCTTTGAAAAAGCTCTCATTTTTCGTGAGTGTGGGCGAGTATACATCTCGGTCGTGCTAAAGAGACGACCCCTGTTCGTGAAAACGTACAATCGCAAATTACATTGCACAGGGCACGTTGCAGCATGTGGGAGTCGACGCCAAGGTAGTAAAAGTTTCGGTTCTTATACCATGGTGGCAACCTTTGTTAAATCTGCCACAATTAGTTGGTAGCCAGCAGAAATACTTGTTCGATCTAGCGATTTACTATTGCAGTCAGAATTAGGGTATGTCGACTGCGCGAATCATGGAGGTATTGGTAGCGAGTCAGAACACATGAATGGACAAATCTTCTTCTTCCATACAAATCTCAAACATTTTTATGCGTGACGCCCACATACCTCACCTCGTTCACGACTGACGACGGCGCAAATCGACAAAGAGATTTTGGTGTGTGCTTACAAGCGTAATGTAATCGCTAAGATTCGCCTTTCCAAATACCAAGGCTCAAATTAATAATCGGGCATTGCGAAAGTCAGTGCCTAATTCCGCGCCAAACCATCAAGTTTCCCGTTTTATCTTCGTGCTACACTGCCTTGTCGACTAAAAATAGACAACTGTTGCTTGGCATGCAACTTGTGGCGCTCGTGACCGGTTGGCATGGGGTCCTGGCCATTAATCTAAAGCTTGTCAAATTGCTTCTATCGTTAGAAACTCGTGACTTCGCAGAGCTAGGTCTTTGTCGCTGTCTGGCGGGAATATTGTGATGCGAGTCTGTTGTCGACTGCAGGAAGACGAGAATGTAATTGTAGAATCAGTCGTTGCTGATGCTAAAGTACGCTGATTCGTCGCTCGAAACAGGAAGCGCAATCGGATTACAAGTAAGAATTCGTTCCCTACGAAATAAAAAAATGCAGTGTTTTGTGGGCGTGGGGTACAACAATGCATGGATACAGATAGCAATTGCTCGACGGTAACTTTCGCATTTGTGCTTCTGCCTCTAACAGAATGTTGAAAGCTGTAAGTGTAGTGAGTGGTTAGAGGGGGTACCGTCGGCTGCAGACTTGCGCTTTCGTCGTGCCTGACTAAGTTACGGGCATCGGCTTCTCAGTGCTACAATCGTGCTGGGCAACACAGTCAATGACCATGAGCTTTTGCATTCTGCAAGTAAGCCGAGTCGTGCATTATGTGACACAATTTTATCTGTAAACCAAGCAAATATAAAATGAAATTGATGCACCAACGGCAAGGTTAGTCATGTCAGTATATGCTGTCTGACGGTCGACGTGACCATATGAGGCCCATTGAACAACTGCTCGCGACAGGTTGTAATGCACTGTAGAATTGTGACCGATATGAAGGCTACTGCCAGTGTCAATGAGTGGCGCTTGTTAAAATGCAAGTAGATTTCTCAAGAGATGATAAAGTGTAGAATAGATAGTTCCATTATGAGTAGAACATAAAAAGACTACCATTCCATCGTTTTCGCGTGGCAGCTCGCACATACTCACTGCTTGAGCCACATATTCTCATGACGTAAAATGCGCTGTGATCTTTGCGTTCCAAACTTGCCGCCAGTAATTGATTTCTCATGCTCTCATCAGTCTCCAGAACGATGATTGCCTCAGGCGTGAGTAAGAGTTAAACACCGCTCGAGCAGTTATGGCGGCATGTTTAACATTCGTTCGCTTCGTGGCTCCGTGTGATGATCGAAGAATCGACATTGCTGCAAAGACTTCAGCTTGCTGTTATGTGATATCCGTAAGAAAATGTCATCGGTACCACAGCAAGTTACGCGCACGCTAAGCTACTAGGTGACGACCACATTGGAAAGGATGACATTAAAAGTAATCAATAGTTTTCTCGAGTGGTAGATCGCAACATTCAAACCTGTTGCATGGTTGCACCCTTTTGTACCTGATCTGTGGTCGTATCTTGTGCGTCCTGCTCAGGAATTCTATTGACCGCATGAGAGACTTGCTAATATTTCTTGATCATGATACAGTCGCCCATTCGCTATACTTGGTAGTGGCAACTACTGCTTGTGTTCGTGCGAGTACGACACCAGTAGTTGAAGTTACTCACATGGACGGCGTTAATTATTGGCTCGTCAGGTTACGTTGCAATCGACTTGTATTGATGAAATGATCGAGAAGTACTGAGCCGGTTCTTACCCGACTCGAAAGCGTCAACAACTCCCATGAATCCCATCCCATCGCGACGCATATCGATTGGCGTAAGCCTCATATTCACGTCATTTTTGAGACCGCAGGGTCGAGAGAATCCTAAAAAGTAGCATATGAATGAGAGCAATTGCTCAAAGAACGTTGCCAATGTGACTACAAGAGCAGAAGTCGTAGTGTGCGTCTAATTGTCAACCGAGCGTAGAAGACCCTAATGTCCCGGAGTCAAGGCGTGTTCCATTATCCACATGCAAGTGTCATTCGTCATGAAATGTTGCCAAGGACGAGTCACCTGTACAGGCAGTCCACATTTGCAGAAACTTGTCATGGATCTATACCCTGCTCCAATGATCCCATAATGTCGTTCGAGCCATGCTTTTCTCATAGTCGCTCTTCGCGGGCTTAGCCACCGGTCATACAACTATTGAATGCGGTCCTAACCTCCATCGGCTATTGGTGTAACTCAAAAGATTCACTATTGGCTGTCTTGCTATACGCCTTTCAACCTGTCAACATCCACTTACACTTGACAAATCCTTTTTTGTACGTGTAGTGGGTACATGTAGTATTTCTAACGATCGACGTCTGCCCTAATCGGCGGGGCCTACACATCCTTAACTGGATGGCCACTGCTTACTGGAATCTCTGGTGGCCAGGTAGTCCAGGGCAATTATTGATGTTGGGGGTTTATGACTCTACCCGGGCGGTGCAACTGAGACTTTTGTGTCACACTTTACCGACATTGGGTTGGTCGTACGGGATGCCGAAATGGCAATCATGTAATTGGAACGTCGGTGCTTACCCAGGGCTCCAAATAGAACCATACTCGACAAGATTTTGGCATCTTGTTGGTCCCAAGTGAAGCCACTGCAGCGTCTCGGAATGTGAGCGTTCCAACGCAGACCTCGAAAACGTTAGGGACTAGCACAGTGTTCTTCGCACCATCGCTGATAGAGTTTTGCCGTTTAAAGCAAGTCAGTTGCAGCCGTATCTCCTTCCAAATTTAGCACCATCGACCAGGTCCAAGACACCAAATGTTTTTTGCTCAATGTATCGGGTCGATAGAGTGTTCGTTGCGGCGGGCCATTTCAAAATGACATCTATCGTGATCGGAGCTCTGATTGCATGCATCCTTCATAAATATCGTAACACCGCCACTAAAGGCGCTTACAAGGCCCTTTTACATGCAAAGAATGCATCCAACTGATTTGAGTAATCAATAAACCCGCTATGTATTACCGTCAAAGCCACCATAATGCAGAGTCAATCCAAATTCCGCCCCCTCCTGTTTTTCAAGTACAAGCACACTCGTCGACGAATCGCGTTCGACCGGATATTGCTTGAAAGTGCCACAAACACCGTGGCAATAACGGCAATGACGAAAAAAACAACCGGCAGACCGCATGTCGACCCGAACTCGTGGACGCCTTGACGTAGCTTGGCATCCAGAGTTTTTGCATTCTCGCTCGTGACATACGATGCGTTTTCGCTCAAAGTGAGTACGCCTCGGAACTCATGCAGTTCGACATCGAAGTCATCAGCCTCCCGCGTCTTCTTCATCGTTGATTCCGCAATCCATTTGTTTTCATCTTGGCTGTGCAGCTTCCAGCCGTGGCCAACCGTCATTTCGACTTCTGTGGCATTTTCGTACGGAACCCAGTGCAGTTGCCCACAAGAGTTCGTCTCGTTCATCCAGCCTTCAAAAGAGATGTTGGCAAACTTAAGATACTGCGCAAACGACCGCACCTTGCCAAAGCCATACTTGTCAAACTCAAACGTGTCGACAACCCCCTTGAACGGCATCCCTAAGCGAAGACGTACGCGATTACGAGCCATCGCCGCGTCCATGCTCTTCTTCACGGGATCCACTGGTGCCTTCCAGAAACTTGCGGGCTTTGCTGAGTAGTTGTGATACAAGACGTGTCCAAGTCTGCTTGGAGAGTACAAATCGTAGCCGTTCGTCCAATAATTTGCTGAGCGCAGAAACTCCTCGCCATCCCAAAGCCATGGCGTATGCGAGTCAACCAGTACCTTGCGCTCTGCGTGACACTTGCTAAACGAGTAGCCGCCTCCCCAGAGAGCTGCCATTTGAGGTGCCCACGAGTCGCTGATCATACTAGCTCTAGCGATACGGGTTAAATTGCTGGTCTCCCCTTTCACTACCATACAGAGATGGGGAATCGAGTTTTGGATTGCATTGTCCCCATTTTCCTTGATCATATAGTCATGCGAGTGGTGCGGGTAGGTCGTCATGATGGCCATCTCATTGTTAATGGAGCGCCAGTCTGCAACGATGTCCTCGTCCCATCGGTTCGTGAATATGGTGTGGGCGTCGACCTGGAGACAGAACTCTTGATCCCCAATGAGCTTTTGCTGGAGGTGACGTGCTGTGGTGCACCCAGCAGATTCTGCAGCGTCTCGTGTATCGACTGTCACCAGATCCTGGTATCTGCAACTCTCATCTTCCGACCACTCTTCTGCCGCCAGTTTGCAGTACTCATCCAAACAGGTGGGATCTCCTTCGTAGATCTGTTCCAGAATGCCAAAGTGTAGTCGCTCCGGATAAGTAGCCCGCTTGAACGCAGTGAAGAGTGTCTTACCACAGCGATAGCCATCTCGATAAGCGGATGAGCCGATAAACATGTCGAAAGTGGCGGGGATATCGGCTGGAGGCGGTCGTAAATGGCTCTGCTCCGGATCAAGTGGGATATGTTGCACCCTTGGGTTTAACTTGGTCGAGTTCGTCCAATTGTTCCACCAGATGGTAGAGAAGGAGATTTCTTTGCCTGGATTCACATCCACCTTTGCCACAGTCAAGCCCGCGAGTACCGCAGCGGTCTTCACGAAGCTCAACATGTCGAGTGTAGAGATGGACGTGTATTTCGGGGTGTACGGTTGAGCTGTGTGCACTACGGCTGATTGGGGATCCGCCCCTGTCCACTCAAATGCCCGTTTTGTCTTGCTCCAAATATTTCTGCTAACTGATATTTTTTTTCTGATTTATTTTAGTAATTAAGGATAGGCGAGGTTACTCTGTACTTTGTAGTTTGCTATTCCGTTCTGCAAACGCCGTCAAAAGTTTTTACGGGCAGCTGATTAGCTGAATACTTAGATTTATCTGTAATGTGCTAGATATAGAAGGTCAGAGGTGCGGCGATTAAAGAGCTTCCATTGACTGATTTAGCTCCCTGTGTGTCATCACCCTTTACACGAGCTTTATATGACTCGTATAGTGTAGCTGATCACACCACATTCATTTGTTATCGTCCGTTGGCTCAAAATACCGACAAACGGTACCGGTAGTGCGCGCGCTGACCTAGAGCATACTGAACAAGGCAAAATTCCCGTTTACACTGGCACTACCGACCAGCAGATACAAGTGTCTGCTGGAGACTCCAGCCAAATAGTCAGCCGTTAAACTGGAGACACCCAAGACGATGAAAATTATGACAAAGACTGTGAGAAGATTTATGATGGAGACGAAAAGCTTGATTTCAATAAGATCACCCGTGAAGAAGACCAAGACGTAGCAAAAGTCTGTCCACATGTCGCTGTGTTGGACCTTGAAGGTGTTGCCCAGGTAGTGCTTGACCGTCGTGTACCCACTAACGGCGGTGTAATTCGTAGGGGTTAACACGCGAGTTCTAAATACACGTTTGTGTACCCCTCGTAACCTTATCATACACTGGATCTTCAGGACAGTTGCCGAACACGAGCGAGATGACGATCAAGAAGGAGAAGCGCTGTGGAGTGACATCATAGAGTCATCGGTAACGGTCCGGGATAACAGCAGCAGGTGGGTTGAACCCAGCAAAGAGCAGGATCATGACGCTAATATTGGACGCCCGCAACGGCAACGACTTCGCCACTGGACAGCAAGCAGACGAGCAGCTGGCCCAGGATCGTCTGCATGAGCACGGAGAGGGAGACGTTGAGTCAGTAGAGCACAGCCGTGCTGAAGGACCAGATGCCGAGGAGAGGGAAGAAGATGATGGTGAAGAGGAGACTGCTTTCAAAGACGTCGGGAATCTCGACAAACAAGATGCTGAGGAAGTACTAAAGAGTGTTGATCGTTATCGCGTCGCACTTGCGGCAGTAGACGGCTTGTTCCTGCAGGGTGAAGGGCAGACAAGCAACACACGGCACGTATCTTTGATGCAGTGTTGTCATGAAAATGATACTCGCGGCTTAGGTTTAGGCCCTTGGTACGTTGTGTAGTCGGCGATGACGATTACGAAGCCAAAGATGATGGCCAGGATAAGCGCAAGCTGATACCGAGTCAAGTTGTACGATGGTGTTCGCCAGTATAAGATTGAAGTTGCTGCATGATTAATCAGAGTTGCATCCAGGAAGTAGCAGCTCGCTTGTGCTAAGACTCTAGCTTTGGGAGACTATCGGGTGCAGGTGCCGTCACATTAGGTTCAGCTGGACGAGTCAGCAACACTTGGTGGTCCAGAGATAGATTTGGACATTGGTAATCTTCCAGTTGGAGAAGTTCAACCCGTCCGTAAGGCTCAGCACTAAATCCAGTCAATTGAAGCTCTTTAATCTACGCACCTCTGACCTTTTATATGTAGCACACTGCAGATTTAATTTAACTATGAAGCTAACTAGCTGTTCGTGAAAACGTTTGACGGCGTTTGCAGTACGGAATAGCGACATTCAAAGTACGGAATAGCCTCGCCCCTAGTATTGTCTCGCTCCATATATTTTATACTAACTGATTGTTTCTAGTTAATTTGTGGTTGAGGTAAAGTATGTCCTTTCCTCGCTGACAACTTGATTTCTGCAATTTGACGTTGTCCTCCGATTCTTGTGTCTTGATCACTGTATGCAAACGAATGAAAGTAGTTTCTTTCTATATTTACGGATAGTCCTCCCTGTCTTGCGTACTAATGGTCCTTACGTCAAGTGTGCGGTCGCACGAAAGTCCGAAAATGACTTTTCTAGTGGAGTCCGATGTATGAGATCGGTGCGACTCGTCACGGTCAATCGAGTCTCGAAAACGACCCGTAGTCGATGCGACAGCTCGGTACGTTTCCACGACTTGATCATTACCTGGCTGTACACAGACTAAATTGTTTTGCCGCTGCGAAAGCTGACCGAGTAAAATGCCATTTTGAAATACGTTCATCGATCTCAACTGCTACCGTTCGTAATTAAGTCATAGCAACATCCGCTGCGGTGCATGTTGGAAATCAGGATGACGCTTCGTACGCTTGACTGCTGCGTCAGAATGAACTCATGTCGATGATCTTCACGGTTGCTACACAGGCAAGATGGGGACAGGCGCATTTGTATGCTGCACCAGTCGTCGCCCTCATTCTAATCAGCTTTCGACTGCAGTTACAACGAGTACCTTCACAAAACCGGCTCACAGTTCAATGCGTAGATATAACGATACGAATGATAGCGACGTCCTCACTTGACTTTGTGAAAAGCGAGTAACGACAATCCTTGAACGGTGTGTGATCAGGGAACAGTAAGTCATAACAGTGACTAGCCCGTCGTTTTCTGTAGCTTTAGCCTCTGCGAAAACTCTCTTCGGTGCAGTGATATGAATGAGATAGGGGGCAAGCTCGGGAGCCCACCCTTTGATTTAAGTAATTCAATCTAAGAGACTAGATTGAGTTCTTTATGATCACATTCCATTGTGGGTGATTAACGGCTACGGAAAGGGGTGTGCATCGTGTATTAACGAATGAAAGTGCAGATAGATCGTTGTGTGTTAGAGGCACTCGTTGGTTTTGTTGATGTCCGTAAGATACGTACATGAGAAAAGGGAAATGGCGGATGGTTCTGCTCGGTAACGCCGTCATTTGCAGACACACAGAGACAGAAAATAGGATTTCAACGTTCGGCATTTACTTTGCGCGCAGTCAGCAATAGCTTCACCCTTTGACTCGCAATAATACCCAGTGTGCCTGGTAAACGCAAGTATGATCGGCTGTTTCAATTTCATTTTGGCTTGGGCTTACGCCTGAACATCTATAGCGTCAACATCGCTTTGATCTTTCCTTTGGTGTCAAGAAGGATGGGTCACAATGTCACAATTAGCAAATTTACATTCGTCACGTCATGCTGTTAGCGGAAACCAATCCTTAACATCTTGACTTCGATTAGGCCCGTTCCACAGTTTCAAGCTTATTGCGGTGGCAGACGTGTCAACCTATTGGACATTCATATTGTCGGAACAGGTGGTTTGCCACCGCGCGACTGCTTACCTTACCATAGCGGTGTCTATGGTCAACTCCAACGTTCCTTTTCAAAGAATTCCTGTGCGTTTCCGTTATTCGCTGTCCACGCAATCATTCCACTCATCTTGTTAGGCATCTGAAATGCCTTGTTCAAAAATTAATTTTTTTTAGCGCCTTTTACTTGCTTCTCTGTCTTATTCCTTGCCACTTCCTATCTATTTTGTGCAGTGATCAGGTGGGAAAAATAGCATTTAAATTTTTTTGTTAGATTAAAATTCATTGATAAGTAAAAACTTTTTGTAACCGACAAAATCAACATCTACCAAATTTAATACTATGTTTATAATCAGTGGATAGACAAATGTGACAGGATAGCGGATAAATAACGATTCCCTGTTTTGAAGCACATTACATTAGCTTCTTTGACCCAACGACTCCGGGTATACAAATGGCACATCGCCTAGGCTAACTACTGTGTACATAACTACTGTGTACAGCAGCTCAACCAATTTTTTTGTAGGGGGCGGCCTGCTTCTTGCTTACGTAGCAAGACAAAGTGCACATCGGACTAACTCGTTTCTAACCAAAAAAAAGAACTACGGCCGCTACGAGCATGAACAAGCAGCCAACTAACGAATTTGTAGCTACATGTGAGGACTTTTGTCTGCGAACCAAAAAAGGCTGTAAAGTGAATACACAAGTGCTTCAAATCAACGAGAAGGCCACGACGCAGCTTGGCTTCATCCGCGAATTCGACTTAGGTGCAAATGGCACGTGGGTGGATTTGAATGAGATAAACACTGTGATTGTACTGTTCAAGCCAAACATCGTTTGCTATTGGAATTAACTTTAGACGAGACAAGCTGTCATGTTTTCTTCTTCTACTGCATTTTCGGAAGGCAGTCTCATGGCAGCAAACTTTTGATCTCTGCGTCCCTCTGATTGCAGCTATTCACTTAAGGACCTCATGCGTCTCGGGAAGCGTGGGAAGGTAATTGGTGCCAAAGGCGCTGGCGCAACGATCGGTATCACCGGAATGGTAGGTGCCAGCGTAAAGATGTCGGGCGCAGCCGTGAAGATGTCTGAAACTGCCGGTACAATGTCCGTGACCACCGTGGGAATAGGGACATCAGGAATGGCAGGCAATATGTCAGGGATCACCGTCAGGACATCGGGGATCCGTGTCAAAATATCGGGGACCACCGTCAGGACATCGGGGATCCGTGTCAAAGTATCTGGGATCATCGTCAGGACATCGGGGATCCGTGTCAAAATGTCAGGAATCACTGTCAAATACGAATCAGGTACACCTGTGAAAGCATCAGGGATCATTTGTATCGGGTCGACCAGGGGCAGTCCTCCCTTGAGATCGTAAGCATCAGGTCGAATTGATGGAATATAGGGTCGGAAGCCATCGTTGACATGGTGAGTAGGGTAGGTCTCATCAATTGAGTCGACGTCTTCGATCAAGTCGTCTATGTCAGCCGGATAAACCTCGTCAGCTGAGAAGCCACCTACTGGAAACCCATAGGTCGGAGTCACGGAGCCACCGGTGTACCCCCCATTTTGAATCGCCTGGGTTGCACTCTGATCGTACATACTGGCTGTACCGCTGTCTTTAGCAGCTGCATAGTTACTAGGGTATGCTGTAGCACTCGCGATCCTTTCGCAGTCGTATGCCGATGTTTGGTAGGTACCTTTACCCGAAGTGACATCGCAAAGAACACGGAGCACCTTACTAAGTGCCTCGTCATCGTCACCATCATCGTCACTGTACGCTGCGATGGTGTTAGCCTCGTTGACAGAAGTGGACGCCGTCTGAGGAAACGTGCACGCCCACGTATCCTCGACCACCTCAATGCACTGAGCGTCGACAGGAGCAACGCACACCAATCCATTGTAGGACAGCAGGTATGGCTGACAGCCAGCCGACGCGATGTCTCCGGCCTTTGGACAGCTCGTGCCGCCATCATTCGAGCATGGTAGGCCACGAGATGCTGGCAGTAGATACATGGCGTCGTGCTGCACGAAAACTGACATGTGGGCGGATGCACGAGCCGCCGCCAGAAGGCCGGCAAGGGTCAAGCTGCGTGTGGCCATTGTTCGCGTTGGAGAAAGGTAGTGAACTGTTCACCAGGAATTGGAGAATGAAATGAGGAATACGATAAAACGAGTGCTCATGTAGATCAAAGTTTCGTATCGGACTCGACTTGTAGCGGTGCACGTGATTGCATTGTTCGTGAAGAAATGGGCTTTATCGTGGGTCTTTCTTGAAACGGCATGTAGGTCAGTAGAGTTCCTCGTGAAACGATTCTTGAGGTAGACATGGCTCGCAATACAATGTGACGGGATGTCTTTAGAAGCGAGGAAAGACCCCGTCAGGCTACGGTTTTCATCAAGGCGGTCACGGTTTTGTATCCGATAGCACATGAACGGATTCATTTCGTTTTGTTGAAACTGATCTGGGTGCTGCAACTGTCTGATAAGGACTTCACGAAGTTGGTGCTAGCTGATACGGCGGAGCTTTTCGACATCTTCCGCTGGGTCCCTTTCGTCTAGTTTACTCACGGCAATAATCTATATCGAATCGCGTTCCGTACAACACGTAATCGAGGTCCTAGATCTCTTACTCAGATCCCTTGTGTTGCGAGCCCAAAGGCTCAAACCTAACAGTGTCTGGACGCAAGGTGAATGACGAACGAATCAAAACCTTCTGTCTGTCTGTCTGTCTGTCCGGCTGTCTGTTTCTGTGTCTATAAGGCTATTTGACCGACCCCAGTGGCCGAGTGGTAGACCGCTGGAACTGGTACCGGGAGGTACCTGAATCGATACCCGGTGGGGGTTCACTTACAGGGCGCCGGAGACAGGCCGATATAGTAGACTAGCAACCACGCAGAAGTGGCCGCCCTGCCAACCCGCGCAAGGCATAAATAGTTGGGTGGGCTGGAGGCCCTACTGGCCGAAAAGCTCCATATTGTAATGAGGGGTGCGGGTCCTGTAAGGAGTTCAAATTAAGTAAGAGTACTCGCAGTTCACCCCTAGGTAATCTGAAGGACCGCGCGGCATAAATCTATAAGGCTAATTGTGCCTTACACGCCGCATCAAGTGCGATGAACTTTGTCGCACATTGTGTCCGTCAGTAACGCTGGATGTACCTTACACATCTTCTACGTGCGATGTAGCCTGTCCCCTCCTTCGTATCTGTTTATAAAGTGTAGTGAAACTTATTTCTCTTTCGTATCTGTCTGTGTACAACGCTAAATGTACCTTCCAAGTAGCACCAAGCGTGAGGTAGGTTTTATTTTTTTTCCTTTTTATTGTTTAGTAGTCGTTATCGGCATCAACGTTCGATTTAGTCACTGATCGCAACTGCGAAGTAGGTAACGTTTATTCACACATCAGCGCCTGCACATGATTGGCTTAAAAAAAATTAGGGGCAGACACAGATGTACAACAAGCAAATGCTAGACACTCAGGGGCAGCGAAAGTCTCAAACCTTTCGCTAATAGTAAACATGAAGAGCTTTTGATACGAATTACTTGATTGCGAGCCCGAAGGGTGAATCTATTAGTGAGTGTGTGCAAGGCTAAATATCGAACTCTTAAATGGTAGTTATTTATGTGCGTGTGTCTGTCTGTCTTTGTGTTGTGTAGATAACGTGGCGAGTTGTACTTTTCACGTAAAGTGTGATCTAGACTGTACCCATCACAAGTATGTCAGCATTACTTTTGTGATCAAATTTACCTATAATCGATTGAGGCCAATCCCGTACGTGCATCACAACAGCGACCTAGCCAAAGAGTCACTTTAAATAAACCGATAAACCTATGATGAGGACAGGCAAGAGCACACTTAGTACGTGAAAAGCACGACTAGCCACGTTATGTACAAACGCACAGACGGACACACACTCAAACATATAAGAATTATTTGAAAGTTCGGCATTTAACCTTGCGCACAGTCACTAATTGCTACAATTCGGGCTTGCATTTATAAAGCGATCTCCAGAGCTTCTACCCCATTTTTACATGTCCTGGGCCGCACTTCGTAGTTCACGGCGCTATCAAGCAGGATCAATCCCGTTTTCATCCTCTTCAGTAACCGCGCTTTCGCTCAAAAGACCAGGGACAACCGTGAGAATGTCGGGGACCACCGAGAGGATATCCGGGACCACCGAGAGGATGTCAGGAACGACGGTCAGGACATCCGGGACCACCGTCAAGATATCCGGAACAACCGTCAAGATGTCTGGGAGTATCGTCAAGATGTCCGGAACCACCGTCAGGATGTCGGGGATCACCGTCAGGGTGTCTGGGATCAGCGTTAAAATGTCGGGGACAATCGTCAGGATGTCAGGGACTACCGTTACGATATCCGGAATGATGTCAGGAGAAACGTCCGTCTGATCCGTCTTGTAAGCTGGGGCAGACAGGTAGTCGTCGTGGGCGCCATAAGCTTGATCGGATTGCTTGTACGGGTGGTTCTTTTCAGTCATGTGAGTCTGCTCAGCTGAGTAATCATTGTGAATCGATTGAGAATGTTCAATCGGATGGGTCTGCTCAGCCGAGTACGTCTGGTGAGTCGAGTACACATGCTCCGACGGAAGAGCCTGCTCAGGTGAGTATGCCTGGTGAGTCGAGAACACATGATCAGATGGGTGCACCTGCTCAGCTGAGTAAGTATGCTGGTCAGTCGAGTACACGTGCTCAGACGGATGAGTCAGATGAATTGGATGCGTCTGCTCATCCCCATAGGCATGCTCTGTTGAGTGCATGTGTCCAGTCGAGTGGGAGTCTCCCGTCGAGTAAGCGTGTTGGGATGGGTACGCTTCATCAACTAGGTGATTCTGTTGAAATGAGTAGCCGTCTCCTGTTTGATAAGCTTCTCCAGCATGGTCATCGGTAGTGTCATATGCCTTGTGAATCGCGTGCGAGCCCGTCGTTTCGTGAGCCACGTGTATCTTTCCGCCCGGACCACCCACAGAAATGTCGGTGTCTTCGCAAGGCTCAGTAGGTTCAGCTGTGTAGCCGTACTCACCTTTTACGTGTTCTAGAGCCGTGCTGTATCCTTCACCACCAGGCTGGTAGTGATCGGACGTGCTATCTGCTCTATCATGGTGTTGCCAGTGGTGTCCGGACGCGGCGTCTTTGCTGTGATGGTGCTGACCGTAGTGATCCGTCGTTTCGTCACCAACCGCATGCGTGTAGCTCTTGCCAACGGTGGGAGCTCCGTGGTCGCCGGTGCTTTCACCGTAGTTGGTAGTATAGGTCGTAGCGCCACCGTTCTCACCGGTTGCGCCAAAGTCAACCGATTCCTGGCTGACGCCCGTCGTCGTCATGGTTGTAGCACCATAGTCGCCGTAAGTGGCACCATCCATCGTCGTACCACCAGCAGTGCCGCCGCGGCTTCCGGTGGTCGTGCTGATACCCTCGTATCCTGTTGCAGTGACACCAGCAATTTCATCGGACGCCACATCACAGTTCACACTGAGCGGCTCGTCCTGAGTCGGGTCGTAATCAGCGCCTCCAGCACTGTACACCGCCGCCGTTTCGGCATCTGCGGCAGAAGTGTATCCCGTATGAGGGAACGCGCACCCCCACGTGTCGTCTATCACGATGATGCACTGCGCATCAGTCGGGGCGACACACGCTGCTCCGTTGTAGGATAGCAAGTATGGTTGGCAGTCAGCAGAAGCGACGTCTCCAGCCATCGGACAGCTCGTGCCCGCCGGCGCAGCTCTGTTTCCTGAGCATGACAAGCCGCGAGATTCCGGTAGCATATAGGTGGCATCGTGTTGCACGGAAATTGGGACGTCGGCGGAGGCAAGGGTCGAAACCAGGAGGCCGGCCAGGGCCAAGCGTTGTGAAGTCATCAGACGCTTTGAAGTGACGGTTGATGTGGTTGCCCGAGCGTTGATTGGGAAATGAGACTACGAGCTGCTGCAGTTCACACACCATGGTCTGTTACGGCAGAACGAAGGGATCGAGCGTAGAAAAGGAAAGTCTAACGAATCATGTCATGATGGTTTGCGAGGCGTTTCGATCCGGTAAAACGCTGTTTACAGTCTCGCATGTAACTCGTGTCAATCGTTTCGAGAAAGTCTCGGTCTTTAGAGCGTTTTGCCCGCATGTTTATGTATCTTCGTTATGTTGGGTTGCGCCGCACGATATGGAGAAATTGGGCTCTCTTCTCGATCTGAGCGCCACCTTATCTGCCAATGTTGGTGGACTGGGAAGCGTGGATGACGGATTCTGTAGGCGCGGAAGTTTGTTGACGGGAGGTACTCCAAGATTATTCAGACGTAGGTTTTCCCGTCATGATAAATGACTTACCCAGATCTGTGGGGGCTAGGTCCTCTGTGTTGGGTAAGTATCTGTCTTTGCACCTAGAGCCACAGATGACCACACAACTAACAATGGATAGTTAGTGGTCACGAAATGTGTGAATTCGGTCTTAACGGAGACCAGATGCGGCACTACCTTGCCTAGATGACGGCAAGGTACTTCGCTCGAAATACGCAACTGGTGGTCTACTTATTGTGGGAAGAGTGGGCCGGATTCAATTCTTGCCCAATAGTTGTTTAACCTTACGCACACGGCAATAAGACATTTTTTTATACACCGCAAGAAAGAGGTTATAGCGTAAGCTTAGGCATAGCTGCCACTAAAGATGTAGCTCATGGAAACGCAGTCATTATGCGTGATAAAATTCGTGTTCGTGGAAAGGGTGCATGCGAACGGAATAGTGCACTTTTGGGACTTGCATCTAGACGTTTCGTGGTGCCTTAGCTATACGTCGATCATCTGGTAATGATGACAAGGGTAACCACGATCAACAGCAAGTGTGATGATGATGTGGACAAAGATTTACCGCTAAAAATGCAGATTTTGAGTACATCACGGTATCAGACGGTGTAGTATAGACGATCAAAGAGTCTTCGACACAGCTGAAAGCAGTATAGCAACTGAGATAATACCACAACCAAGGTATCGAAACGAGTGTTTTTCGAACTAAAGTTTAACAAGACAGAGTCGAACCAGTTTTATATTAAAGAAGTATTGGTTAACTTTACAAAGTCATAGTGCTAAATGAAATCGAGA